CCCCCCCCGCTCCCCTCCCCTCCTTGATGGCTATAAGGTCACCGTCGCACAAGGCCGCCATCGAGGACGCCCTTTTTGGGCTCCTGCCTTGCCGCCTTTGGCCTGAAGCACCCCCTCTCAAGTGTGTGGTACACCACCTCATAGCACACGAGCACCAGCGCGCTTGACGGCACCACCCGCAGCAGGTGGGTGAACATGCCCGCATACAGCCCACGCACGCCCTCCTCACGGGCGATCAACCGAAACGACTGGAAAAATCCACTGCAGAGCAACAGCATCATACATAATACACGGCGTGTGTTGGCAGGGGGGCAGGGAGGCAGGCCCCTGAGGGAGGCAGGGAGCAGGTTGGCTTACGTGTACTTGGCAGGAGTGCCTATGGTTTGCTCTCTGAGCCTGGTTCTGATGACCTCATGGGGGTAGGTGGCTGTCGAGGCGACCGCCTTCGCAACGAATCCCGCCACCAGAGTCTGCACTCATGAGCGTTCATCAGCATATATCAGCTTGAAAATGCATCCAGAATCTCGTACGTTCTGTCTGTCTCTTACCGGCCCTACTGATGCCCTTTGTTGTGAAGACCTTTCGACCGACCCAGGCGTCCTCTCGGCCTCCCTGCATGCAATGCAGATAGGGTCAGATCACAATGTGTCTGTCTGTTATGGTTTGATACGGCTCACCTACCGTTGCGACAGCTGCTTCTTCAACGGCTCGAAGATCATCCAGTGTACGCACCCCTCTGAGATGCCCCAGTAACTCGCCACCACTCCCCTGGAAAACCCTCGCACGCCCTCCTGCATCCATATCGACCGTACCGCATCCAACACGCCCTAGGTACGCCCACAAACAGCAGATAAAGGAATCAATCGCAGCAGATATCTGTTTGTTGAGAGGGAGGGAGGGCCGGCCGAGCGTGCGTCTTAACCCACCTTGGCGGCCGTTTCTGATGCAGCGGCATCGAGGAAGAGGCGCGTCCGCACCATGCTGATGGGATTGATGACCGTGTAGGCCACGAACCCCGCCACCAGAGCCGAGGTAAAGTGTGTCAGCGCACCATCACCTATCTGCGTTCATTCATTCACCGCACGCACACCCGCCCTCCACTCACAGACACACGGGATGCCATGCCGCCATCTGTCTGTCGCCTTACCTACCATTGGGTTCAAGGCATTCTTTGCAGTGGAGTAGGCCCAGAAGTAAGTGGAACGAGACGGAATCACTCCTATGAGTGAAGGGGTCAGCCCCGCAAAGAAGCCTGTGACGCCACTCGCCTTGTGGACAGCGGCCACAGTGGCGAGAAACCCCTGACCACCGCTGGCCTGCATCTGGGTCTTGACAACCTCAAGAGGGTTCGTCACCGTCGCCACTATCACACCTGCACACCGACGGTAGCATTCAACAGTGTGTGAGTGTACGTACAGCAATGCAATTGATTGACAGCACGGCCACCTGCGATAGCGCCCGAGATGAAGCTCAATAAGCCGGTGCCGCCGTTGCCATGGCCACTCCTGTTGTTTGAGCTGACCTTCTCGGCTGCTGCTGACGTGCGGTGCCGCTGACGACGTTTCAGCAATGCATTCCGTCGGCGGCTGACAGCAGCAGGGAAGGGGCGTGCCGGGATGGCTTGCAGCTGCTCAGCTGTGGCCGATCTCCATGGGCTCGGTCTGCTGATAGATTTGGCCAAGAAAAGATCAAGCCCATGGAGAAAGATCACCCAGACTGGGGACAAGATCTGCATCTGAGTGCCAAGTTCAGCACAGCGCGGTGGTTGAGCTCGCAAAAGATGTGCGTGACATTTGGAGATCACCATGAGGACAAGATGAATGCGCCAAAGCATCTGGAAGAGGCATAAGACAGCAGCAGCGGCGTCGGCAGCGCCCACTGCCTGACCCGTACGCAAGTACTCGTGATGCCTTCTGCTTCCACAGCTGGGCTTCTGCGACCCACAGCCCGTCTCGTGATTGCCGCCATCAGCTTTCCGGCCCTTGCGCAAGGTCAGGTGGACTCGGGGAACAACCCAGCAGTGACGCCCGATGTTGGCCGCACACCTGCGCGGTCTCCCTCTACGGGCGGCCGGCGGCCGCTGCTGGCCAAACCACGCGATCAGGGGGGCGACCTGGCGGCGAGTATCGTGGACTGGGGCGAGGTCTGGACCAAGGACAACACCACATGGAAAACATATGAGGTGCGTGGGGGTGGACCGACAGACAGGCAGACAGGCAGACGGACAGACATGCAGGCAGGCAGGCAGGCATGGCACGGCTGACTGGGGTGTGTGTTTGTGCGCGTGTGTCAGGTTGGTCCGCGGAAGTGGAGGCGATTTCGGTTCAAGGTGACTGAGGCCATGATGGCCACGGACGCCAACCTGTTTATCGAGATGCGGTACGACAAGCAAGGCGGCCGCCACTCCTCCCTCACCCCCGACGGCAGCCCCCAGCAGCAGCAGCAGCAGCAGGCGTCCTCTGCCTCGTTCACCGTCAACAAGGACGGCTATCGGTTCATCCCGCCCGACCCTCTTCTGCTGGCCAAGGCCAACGCGCCCCCCACCGCCACGCTCAACGGCGGCAAAGGCAACTGGGACGCCAATACGGCCTTTATGGACTCGCACGCCTACGTCGTGTGGAAGGTACCGTTACAGAAATAAAAGTGAAAGTGACAAGCCAAATTTTGGTGCCGGCCACCAAGAAGGGAATGCGTGTTCCCCTCCCTTGTCTCTCTGTCTACCTATCCATCTCCAGGAGTACCACCATATCTTGGTTCCGGCCGAGGAGCTGCAGCTCAACGACACGTGGTGGGTGGCGGTCTTGAACTTCCCCAGCCAGTACCCCAACACCGTCACGCTCACGCCGACCATCGACGCGGCCACCAACGAGACCAGCTTCACCAACCGCATCAAAGACCTGCCCATGACTTTCAACATCCGAATCCGCCAGTTCCCCCACGGCGAGCGGCCCTGCCCGAGGGACTGCTCTGGCCATGGGGTGTGCCGCGCCGTGGGCAAGTGCCGGTGCGACACTGGCTGGGCTGACAACGACTGCTCTGTACCGGCGCATGTGTTGGAGAGCGGTGAGGCGCTGCAGAAGTCCATCCCGGCCGGGGAGTGGAAGTACCACTACCTCGACATCCCCTCGGAGGACGACAGTGACAGAGGTGGGTGGGAAAAAAGGGGGTGGGAGATCCACATATGCGGCAGCATTGGATGTGCTGTGCTGTGTGGATTGCTTTGCTTGGTGTGGTGTGCAGACCGTGGCAACACGCTTCGGATCGAGATGGTGCACCGAGGCGGCGACCCTCTCATGTTCATCAAGGCCACAGACAAGCAGTGAGTGAGCATGACATACATACATGACTATGGCATGGCATATTATATGGCATCCCACGTACACTCACTACACCGCTAGCTAGTTGCGCACGTGACGTGACACATACGTATGTGTGAAGGAAAGGACCACCCCACGAAACCTGTTGGTTGGGCTGGTTGCCTTGCTGTGTCTGATATATATGATGTATGTATGTATGTGTGTGTCAGGGATTATCTGATTCCGACCCAGCGCAGCGAGGACCACACCTTCTATCTGCCAATGCGGCCGGGGGGGAGAAGGCAAATCGTAAGGAAGGGGCGCGCGCACTCACATAGTCGGGATGGACGGGGGAATAAAGACACACACACACCCACACCCCTACACACACAGACGCGTCACATGTGACTCACGTGTCGTGTTGTCCCTCCCGTCTGTGTGTTGTGTTGTGTTGCAGCTGCAGATCCAGATATCGCAGTACCCCTCCGACAGATGGTTCTTCGGTACGGACAAGACAAAGCGCACGCTGGACAGAGAGGAGAGGGGAGGAGAGTGGGGATTCACACACAAGGAAGGCACACACGGGGTCCCTGTCTGGTCTGTCGCCTCGCCAGGCATCTATAACTCACGCGCGGAGCGTCGGCGTGCGCTGCGAGACACGCAGTACTCGTTGCGCGTGACCCTTCTCAACGCCCCCTTCTCGCGCATCAACCTCTACATCTACGTCGTCCCTGCTATCGTAGTCGTCAGCACTTCACACACACACACACACACACACGCACTCACACACATAGATGTACTGCACTGCACTGCACTGCACGGCCCGCCCTGTCTGTCTGTCTGTCTGTCTGCATGCGTGTGTGTGTGCGCGTGTGTGGTGGTGTATCTATCTAACGGTCAGGTGTTTGTGATGCTGTGGGTGATGTATGCCATCCACCGGAGCGTGCAGACGCGGCACAGATCGCGGCTCGACGCGCGGCAGCTGGAGATCATCCTGCATGCGGTGAGGGAGCGGCCACACGAGGCACAAAACGGTCCGGCTCGCACACACTCACCCCACCCTGCTCTCTGTGCTGTGGGGGTGTCTATGTGCAGCGGATGGTCGGTCAGGACGGCGGTGCCTCGCCGCGCCGATTGAGCAACGTAGACGAGCTCTTCCCGCCCATCAAGTTCAAAGAGGCCCTCACCAAGACGCGCGTGTGGGGCCTCCACCACCACCACCGTGCACCCAATCACTCGCGCAGCTTCCGCACACCGACACGGTCCACACACTCGTCAGTGACCTCACTCGCTGCGACGTCGCAGCCAGCCGATGGGAGCAGCGCCGAAGACCACACCAGCACCTCTCAGCCGCAGCAGCAGCCGACGGTCTTCGGCAGACCATCTTTTCAGTTCATCGGTGTGCCCATCAAAACAGAGTAATTAATGCTCGTCAGTGTGTGTGTGTGTGTGTGCGTGTGTGTGTGTCTGCAGGTCCGCCGCTGGCCCCTCCCACTCCGCCCCCGCTCCCCTGCACAGACCTTTTAGGCCGCCAGGCATCCGATGCGACCACTCACAACGAACAGCCGCCAGACACGCCCCACCAACAAGCGACTCCGAGCGACAACGGCTCGGCAGCATCCCCGATGCCATATCATCGTGGGCTGGTGGGTGGTGGGGCTGATAGTGCGAGTGACAATGGGATGGCCGAGAAGACGCCCAGCCGGTCGTGGACGGTGGCCACGGGCGACGAAGAGCTCTGGTCAGTAGAGAAGTGAGGGCTCGGCGGGTATATGTGGGATTTTGCGTCCGTCCGAGCGTCATCAATATCAGTGTGTGTGTGTGTGTCCGTGCCGTGTCTGGTCTGCAGCTGTTCCGTGTGTTTGGTCGAGTTCGACAAGGAGGACGAGGTGCGTGTGCTCGACTGCAGCCATGTCTTCCACAAGGACTGCATCGACCAGTGGTTCACCGGGTCCACCGTCTGCCCGCTGTGCAAACGAGACTACGGCCCACCGCCACCACCGCCACCAGACCAAGTAACACAACCACCACAACAAGAACAAGAGCAACAGCCACAGCTGGAAGGGGACCAGCAGCAGCAAGGTCACCAACAAGACAACACGGCAGCACCACCAGCAGCAGCAGCAGCGGATGGCTCTGACACCCCAGCCGCCCCACCAGCGGCAGCAGCGGCAGCGGCTAGCTCGTCCCCCGCCCCTCACACCGATATTTCCGTGGCCGATTTTTCGGCCCCTAGAGGGGCGGACGCGGCGAGTCGTCACAGTGGCGACGCAGTGATAGTGCCATTGGCCGTAGATGCGGCGAGTGGAGCAGAAGCGAGAGATACGGATGGCGATACAGGGGCGGGGGTGGTGTTGAGGACGCCGTGACAGACAGACAGACAGACAGGCAGGGAGGGAGGGAGGGGGAGTGTGAAAGCGCTTTTCTATATTGTGGAAGAGTGGACGCGATGTGAGGTGTTTTTTGGTGATCGCGTGTGTGCGTATATCTGTTTGTGGGTGCTGTTTGTGGGGTGGGAGATGGGCGAGTAGGGAGGGATGGGTGGGCAAGGAAGACTGACTGTTTTTGTGACTCTCCGTCCGGACAGACAGACAGACAAGGGAGGTTGAGAGGGGGGTGGGGGGTGGCGGGGAGAAGGCAGCCGTGCTTTGTGCGTCCATACATGCGTGTGTGAGTGCATTTATCGACCCACTCAGTGGGACAGACAGACAGGCAGACAGACACACAGACATTCAGACAGACAAATGGACCAGTGAGCCAACCGTGTCAGTCAGCGGGGCGGTTGATAGATCTCATCCATGTCATCCATGTGGTGTCTGTCCATGTGCGTGCATCGATCATGATGTATATGATGTGTGTGCGTGTGCGTGTGCGTGTGTGTGTTTTTTCGACAGACATTCATTGCCGCGCGATGCGATCGATGCGTGCATGTCAGTCAGTACGTGTGAGGCAGGCCTCTTGTCGTCAAGATCTGCATCTATCTATCTTATCTCATGCGTGCGTTGGGTTGGGAGGGAGGCGCCCTTATGGCATGCGCTGTGTGTCTTTGTGTGGCAGGTGGGGTGGACCGATCGTGTGTGTGTGTGTGTGAGAGAGCTTGCTCTTTTTGCTCAACCACCGACCGACCGACAGCAACTTGAGTGTGCGTGTGTTGGTTGGTTGGTTGATCGATCAGCTCACGCCCCTCCATCGCCCCTACACCCCATCCAGGGAACACAAGACGCAGGCAGACCTGATGGGCCCGGCACTGCAATGGCGCGTGCCGTCGATATCGATATACGCTGCGAGTTGTGGTCGGTAAGTGATGAGATGTGTGCATCATGAGTGCCACCCAGACAGACAGACAGAGAGGTCCGCCATCCATCCATCCATCCATCCATCCCTGCACACACAGCGCTGCCTAACAGACAGACAGCCAGCCACTAAGAGACGCAGACACACACACAGGCCACACACATTGTACGGTAGGTACCCACACACGGAGCCAACCAGTCCCTCAACCTCCCCCATCCACAGCCCTCTTATCGCATCGCGCTGGCCACTTATATATCTTTCTCACTCACTGCCCCTCAGTCCCCTCACCCCACAGCCATCCCCTCGTCGAGCAACACACTCCCCCCGGGCTCCCTCGTCAGCTGCTGCCCCTCGTGTGGATGTGTGGCGCTGATGGCGCTGTGACATTTGTGTCGGCTGCCGAGGTGGAACAGCTGGCTGAGGTTGATCTGGGGCTGGCAGAGGTATGTGTTGAAGAAGCGCCGCCATGCGTCGGCCAGATGGTGGTCGTTCATCAGCTGAATCGGCAGCTCGTGGAGAAAGGCCAACAGCAGGGGGTACGAGGGGCTCTCACGGCTGATATAAGGAGGGAGGGGTGTGGTGAGACGAGACAGCACAGCACAGCACAGCACACATGGATGGGATCGACGAACAGCTCAGCTGCTCTGCTTGTGTGTCGCTTCTTGCTCGTTTGTTTCTGTGCTGACTGACCGTTCGACTATGGTTTTGACGCTGAGTGTGAGAGACTCCCTATAAGGACAACCGACCGACACCCATCATCGGTGTGCATGCCATGCGTTGTCTCCCCAGTCCCCTTGCCCTCTCCACTCACCCAAGCTGCTTTTGGACTTCGTCGCTGAATGCCATGGTCAGCCGCCCTTTGACGCCTTCGTCAACACCAACACCAACACCACCACCACCACCAGCTACAACGTCTCCTCCCCTGCCCCCAATCTCACACACAGCCATATCCCCCTCCAGCCCCTCCCCAACACCAAGACGACCCCCCCAACGAGCAACATCCCCAGGATGGCCGCTCTTCTGTCGCTTCATCATGGCCAGGTCCTTCATCATGCTCTCAAACGGCCGCTTCGTCCCGTTCACCGCCAAACCACCCAGTCCACCCTTGTGCTGCTGCTGCTGCTGCTGCTGCTCGTTGGTCAGATCGATCACAACGGGCGATACAGATGAGCCGGGGGCAGAGACGGGGCCACCGTGAGAGGGTGAGGGGAAGGGGCCACCAGCACCACCACCGCTAGCAACACTGCCAGCAGCCACAGACGCCGGTGGATGGGGGTGTGGATGTGGGTGTGGGTGTGGGTTCCTCTGTCTGGCCTTGAGGATCCCCCCCACGCCGCTCGAGTACTGCCTGGCCCCCTTGGCGAGAGGGGCGTACAGGCGGTCCAGGTTGGCCGTCTCCGTGATGGACGCGAAGCTCTCAAGCAGCCACTGCTCCTCCTCGGGCGAACCATGGTGGCCGACCTTCTCGCCACTCCTCGGCGACTGCGATGGCGAGAACAGGTCACCCAGAGTCTCAAAACGCATGTCGCCTCTACCCAGTGACGGCCTCGAGGGGTGGAGGTGGTGGTGGTGGGCGAGCCGCGGGGGCGGAGCGGATGGCGGGGGGAGGGGGCGGTTCTTGGCTGTGGGTGATGTGGTGCCTGGAGCGGTGCCTAGAGGGAGGATGGGAGTTATCTTCACCTTCTTGGCCCCACCACGACCGCTGAGCTTGGTCTTCTTCTTGGAGCCGCCCGCGCCGCGCCGACTGGCGGAGGGCCTGCCGCGACGGCTCAGTGCGCGGGCTGCCACAAGCTGCTCGCCGCGGCACCTCTGGATGAATCGGTCGATGTCAGCGATGTCGCGGGGGGTCAGCTCGCTATCATCGGACATATCCACCGTCACCTTGCTGAAAACCCGGCGACGCTTGCGAAACTTCACCAGAGAAGACAACCACATGTGCTGTGCAGATTGCCTTGGGCGTGTGTGTGTGTTCATCCGAGTGCGTACCTTCTCGAAGATGCGGCGCTCGGAGCAGATGATCATGCCGTCCTCGTCGGGGCCATCCTCGTCCTCCCCCTCCCTGTCCCCCTGTCCCTCGCTATCATCGTCAGCTTTGTCGCCCTTGTTGCCCGCCGGCTTCTTCTTACGTGTCTCCCTCTCCCTCTCGACGGTCGCTATCTTCTCCTCCTTGATGTCTTTCGGCTGCTGCTCGGTGGGCTGCTGCTCGGTGGATGGGGGGTGGGGGTGTGCTTGCGAGCACAGCTGCCGCAGGGTGCCGAGGTCCTGCTTGATGGTGGACATGGGCAGCTCCACGCGGATCTGCCGCTGCCCCTTGCGCAGCAGCGTGAGGTCACGATACTTGCGACTGCCGCCAAATGGGGGGAGGTTAAGGAAGCCGATGCTGCCGTGTGTGCCGCTGTTGGTCCTGGTGGCGGGGACCTTCTTCTTTTTCTTGGGCTTGCGCGGCTGCTGGGAGAGCTGGGGGTGGTGGGGGTGGTGGGGCTGCCGGTCCTCGGTATTGCCCGACTGCACGCTCTCGTTTCCCTCCCGTTCGTCAGCAAATGGGTGCATCATGTCCGTCGTCACGTCCTCGACAGATGACGGCGGGTCGGTGGCATGCACCTCCGATGGTGAGAAACACTCCACCACACCCGTATCGGCAGACCGCACCCGGACGAGCCACTCCGTTCCCCTCTCCCCCTCGGTCTGCTCGACGGCCACCACCTCGCCCTTGCCCCCTCCCAGCACCCACACCCACATGCCGCACCGGATCTCGTCCCCAGAGCTGTCGACAGCCGCCGTCAGCTGCTTCTGCCGCGTCTTGGCTCGCGTCTGCGTACCCTGAGGGTGGATGGTGGTGTGGAGGTTGGCCTGGTGGTCCTTGAAGATGCGGACCAAGTCGACGGGCGCGCTGGATAACGGGTGCCACCCTGCGCGCCTGTATCTGACGATGGGAAGGTTGAGCTGTGGGTCGAGATGCGTGTCGATGAGGCGCCCGATGTGCGACACAGGCTCGCTGGGATCGGCCACCTGGAACACCAAGCGGAGACAGTGTGCGGGTGTTGGTTGCGTGTTTGGTTGGGGAGAGGATTGGAGAGAGGAGGGAGGGGGTGACATACATGTGTACGTACGTACCTCGATGAGTGTGCCCTGCTGCAGCCTTTTGATCTTCTCCCAATGCTTGAACGTCGCCTCACTCATAACCCGCTCGGCCCTACGCTTACCGTCCCGCCCCTCCCGCCGCACATTCCCCTCTCCCCCTCTCAGACAGGCACCTCCCTCGGCTGCTGCTGAAGCCTTCTTCTGGCTCTCCCCCTCTCCGTCATCCCCGTCATCCCCGCCATCACGCTCGCGCTCACGCCTGCCTGCTGGTCGCTTCGGGTCGCCTTTGTTGCCGCCCTCCTTGGCTTCTCTCTTGCCTTTGCGTGGCTTTGCGGCCTCGTCGCCGGGGAGTGATGACGTGCACGAGCGCGGGGCGGTGTGGGGGGCCGAGGGTGGGTGCGATGAGGGGCTGGACGAGCCGATGCGGAGGGGCTTCTTTTGCTGGGGGTGGTCGTTGGGACCGTCATCTGACTCCATCCGCGTGGGTTTGCGCCTGGACGAAGAAGAGGGGACATGCAATGAGTAGTGAATAAATCCATCTTGTGTCCGTCAGTCAGGTGGGAGGTGAGGGGCTGGCTCACCCACCTACCTACCTCTGTCTGGCGTGTTTGGCCGTGAGGCAGACCTCTGCGTCCCACCCGGTGCCGAGACGCACATGCTCGGCAGATATCTGCACATGCAGAACAAAACACACACACCAGATATATCAGAGCCAAGGACATTCCGTGTCTGTCTGTGCTGTGGCGGCCGGCCATTTGGCTTACTTACCGTGAACTCGATGCTCCTTGCGTATCCCATGATGCGATGGCGCACCTGCCAGCCCCCATCCTTGTCTTTGAATAGACCGCTAAACATCCCATTCTGACGGACAGACGTGAACAGCAAAGACAGAAGCCGGGCCGGGAGGGGATGTGATGTGTGGTCTGTTCTTCAACCTTTGCAACCAACTGTGTGTCTTTGTTTGTACCTCCAGTGTGCCCGAATCGTAACGAATCTGAATCTTGTCACCTGACCGACAAGACACGCACACACAACCAGCATCCTTCGCTTCACACGGCCTCCCTCCTCTCTCCCGGCCCCCATAGCCCCCACCCACCTATCTTGAGGTTCTTGAGCTCTGCCGGTGCGTCGTTGTCCTCATCTCCCTCCTTCTTGACCTCCTGTATCCCCTTCTCCACCAGCAGCATGGTATCGTTGGTCGCCATCCCACCGCTCACAGATGATGAGTTCCCCTCAGCATCTGCGGCTGCTGCAGCGGAATCGTTGGCACATGCATCTATGGAACACACATAATGGGAGGCAGGGAGATGGGCCAAATGGAGCCATTCAGGCCGAGATTCTGTTCTTTCTCTCGTCATGCATGGAGGGGAGGAGGGGTCAGGTCGGTGTGCGTCTGCTATCGTGGCGTGTTATGTACCTGGTTCTCCCTCCTCCGTGACGGCGTTGTCTTTACTCTGACTGCGTAGCCGAGGGCTGCTCCTCTCAGGCTTCGGACCTTCGCTTGGCTTCCTGTCCTTGGCCTTCTTGGCCTCACTGCGCCCCTTCTGAGGCGCTGCCGCCGTCGACCCGACAGACCCCTCGTCGCCGCGCTTCGCGCCTGGTAGCCAGAGGAACCCGCCACACGTGACCACTCATCCGCAGCAAGTACACAAGAAACGCACCACAGCACATGTGTCAGCATGCATTCGGGCTTACTGAGGCGAGTGGAGGCCCTGCGCTTCTCCATGGATGGGCAAGAAGGTACCCTCTGCGGGCTGCAGCGGCTCACGAGGTTCGCCTGGCGGTGGTGGATGCGGGCAGAAAAAAGCTCAGCATGGGGACCGCTGGCAGTACAATTGCCTCTTTCACAACAGTCTATGCTCTCTATGCTCGTTTGCGGAAGATGGAACTGGACGAACCGGCGGCAGTCTCACAGCTCTCAAGCGTCAGAATACGAATGTGCCAGGCACGGAGCTGAGGATCCTTGCACACTCTGCGACTCCCGCGTCGCGCGACTCTGCTTCGCCGCCGAGGGAAGTCGTTCCTCCGTGGCTTCAACTTGAAATTCTTCCGTTCAATTTACATGACGGCCCACAACGCCCCCACTCCGGAGTGCAGTCACTCGTCCTCTCGCGAAGCGGCGCGACCACCCCTGAGGGAAGCGGCGGCGGGGCCAACGGGGGCTTCGAAGGGCGGTGAGAGAGGAAGGAGACGGCAGCCATGTCTGTGGAGCGTGCCTTTGTGCTCAACAACATCGAGATCAGCCTTGAAAACCTGGTGTTCTTCTCCCTGGTTGATGGAGCGGTGCAGTTGCAGTCGGAGAACCTCACCAGCGTCCTGTCATCCATACTCGCTGCGCTTGTCGAGCAGACAAACAAGGCCACTCGATTGGAGAGGGTACTGTACACAGCCACCCAAGCACCGTGACATGCTGAGCCCCTGTGTGTACTTACTTGTCTGTGCGTCCGTAGTGCATGATGAGTGTGTGTCCATGGTGTGTGTGTGCATGTCTTGATGCAGCGTGTGGAGCAGCTGACGAGCGAGGGCAAGACGAGCGAGAAGAAAGCAGAGAAGGTCCTCAAGGATCTTGGCGACATCAAACACAGGGTGGATGTGCACCAGAAGGCTCTCAACATCACCTTCACACACGATGGCCAAGCATGTAAGTACGCTGACGCTAGCGCTTCACTGTTGGGTGGGTGTGGAGGTCCGGCCGGTCATGTGCCTGCCTGTCTATGTGTCGGTGTGTTGGTTGATGTGCGTCCATGCAGCTGGCGGTTTGCTGGAGACTCGGCAGGAGATGGAGGGCGTCAGGGAGGAGATGGAGGGCCTCAGGCGGACGTTCATCACCACACAAACAGGCACCCACAAACAAACTGCGTACATTCGACAGTAGATAGAATATGGTACGTATGAGTGTGCGTTCCATCGTGCAGGTGTGGAGTCGGCCAATCGGCGGATGAATCAGCAGGAGGAGAGGCTCGAGAAAACCAAGACCTTCGTGGGCACACAGGACACCAACATCAAGGCTCTGGAGGAGAGCGTCAATCACCTCTACTCCGAGACAGAGAGGCTCACACTCGACAGCGAGGAGCTGCACAGGAACCGCGAACAGGTACCTTTCTTTTGCAGCGTGTTAAAGGAAGTTGAAGCGACAATTAAGGGGAGGAAACAAGCAAGGGGCTCGTTCGTTCCCTATCTGTCTGTCTGCAGGACTACTTGATGGTCAAGAAAATCGAGGACAAAAAAGTCGACAAAGAAAAGGTCGGAGGATGGGATGGGATGGGATGGACGGTGTGTCTCTTCCCCCTCCCCGTATTCGTACCCATTGTGTGTGGTGGACTGACTGCATGCAGTTGGAGGCGCTGAGTGTGAGCATGAAGACCGTGGAGGGTCGGCTGTACGAGACGCTCGACGAGGTGGCCACCTTTTCGGAGAAGGCCAGGCGCTTCGCGGCAGCGCTCACCAGCTTCGACGAGGCCAGGGCATCCATCAACGACTTCGCAAACGTACGCGAGAGCGAGGCGCACTGAGGTGACATTACATTGCATTGCATTGCACGTCTCGTGTGTGTATGCATGTGAGTGACACATGAGAGCAGGAGATCAAGGGGGACGTCTCTGACATAAAGTCATGGACAGCCCGGAGGTGCGACGACATTGACCGTGCCATCAACGAGCAGCGGGCGCACCTAGAGGCTCAGGTGGGTGAGACGACCTCTCGGGCAACGCTCCCTGTCACTGTCCATGTGTGCAACACTGCACTCACTGCATGTCAGTGGGCGGCGCTGTCCGAGCATCTCAATGAGACAGAGCAGGCGACCGCCGATCAGGTGCGGCAGTTCGTGGCAGCTCTGCAGCAGTTCCACGAGGAGGTGAGTGAGGCATGTCGGGTGGAAGATGAGATGCTATCACCTCACTGCACTGCACTGCACTGCACCATTATGCCATGCATGCAGGCTTTGCAACGCGATCGCCATTTGCGCGCACTGGGCGAGGTGCTGACCGAAATGACGGTACGTACGGTGCGCAAGGAACGGACAGGCGGCGGGTGTGTCTCGACCTCCCACTATATAGCTAGCGACGTGTGCTGTACGATTCATTCATTAATGTGTGTATGGTATGTCGTGTGGTGCGTGTAGGAGAGCATCAGCGACGAGGCCCTTGGGGGGCTGAAGTGCCTCTCGTGCCAGAAGCCCACCGACGGCACACTCCGCTCGGACGTCGCCGTTAACCTGCAGCGTGAACGGTCCAAGGAATTCATCTTCCAGCAGGTATATATGAAGCGGAAACAGACTGGACGGAGGAGCTTGCGCTGGGAGGGACACACGTGTGTGGGTGCCGTCTTGTGTCTTGTGTGCTGTGCAGCTCCAGAAGGTAATGGTTTCTCTCCCTCCCTCCACGCCCTCACCCACATCCCAGGCACTCAAACTGCTCGCTGTCAATGTAAGCATACAAAGGCCAGGCCGGACACCGTACCGTACCAATGCACACACGTCACGTACACGACACGTAGCCATTCGGGTGAGGTGACCCATCCCATCAAAACACGCGTTGAATGCATTCACCTGAATGAATGCACGGTCAGGTTGGCCGTCCTTCCCGAACGATCGGCACCGACGGCGCGGTGTATCGCACGACGACGGAGAGCAAGGGGATCGACGTCGGCACCGTCACACTCACCGTGGCCACCAACCAGCGGACCACACCGTCCTCTCGCGGCGGGGGATTCTTCCACCACTCTACGCGGTCAGGAAAAGAAGAGACACAGGCGCATCCCCGAGTCTCATCGATGTCGATGAATTTTGTGTCTGTCTTCAGTCTGACTCCCCGCAGCCCTCGTGACGCTCCCAGCCGTGGCGCCCTGTCGACTCCTGTGTCTCCCCAGAGAGGCCCACAACACCTCATCCCCACAGCTGCCGGCCGGTCGGCTTCAAAAACACCCGTATCACCAAGGGCCAAACTAGAAAGTATCGATGGAGTGATCAACAAGCCGACGTGCCACCCCACCTGTACTTTGTCTCTTTGTTTCCAGGCACAGACGAGCTGTATGACTCATCAGCGTCCTCCATTATGGACATTGCCACCCCCAGGCCGCAGCAGGCCTCACCACAGCCGCCAATTCCCCGGAACCACACCACACACACGTCCCCTCTCGAGATGACCCCCGACACAGCCGCCATGCGTGCGCCCATGACCGACCGCCCCAGGCCATCCACAGAGGGCAGCCCCATCATGTCTCTCCCCCAACCTCCACGGAGCAGACTGTTGAGCGGACTGCTCACCTCACCCAAGGGAGATGGTGCTAGTGGTGCTAGTGGTGGTGGTGGAGCCAGAGCTACACAGCGACCAGGCAGCGGGAAAGGGAAAGACGTTCAGCGGCCATCGACGCCACAGCCGGCTGATGGTCCCGATGCACAACTTGACGAGGCACGGCACGAACAGGAGCAAACCATTCCGTCCGATAGGTGAGCTCGGCGTCGGATCATTTTGTATGTCTTCCCCTCCGTAAGCGCGTCCCTTGTGTGTGTGTGTGTGTGTGCACATAGGTCGCAGCTCTTCTCCCCGCGGGAATGATGCGATGCATGTCCGTGGGCTGAGTCCCTATTGATTCAATATCGCAATACTTGACGTGTCTTGCATTTCCCATGCTATCGCCATGTAGTATGAGTCAACGGATCCATCACATGAGCCCATGCACCGTTGATAGCCGAAAGTGGACAATGAATGCCTCAACTAATGCATTCCGTGAGTGCAGCCAGCCGACGGTGCCGCTGCTTAGGTCGCATCGACACCCGTGCAACGCGTGTTGGCACGCATATTTGTGACGGTCATCCGTACGCACATTGCAGTTCAGTAAAGTCAGTCCGTTTGGTTGCCGTACACGACGAAGAAGGGGTTGAGTTGGTCTTCCTTGTTGTACCGCAGAGCCTCACCCTCCTCACATGGGGCACCACCAGCAGCCTGCAGGTATGTATGCAAAGCAGAAAGGGGAATGGGGTGTGGTGTGGTGTCGGTGAGGGATTGACGAGAGGCTTAGCTTACTTGGACGACTCTGCCGCCCGCCTCATTGACGATGGCGTGGGCAGCGCAGGTATCCCGCTCACCTGTCACACCACACTCAGACAGAACAGGACAGGACAGGTAGCAGACAGACAATGAGTAGCTAGACAGGTTGGCAACCATCCCATCCCCAGCGTGTGGCTCTGTCTGTTGGTGGAAGGATGGATGGGCTTATATCACTCACTGCATACATACACACATACATACCTACATACCTACATACGTACATGTGTCATGGAGTCTTGGATAGACATGGGCACTTCCCTCAGCAATGAGCATCAGCTTGATCGAGGAACTGCCAAACCAAAGAATGGAGATCAAAGACACCACACCACACCACGACACAGACACACATGTCATGTCGCCGCCTTTTCCCCACAAGTATTTTTGCCGTGCCGTATGTATACTCAGGACTCACTCAACTCACCCGAGAGACACGAGTGTTGGGTTCTTATATTTGTCGATGAATGCCTGAGTACGTCGGAGGGTGTCCCCTCTGTTTTGTGGCCGTGGGGCCACTATGGTCAGGCCCTCGTCGTCCTTGCTGAAGGTCGCCGCATGGATCCTGCTGACCTCACCATTCTCCTCCTTGTACGCACCTAACCCACACGACACAAAGTCGGCGCACACACGTGTCAGTTCATCTATGCCAGCACCTGCAAGCGCACTTACCGAGGCCTTGCGCGGCCCAGTAGGCGACGCCCTGTGCGGGGATTGTCACCACACCAGCGATGGGCGTGGGGCCCTGGCAGACGCCGATGTTGACCGTAAACTGACCGTTCCCTGTGCACGAGCACACAGGGGAATGACGTATGAGATGTGGAGTGGCACGGCAGGAACCCATGTTTGATGAAGTCCTTGGTGCCATCGAGCGGGTCGACGCAGAAGTGGTGCTGCCAGTTCTTCCGCTCCTCGTAGGCCAGGCTCTCGTTCTCCTCGCTCACGATGGGCAGGTTGGGATAGAGCGTGCTCAGCGCCTCACAGATGACCCTGTTGGCCTCCCGGTTGGCCGCTGTCAGGGGCGAGGCGTCGCTCTTCATCTCAACCTCCCATTTGTCCTTCTCGCCCTCATAGATGGCCATAATGGCCACACCAGCACGCTTTGCTATCTTGACAACCTCCAAGACGTCCACCGAAGTGCTCCCGCACTGCACATTCATCGTCGGCCGTCTCGCCCCCAGCTGCGCCCCCAGAGACGGGAATCGAGGCTCGCGTGACCGGCAGAGATGACTGCAGCTGACACAGAGGTGACGGCGGGCGACTTGGTGTCTGCCATAGTGGAGGAATACAGCCTGAGCGCCGATGAGGTTTTTCAGATGATGCATCAACAGGTATTTCATGAGAGACGGACAGACTTTGCCTGCCGTTGCGCTATGGTTAATGTATTTCACACAGGCCCCCGCCCTCATCCCTGCCGACGACACCGCAAAGGACGTCAAACTGCCAAATTCGGCTCTTCAAGGGCTGGTATGGCTCATCTCGTGTCGCAACAATATCCCTTTGCCATCACTCATCGCAACGGTCGCCACGAAGTGCAAGTGGCACGGGGACCCTTGCAATGCACTGCTGCCGCCAGCTGCATCCCCACTGCCCTTTCTGCCACCGTATCCCTACCCATTTCTGCATCCGGCTGCACAGAACGGCCAGCCAGCCGCCGCCGTGCCTCCAGTAGGCAAATCTCGCAGCACATGGCCACTACACATCCCGAGCTCTCTGTGGTGTCTCGTCAGGTGTGCAGGGGGAACGTGGATGAAGGTGACCACCCGCAGCCGTCTCACGGCCCTACCAAGCGAGCCGGCCCGGCTGTGCCTGTCAGAGGCCGGTCGAAGCGCCAGAACCGGGGCTCGGACAATCCTGCCGAAGCTTCCGCGACGCCATGGCTTGATGCCTGTGTCTCCTCGCAGCACATGTCGTCGCTCACGGCCGGCCGTGTTGAGTTCGACGGGACGCCTGGAGTGGTGGGCGAGGAGGGAGAGACGCGGCCATTTGCACTGCCCTGGGAGAGGAGCCGGGCTCTCATGGGCCATCCGCAGCCGCAGACCCAGGGAGGCGGTGCTGGTGCTGGTGGTGGTGCTGGTAGTGGTGGTGCTGGCGGGGAGGGGCTGGGTAAGGCCGTGTGGCAGATTCCCGAGAGGCGGCTGACTTTCCAGGTTGGCGAGCTCATTTTGATCCGTGCACCGGGGGGCGCCGGGGTGCCGCCATGGCCAGCGAGGGTCGCCGAGCTGTGTCACTATACGCCCCGCCCCTATCTGTGCGAGTGCCTTGGGGCGGTCATCCCGTTGCCATTATACAAACGGTAGGTATGTTGATATTGCACGCAGAGATGGATGGATGGATGGATGGACGGCTGTGTATCTATCGCTGTTGTGTGCGCTGCAGTGTGCGGTTGGCTCCCACGTTGGTCGCTGAGTATTCGCGCGACAGTGTGGTGGCTATCTCGGCGGCTCTCCAGGGGCATGCAACGCACTTCCCTGAGGGCCCCAACCAGGTGAAGAGACCTGTCTGTCCATGGACACCATCCCTGTCCTGTCTGCCACACGCACGTGGATCCATCCATCCATCCATCCGTATGCCTACCCACAGATAGCGAATTTCGAGCAGGCCATCCAACAGGCGGAGCAGTTGCATGAGAAGATACGCTTACACGGTTGGTAGGTCACGTCGGTCGACATTCATGGCATCTCTCCATCACCCAAGACACCTTGCCTTGCCTTTCCCTGCCTACACTGCATGCATGTGTGTGGCTCGCTGCCGTGGCTCACCTCACAGGTCCTGTGCACCATTCTGTGGACTTTGACTACAGTGCCATTCAGCCGGTGGACAAGGCGTCGGACATCGAGGGCGCCATCTACACATTTGACCCTACGGTGAGTGAGACATCCATCCATCCATCCATGGTGCTGCTGGTGTCGTGTCGCTTCAGTTGGGCGGCAAGTGGGTCGCCCTTCTGCTCGACGGCAGCGAGCTCTCCGTATATGACCCCTTTCCCGTAGAGGTACCTACCGTACGCATGAGGATCAGTCATGCTTCACATCATGTTGCTACGTCACTGGTGTGTCTGTCAGGTTTTTGGCTTTGCCGTCGCCAAAGCTCGCGCCGAGGAGAAGGTGTGCGAAGCCATGTACAAATCCAGCCCCTCTGAGGCGCCCAAGCGCATCAAGGCCACACACACGGTCAGAGGGAAACGTAACGACACAGGCAGGGGTCATACGTGCATCGATCGCATCGCATCGCTGGCAACCGTCGATGCTCCTTGCCTGTCGGTCTGCAGGTCGCCAAAGAAGAGAAATTCTTCTCCAATGCCATTGAGGCATCGCAGGCTCTCCAACTGAGTGAGCGCGCCCACCAAACACACAACACCAGATACCACACCCATCAATTGGTTGTCATTTGTGTGTGTCTCATCAGGTGACATGGAGGTGCTCCAGCGCCTCACCGCCCCCGAGCTCACCATCCCCTCCCACCCATCACCGACAGCACAAGACGACACCAACACTAAAGCCCCCTCGCCCTTCCATGACCACAGCAATGACGACGAGGAGACCAAAGAGGGCAGTCCCACATCGGTGCGCATGGAGCTGGACGAGGGCGCCTGGCAATTGGAGTACCTGCAGTGGGCCTATGAGGACCGGCCGGTGTGGGCCAAGCGGCTGTCCAGGGGGTACGACGTGCTGGTGCGGGCGCAGTGCAGGAGTGATGGGTTGATCCACTTCCTGCAGACGCCCCAGCAGGCTGTGTACCTATGCTCCCTCAGTGAGTCAGTGAGAAGGGATATACATCAAAAGAGACAGACAAGAGACATGGTGCCTTCCCTGCCACTCACTCTCCCTCCTCGTATCCGCTTTTCTGCTTTCACAGAAGACGTTGGTGATTTAGCGATGCTTCTCTCCGAGGCGGCCGAGAGCATCCTCGGCTGGTCCTTCACCACCTACCCTGTCACGGGGGACACCAAATCCCCTTCACCCCTGCCCCACTCTGACCCCCTCGGCATTGCCCATCCCCCAGAGGCGACCCCCTGGTCACGATTCTCATGCACTATCATCGACCACTACACCAACGCCCTGCAGAAGATGCCTCTGGACTGGACCGACCTCACGGCCGAGAGGGAGAGCTCCCGCCCTATAGCCGGATGGGTGAAGGCTGAGTACAAGGGGGCGTGTGCCAAGAAGGACCAGGTTGTGCGGTACTTCCCCTCCATGCGGGCCGCTGCAGCCACCCTCAACATGAGTCAGCGACAGAGACACGTCATAGCTCGCATGACATACATGGAATCCATTCATTCTCGCGTTGATGCGTGTGCGTGTGCGTGTGTGTGTCAGGTCTCACAGCTGTGGCGATGGTGGCCAAGGGGTTCTGGCAGGGCTGCCGCGGGTGGAAACTCAGCATCCTGCCAGTCACAGAAGACGACCACCTGCCCTCGTCCCGCCACCCCCGCACGCCCCGCGGCTCACACGCCCCGCCAACCCCATGCCAGCCCACACACTCGCCGTCTCCCGCCCTCTTCCACAACGCACAGCGATCACACAGCCAAATCGCCCCACCACAGCAGCCGAGAGGCGGGCCACCAGCAGCAGCAGCAGCAACAGCAACAGCAGGTCCGAGGAAAACCCGCAGCAAAGGTTCGCACTTCCCACACCGCCCCATGCGGACAATGGAGTGGGCTGACGGCGTGCCGAAGCCGATGGAGATCCACGTGCCAGTGGCTGTGGAGCAGCAGCAGGAGGAGACGGCCGGAGGGGATGATGGTGCGGGTGGTGGTGAAGGTGCGGCGACTGCGGGTAAGGTGTACCTGTACGCGCATCCGGTGGGCGAGCGTCAGTTCCAGTGGGTGAGGACGGGGGCCAAGATGAACCCGGAGTCCATACGGGTCAAGGCCGTCTGCCTCGCCAACAACACCACACACTACTACATGTCGCAGAGGGAGTGCGCCGAAGCCCTAGGACTCGGTAGGTACTGACTGACAACAGACAAAGAAAGAGACACCGCCCACACACTCACCACCGATTGGTGTCCCATCCCTCTGCGTGTGTGTGTGTGTGCGCAGCCCAGTGCTATGTGTCGATGGCTGTCAACGGCCTGAAGAAAGTGGAAGGTTGGCGATTCTTCAGAGTGGTCGACCAGCACAACAGGCGCCGCGTCGACTCGCTCAACCGCACTTTGTCGCGGATGGAGGAGCGGGGCAGCTTCGACCGACACTCGGTGCCCGTCACCACGCCGCCCATGGTGGACTGGCACGCCGCACGACGATTCTTCCGCACTCAACAACACGCTGCTGCTGCACCAGCTGCCCTTGCCCCACCACAGCAGCAGGAGCAGGAGCAGGGGCAGGGGCAGGGGCAGGGGCAGGGGCAGCAGGATGTCTCACCGGCTGTCGTCGTGAAGACGGAGGGTGCGTGTGGTGGGGATGGGGGCATGGAGGTGGACAAATTGGCGTCGCTGCTCACTGCTGGCGCTGCTGATGGTGGTGCTGCTGGTGCTGCCGATGGTGGTGCTGATGGAGCGGGAGACACGGAGGAAGAGACGCAGGGGTGAGAGTGTGGCGGAGAGAGACGTGCAGTGCCGTGCAGTGCGAAAAGGTGTGAGTGAGTGTGCTCTAAGACGACTTTTTGACGCAGCGCAGCCCATCGATCGATCAATCAATGCAGACAGACAGACTGCCTCTCGTCAGCAATCACGGCTGGGCTGGTTGGGTCGCTGTAAGTAAAAAGCTCATTCACGTCAAGTCATAGGCCAGCCAGGTCTCTCTCAGAGGCACAAACACAAACGCACGCACACGCATGCATGCATGAGGCCAGGCCCCTACGCGTTAGTTAATTGTCCGGTCGGTCACATCAGTCATGTACAGCAGCACACACAAGGCACGAACGACACATCAACATGTATGCCACTCACACCCATCCATCCATCCATCCCCACCCCCCATGTCAGCCATCCAGCCCTGTGTCTCGTCCTTGCCGTTCCTGCCATGGTCATTCGGTCCATCGTTTATTAGCTCTCATGTCATTCATGGCACATCCAGGGCTAGTCAATCCCCCTTCTTGCCGGGTTTGCCCTTCTTAATCTGCTCGTACTTGTCGACCAGCTCCATGACGTCCTCGTACACATTCTTGTGAACCACGTGGCCCTCAGAGTCGAAGTAGTGCCCGCATGAGCGGGTCCGCCACACCTCCTGGGTACCCGCCTCAAAACACACCTTGCCAACCACAGACTGCAACACACACAGTCACAGACACACGTCTTCTCACGCTCCTGAAACCGAGCTCCTGTGATGTGTTTTGCTGTGCTGACCTCGTCGGGAGTGATTTTGCCCTTGCCGCCGCCTGCTGTTGCGTGTCTGGACCGGTAGCCCGACCGGAGGCGGAATGTGATGTGCTCGTCGAACCGGGCCATGTCGCCATCCAGATACACCTTCTGACCCTGATGCACCGTGGTGGACCACACGCAGAGAGAGGGAGAGAGACAGAGACAGAGACCTCCATGCACTGCACACGCCCGCACTGTTCGGGTGCTGCCCGTTTGGCCTCCCGCGCACTGCACTGACCTTTTCGTTTTTGAGGATCATCATGGACCCCTTGTAGAAGCATGAATCGACTATCAGCACCAGCGTGTTCAAAGCAAAGTACACAATCTAAACACACACAGATCAGACACACAGGGGAAGCATCCATCCATCCATCCATCCATGTGTGTGTGTGTGTGTGTGTGTGTGCCTCGGTGGAATGGATGGATATGTACCACACACGCCCCCAGAGTGAGCCTCTGCTGAGGGAAGGGCACCAGGAAGTGCGACGCCACCGCCAGCAGACACGCGGCCGCCGCCAGCACGATGCGCACGTTCGACGCTGACACATCCTCTATGTAACCCTCCAACGGCAGAAACTGACACACACACACACACACACACGCACAGACAACCAGGCAGGCTATGTGTGTTGCATTCCTCCCTCAGTGACATCTGGGCAGATCCATCAGTGATATCTGCGGTGCTGCTCACTTCGCTGAGGTATTCGCCGAGCACTTGGCGGATCTCCGTCTCAGAGTACAGATTCGTCAGCTTCCCTGCAACCAACGACACACAATCCCATCAATCACACAGGGCACACACATGTGTCATATGCGAAGTCGCTTGCATCGCCTCTGCGCGCCACGTGTGTGGTGTGTATGTGGCTTACGTTCTTGCATTTCATGGGAGGGCTGTGGCATCTCCCGCTTCTTCCCGCCGTTGCCACCACCCATCCTCCGCTCAGCTCACTCTGTCAAAGGTCCCGCTGGCTGGATCTTGGTCACCTCAACGCAATGTCCTGCACTGCTGAACGGATGCCAGGCAGCTGCTGCTCGCCTCGTTTGGCCTCTGCTTCTCCTCGCGTCTAAGCTCGCAGATCGTGAGACCTCTTCACTTGAAGCTTTGCGGCTGCCTTTGTAGCGTGTTTTGTGGCCCGCCAGCCTGGTGATCACATCGTCATGCTGCCGTATTGGCTGCTGGGTTTCTTCCTGTTCATCGTCGGCCTGGTGATCCCCATCCTCATCACCCTGCACCACCTGCAGCTCAAAGACGTATGCGCCCTTCAATGCAATGCACGCAACACACACAAGAACTGCCGTTTGTTTGTGCCATGTGTGTTGATGTGGTTGCTGGCGTGGTGCAGTACGGGGCGTCCCGTGTGTGGCTGTTTTACCTGGTGCTGGTGGCTGTGGGGAGCTTCGTGCTGATCTTCCTTGAGCCCATACTCAGAGGGGTACGGAAGGAAGAACACATCAAAGAGATGACGGAATGGCAGTTGGTTCATGCGCCACGGCCTGTCCGCCTTTTGTCTGTGCGAGTGTGTGCAGATCATCGGCATATTGCCCTTGGATTTGTACTACGAGCTCAAGCTGGCACTCGTGTCAATCCTTGTTGTCCCCAGAACAGGCGAGTTACCCAACCGACACACCTCAGTGTCTGTCTGATGGATGGATGGATGTTCGTCTGTCTGTCTGTCTGTAGGTATGTTGGAGAAGCTGTTGAAGACGACCGAGGACGACTACGACAAGTACATCAAGGTGGGGCTCGAGAACTGCCGCAAAATGGTGAAAAAGATCAAAGACAGCGGGAAGGAACTCCTCAACAAGATGAAGTAGACAGGGTCCAGACGTACAGATGGACGGACAAGTAGGACAGGGGCCGACCGTGTGTCTGTCTGTCTGTATGGTAGCTACCTAGCTCGTATAGCTGTCGGTTTCTGTATGTCTGTGAGGGCGCTGTTGTTTTTATCTCGCCGATGGGGGTGTTCTTGGGGGGCTCTTTTTGATTCAATCAGTGGGTTTTTGCGTGCATACGCATGGCTGCTGTCTTTCACCGCTTTCTGCCTCCACGCCTGCCTGCCTGCCTGCCTGGCCTACGTGCCTCTTTCCCCCCCCCTCTCTCTCACCCCCTCTCTGTCTTTTGCTGTCTGTTCGCCATCCCCGTCTCTCGTCTGTGGTGTGGTGTGTGAGCGGTGTGTACGGTGTGCGTACGTGCATGTGTCATGTACGTGCGCGTGTAGTGTACTGGTGGCCGGCTTGGTAAAGCCAACTCACGACGGATGGATGGATGGATGGATGGGCGGGAGGACCTAGTCGTGAGAAATGCAGGGGGCTCCATGTGACTGACTGACTGACAGACTGACAATTTTGAATGCACCTGTCCACCATCGCTTACGCAAGTCATTGATGCCTTGCACATGTAGCCACAGCCATCCATCCATCCTTCCATCCACCCACCACACATCCACCGGTCGGTCGATTCGATGGCTGGCTGGCCGTCTGTACCGTCCACACATGTATACCCCGAGGGAAAGTGACAACTAAGCATAATCGGTCCTTCTCAATCTCGTTTTCAATCCACACTCGCGCGGACGCACAGAGCGTCGTTTCTCAATTAGGCATGAGGTCAGCACGGACAGGGAGAGACCAGAGGGCATGCAAGTAGGTTGACTGATTGCTTGATCAGTCTGTAGCACAGTGAGACAGCAAACGACGATACGGCAGAAATCAACGAGAACAAATAGACCAGTCTGGTGAGTACGGAACACCGTCTTGTCCGCCTGACATGGACGTGCCCGACAAAGCAACAGGAAAAGCCCCTCAACTCCACACCCATCCCCTGTACTGAAACATACCTACCCATCAATTAATCGACCACCCGCCCCCACAGTGGTACGTCATGCAGTCAGTCTATCTGACTGTCTATCTGTCAATCTGTCAGACTCGTATGTACACCCGCAAGCGACCGCACTCACCCTTTACTGAAACACCGATCCGATCTGCTCTCAAGCAAGACCCACCCCATCCCATCCCACCCCATCCCACCCCCTCCCCTCCCTCCCTCCATGCGATGCGCTCGACCGACCGACAACTACGAATGGAATGCACCATCCCACCGCCCCGCCCTCAGTCTCCCCTACTTTGGCTGCTCCTTCCTACTCGAGAATTTGGATGGCAGCGTGTCGCCAAGCAGCTGCACTCCTCTGATCTTCTTTTTCGGCTTCCCCACCTGCCCGCCTGGCGGCCCCTCAGCCTCGAGGTCGATGTAAATGGGTGAGGGCAGTCCTTGCCCTTCACGTGGCTGAGGGGCTGCTGCTGCTGCTGCTGCTGCGGGGGCCGGCGACTGCTGCTGTTGGGGCACGACGCGACGACGAACGGGGTCCCTGGCCACCAGTGCATCTGAGGGGCCGGCTGCTGCTGCTGGTGGTGGTGGTGGGTGCGACCTGTGGGGATGGGGAGAGGGGGACTGTTCGGCTGCTCCGACGATGCAGTCATCGGGCGACTCACCCCTCACTCCCCCCATTCCCACGACTGGCGCCCTACTGCGGCCATCGGGCTGCGGAACACCACGTGGGTCACCACGGTGTCGGACTGACGGACGCCACGCGGGCACGTTGCGGCTGTCATCGTCCCACTTGTCAGGCCCACTCCAGCGGTCAGGCTGCTCCTCTCGGCGTCGCTTCTGAGGCAAGACAGCAGCAGCAGCCGCAGCAGCAGCGGCAGGAGGCGGCAATGGAAACACGTCCATGTTACCATCCGCCGGCTCGTGTGCTGATGGTGGGGGCGGGAATGGGGCAGGTCCAGCTGCTGCTGCTGCGGCGGCGGCGGCGGCGGGGACTGGTGCCAACGCCAGGCCAGCCGTGATGACGAATTGCTGCTCGTGGTCGCTAGGATGGTGGCGGGGCCGCGGCAGCACGTCAAAGACAGGTCTGGCGATGCTCTGGGCCGCTGCAGGGGGGACGCAGTCACTCACTGCACACACAACAGACGCAGAGGGAATGGAAATGGCACCATGATGCGAGAGTCTTGGGTACCTACCCATCTGTTGGACTTTGACATCCTTGAACTGAGAGAGGCCCCTGGCGCCGATCAGGGCGTCTTGGCTGTCCCACTTGATGACACTGCACACCATACATCCAAACATCAACGTGATCAGCAAATCGCCTGCGCGTCCCCTCCAGCTTACGGGGGTATCTTCATGTTCGTCCCCTCCAGCTTCAAATCCGTGTTGATCACTGTTTTGAGCGGCTGGTCGAGCGACTGGACCTGCTTGGATCCGGTAGCAGCAGCCATCTCTGGGCCATCCAAACCACAACCACATCACAACATACACGTCGTCACGAAGACACCTCCCTCCCTCCCTCCCTCACCTGGCGCCAACGCAGGTAGTTTCACCCTCAACGCCTTCTCGACACGCGACATCAGCTCGTCAAACTCGCTCGGCTGGCCGACTTCCAAATGCCGCACCAGCCTGAGGAACTTCTGCAGAGAGTCGGCCTCGCTGGACTGGCTGGTCAGATATCCCCTGATGATGTCGGTGCGCTCTCTGCCGAGGCAGTTCAGGTCGATGGGTACCTCCGCCGACGTGCCAGCAGGCTCAGCGGCCAGCACGTCTTTGAGCAGGTCCACGAGATGCTGACGGAGGGTGATCGGCGTGAAGGCCGCCTCTGGCAAGCGAAGCGCTGACAAGGAAAGACAGTGAGACGCACGGTTGTGCTGTGCTGTGCTGTGCTCGTGTGTGTTAATTCACACTCACCTGGTGCGGTGTGGTCGAGCCGTGTGAGCATCATAATGAGTCGCTCCCGCCACTGGCCCCTCGATGCGAGCATCCCACAATTGACGAGGGCGATGGTGGCGCCATAGCCCAGGCTGAGGAAGTCCTCAATGACGGCCGCGAGGGCGTTGGGATGGTCGCGTGGCAGCCCCTTGACATTCTCTGAACACGCACATGCACACACAACATAGCCAGACACACAATTCGATGCGTGCCGTGCATGTGTGCGTCGCTCGCTCACCGAGGACGATGTATGGGTTTTTGGTCAGCCGGATGATCTCTACCAGCTGGAAGAGGACTTCGCGCTTCTCACCGGCCCTGTCGTCGCGGAACCGCTCTGCGGTGGGCCGAGCGGTGCTGAAGCCCTGACACATCGACGTATTCACATTGATGTATTCAGCACACATGTGAGGAAATGCCTGCCCGCTCACCTGGCAAGGCGTGCCCGCATCCACTATTCTGGCCTCCTTCAGGTGGCGAAGGACGTCACCGGCGACCTGCCGTCCTTGTGAAGGCAGCTCGCTGTCGTCCTCGCCCCACGTGGTCAACACGCCAGCCACGTCAGCGAGCGAGGCCAGGACGCAGTCGGGGCCATTGGGGAAGCCGCGATTGGTCCCAGGAGGTCCACTCATGAGGTACTGCACACCCACACAGGCGCACATTCAAAAGACAGTCCCCAGACGTGGACGGATTGCTCCTTACCTTGAAGGCCTTGGCGCATGGCTCGTCCTTCTCAACCCCCAGGACGTTCAGCTGCACGCCGCGCTCCTTCGCCTCCATGTCAATGCCCGCCGTCAGAAAGCCCGCGCTGCAGCAATACGATGCAGTCTTGACAGGGCCGCCCTCGCCTCCACCTCCACCCACGCCGCCCATGGCCCGCTCGATAACAGGGCACCTGTCGAGTGGCGCCTGCTTGGTGGCCCGGATGATCTCCAGGGGCACCCTGTCGATCGTGTCGGCGACTTTCTCGGCCTCGCCGTCGTGGCGAATGCGGCGCGCCCGCGCAAGGCGATCTGCATGCTCCTCTTGCATGAGCCCCGGGCCTCCCGTCTCGAGTGAGAATGGGGAGATGAAGTGGCGACAGACGAGGTGGGTGGGCGGCCGAGAGTGCGGAGAGCCGGTGCTGAGTTGGTGCTCCAGGCGCTTCATGACGCACATGGTCTCGCTCGGACATCGGCAGAAGGACAGCGGCACCTCCCAAAGTATCTCCCAGGACACAGTGGGTGGGAAGGGGTTGGTGCCTCGCCTCGAGAGAAGGGAGGGCACGTCCACATCCATGTCGTCTGATGCCGAGGGCACGCGCACGTCCTCCGATGTCTGCCTGTGGGGGAGCCGGGCGAAGACGCTGAGGACCTTGCACCCCTTGTCGCCGATGTCATGACTCGGCAGGCTGATGGGCACCTCCGTGAAGCCGATGTGGGCCGTGAGGCTGAGGTAGTAGAGGACCTTGACGTGCGGCGACAAGACCGAGCACGGCTCGGCCAAGCAGGCGAAGCGCCGCTCATTGCGGGACTCGCGGAGGGGCAGAAGCTCCACGACGGCGCCCTTGGGGATCTCGCCTTCTGGGGCGTCCACATTGATCTCGCTCCTGTCGAGGTGGCAGCGATATGGGCAGCAGGGGTCGACCGAGGGGAAGATGCGACGAAAGCACTCGGTGTGGAAGAAGCGCCCGCACGACTGCATGCAGGCGAGAGAAAGACCATTATCCATACAGGCAGGCAGGCAGGCAAGCAGTGAGGGATTGCGTACGTACGCGTACCTGATCGCTACATGGATGGAGTGGTTGGTTGGTACCCCCACAGATGGTGCAGTACTCGCTAACTTCCCCGCCCCCCCACATGTCCTTCCCCTTCTTCTTGAGCGCCTCAAAACACGTCTTGCACAGCACCACCTTGTCCGCCAGGACCCCATCCAGCCACGCCATCTGGACCGATCTCCTCTTCTGCTGGCGCCCCTGCTGTGTGGCGATGGGGATGAACCTGGAGAGAAGAGGGTGGTCCACGACATGAGCACGCTCATCCACAGGCTTCTTGCAACGCCAGCAGCACCGCTCATCGTGCTCGTCCGTCTCGTCCTGCGACTCATCCCGTGAGTCGCAAAGCGGCTGCGAATCGTCATCGGGAGCCGCTTTGAGGCAGACGAGACGATGTCCAGCCAGCCTCTCGAGGTCGCGGAGCGATTTGAAGGTCAAGATGAGCTTGCCGCCGACCCGATAAAGGCCAAAGGGGCGGGACTGGGCTGGCGACTCTGCATACACACCACACCACACCACACCACACCAGACCATACACACGCGGAATGGTGCAGCGGCTGAGTGTGTGGTCTGAGATGTGCCTACGTTTTGTGTGTTCGTCGTTGATCATCCTTTCGATCCTTTCGATCGCACGACGCTCATCCTTGAAGTCTGCGAATAAGCGGCGAGACCGAGACCTGCAGGAAGGCACAAAACACACCAAGACAGACACACGTGTGTGTGTGTGTGTGTGTCTGTGATGTGTGTATGGGGAATGTACATCAGGCCGCCCGGCATACGTAGACTCACTTGTGCACGGGTAAGGTGAGGTCGACACCCTCCTTGTTCACCAGCGACGTGTCGGGACAGCCCTACACATTCACAACAAACAGGTCAACGACTATTCTGCCTGCCTGCCTGCCTGCCTGCATATCCCTTTCTGTTACTCACCGCCCATTTGACGACGTATGTGTTGCCTTTCCTGTCACACAGGACGAGTCTGATCTCCTGCAGCCACGACGAAAATGCCATGAAGATGGCTGCAGGAGCTTTTCGAGTGGATGGATCGTCGAACCTCGATCTCGTAGTGAGCCTGCCTCTCGGGCACCGTGGCCAACGGGTCCTCGTGGAGCCTCCTGAACCGCTCGATGCGGTCGATCATGCGTAGCCGCTTCTTGTTGTCATGCTCCATCTCAGCCACCAGCTCGTAAGCAGGCGCCGCCTCAAGCTGCTGCAGCACCTCGCGCAACTGGTCACACACACACACAGAGAGAGAGAAACAAATATGGACAAATGGCTCATCGGTCGCAATTATGTGTGTTGTGGGTCTCTGACGTGGCCAAAGAAGGCATCGTAGGTGTCAGGGCTGTCCAGCTGACCCGCCATATGATGCATGTGCCGGGGGATGCCGAGCGCGTTGAGTTGTTCGTCCGTCGCGCTCGCCAGCAGCTGCCTGGCCGAGCGGACGTGGGATGGCTCACTGAAGGCGGCTGCGGCTGCTGCTGGTGGTGCGTCTGCGAGGGCCCTCTGGTCCTCGTTGTAGATGTCATGCAGGCGCACCGTGTACAGAAGAGCCGCCAAACGCTCAGCAGCCTGGAACACATCCACACACACACACACACACACATATGCATATGCCAACAATGATTGAGGGCGTGTTGGTACGTATGTGAGAGAGTGGTCTGACCTCAATTTCGGCCTCGTTGACCACCCGAATCACCCTGAAGAAGGGTATCTTTTTGGTACCATACTCATGGTACAACTCCTGCACCAGCACGGCCTGCAGACACACGGACACACACAGACGGCACAGAGCACTACAGGGAATGCAGGCGGAGAGTGCTGATCCGTGTCTAGTGCTCGCCTCGTCGGGTTGGAGGCTCGGCAGAAGGATAAGTGTGCCCCCCAGCGACTGGACGACACACAAATAACACCACACCCACAGCACAGACGTCATGAATGGATGGTTGATGGATAGAATCAGTGAGTCGTACCCTCTTTGGTGGCTGCAGCCTCCTTCTCCTCTTGGGCAGGCCAGGCTCCTCTTTGATGACCACTCCCGGCGGCAAAAGCATCCCACCACCGCCACCGCCACTATCATCAGCAGCAGCACCACCAGCGGCCGCAGCAGCAGCCGCTCCGCCAACATCTGCACTGTCGTCTGGCCGCCCTGCGATGTGCCGGCCCTCCCCTCTTCGCCCCTGCCGGCTCCTGACCTCACGGTCTCGACCATCCACAAATCCCAACCCCGTCGCCGAGTCAGCTTCTTGCCGATTGCGCGAGGGAGCTCGACTTCGACTAGTGCCGGTGGAAGCCGCTGGCTGCTCGTGGCTGCCTGGCCGCTGGCTCGGTCGGCGGATGCGACGGTCGGGGCTTCGAGACCGTCCCGCGTCAGCCCGTGGCTCGTCGCAAGGCTCGTCGACTCGTCGCTGGCGGTGACTCTTGGCAGTAGGCTTCTCCGCAGCGGGTGGCGCGTTGCGGCCTTCTGCACGGGCAACGCGAGGGGGAGAGGGAGAGGGCTCGGGTGACGGACTTGTAAGGTCTATCGCGTCCTCAGCTGTTCGCCCTTGCTGTTGCTGTAGTGCCATCCTCCGCAACTCCCCTGATAGGCTAAGGCCTTCCTTGGTCAGCGGTAAGCGATGACGGCTGAGAGACCGATGCTATGCTATGGGAGAGTTCCAATACGCTCTCATGATGTCATTGATGATTGATTGATGATTGATCGAACTCATTCAGGACAGACGAGAAATGACGATCCACAAGAAGTCACATATTCGTAGGCATCAATGCACCAAGGAAGACAGATTGATGCCTGAATGAATGAATTAGTCCTGCAAAGCGACGGGACAGATGCCAAGGAGTGAGTCCCCCCGTCCCCTACCACTGACTGCCCTCCCCTGCCAGTGTGCCATATCCATGGTCCTTCGAGATGCAATTTGATCGAACCCATTGCAACCAACACGACGTGAAATCACCATCCATAAGAAGTCACACATACGTATGCGTCAATGCGTCCAGGAAAACAAATTGGCGCCTGGCCTGCATGAGTGCTGCAAAGCGACGCGGCCCATCCCATCGCCCTCTCACCTCACCCCATCGTCACCAACCACCGCCCTCGCTCAGCCACCATTCCGCCCGCCACCTTATCTGTCCGCCCCAGGTCTATCTGCAGCCGCCAGAGGCCTCGACAGCTTTTGCACGAGATGGCCGCTGTGCTCGTAGATACGAGCCATGCGATCCTGACACACACAGACACAGACAAGGTCGACAGACACAACCATGCATGCCGTTTCCGTGACCAGTGGACGGACCTGCAGCTCCAGATGGGCTCGCCGCAGCGAATGCAACTCATCACTCAGCGCCGCACACTCTGCGCGCCTCGCCTCGCTGCACACACACACACACAGTTGCAACACAATGACAGGAATATCTGAGCTGTGGTTGCTGCCGATGTCGGGGCGTCTACCTTTCGGCAACGGTGGCGGCCCGCGTGTTGGTTCGCCATCTGTGCAGGGCATGTCGCTGCATCTTGCCCCAATGCAGCACGGCCATGCGCTCGGCAGCCCTCATCCACAGCATGTGTCGACGGCATCGGCCCCACGCCCACCGAGCCGCCGAGAGGAAGGGCCGCCTCAGTCGGGTCTCCATCTTGTGGGCGGCCAGCCGACGGCCATAGAAGACACACCTACACCAACAGAAGGAGGACACGTCTATGAGTATCGATGCTGCCTCTTGCCTGCCTGCCTGCCTCCGTCCTCACCTGTATGCCATCCACGCCCGTCTCAACATCGCCCGTTGGCGCCGCCTCACCAGCAGCTCACCCAGCCTGTGAATCGCCCTCCCCCTCAAGGCCTCCCGCCGAAGTCGCCGCCACGCACGTGCCACATCACGACGCTCCACCGACCGCCTCAATTGGGCCGTCAGGTCCTGGCGCTGAGCCTGCCGTGCGAGGGTAGCCTGGTGCCAGGCGGTGAATGCCAGACGGCGGCCGTGGCGCCTGAGGCGGTCACTGTGGACGTGGTCGGCGGTGGCCGTGTCCTTGGTGACGCGGGCACTGTGCTGAGTGAGGGATACAGAGAGGCACACAAGACAACATTTTCATTGAATGAGACCGGCGTGGTGTGCCAGGGTCGCTTGTGGTGGTGTCGTACCCGCTGGAGGGCCGTGAGGGCTGCCCGAAGGCTGCTTGTGTGCCACCTGCTGATGGCCTCACCCAACTGTCCCACGGCGCCATGCCACCTAGTCAGCGGCCGCTCTCCCGCAACCGTGGCCCATCCCCTCACACACCGCTGCAGCAGCGCCCGCCGCCGACCCCCAGCCATCGTCACCAGCCTCTTATACTGATCCACTAGCCTGCTATCGGCACCAAGCGACGCCTGCAGTGCCTCCCACGACATGGCCTCCCCCTGGTCCAACAGCCGAGGCATGGCAATCTGTGCCCTGGCCAGGATGAATCGCTGGAAGGGGACCTGGATGTCATCGGGGAGGAACTGCTGCCCACCCACCTGCTCCCAGAACGACTGAGAGGACTGGGGCGGTCTTGGTGGGCGGGGCGGGGGAGGCTGCGGCACCGTCAGATCGCAGTCGGCTCGCCGCTTGAAGGCCGGGATGCAGAAGCGCGACGAGAAAGATGGGTCGTGTGGGGGCGGCTGGTCTCGGTCTCGGTCTCTTGGTGGGCCGGCCTCATCATCGGCCGTGAGGCTGGTTGGTGCCGGCGGCATCTTCACTATGATATCGCGATGCTGCGATGGCTCGACAGGCGACGGCTGGTGGAGGGAGGGGGAGGATGGCTGTGAGAGGGGGACAAAGGGATGGCCCTTCAGATCAGCCGTGGTCCTAGTCTTGACCAGTGACGAGAAGCTCAGCGGCGTCTTCTTGGACGAGGCCGAGTCCAGCAGCGGCCCGGGTGGGCTGGTGGCGTCGTCCGGCTTGCTCGCCTCGGTCTCTAGAGACTGATCCACAGCAGCAAAAGGCCGCTGCTGATGCAGCGGTGCCCTCATGGAAGGGGATGGCACCCGCGGATCTGACCTCCCAGAACTGAACAGCCCAGACGACCGCCTCAGAGAAGATGCCAGCTCTCGCTCTCGGTCTCGCGGTGGCGGCACCGGTGAGCTCGCCAACGCGTCGGGCAGAGGCGGCAACAGACCCTCTATCTCAGCAACACCATCCAGACGAACGCTCAGAGGAGCAGACAGGTCGAGAGCCGCGCCGCCGCCGTCGTGCCTGACGCTTCGCTGCAAGGCCGCCGGTCCTTCATCCCCGCTACTGGCACCCATGGTGGCGTGGAAGGGCACCGGCCTCGCGGCTGCTGTGGTCCTTATCGGCGTTCGTCGCGGCACATCGGGCTGCAGGCTGCTGAATCGTGACTCGGTGGACTCGTGTAGGGATGACCGCCGCCTCTGGCTGCGATGAAGCGTGTGCACTGGGGGAGTCTCCCTGACGCTGCCCGATGAGCGAAGGGAGCGGCCGGAAGTTCCCAGGCGGTCAGCGGTGGTGCGCTTTGGCGTGGCCTTCTGTGAGGAACTCCTTACCCTGCCCCGATTCATCCTGCGCTCTAGCCACTTGCGAGCTCAAAATCTGATTTGCGAGCTTAAGAGTTTTCAGCGACGGCTTTCGCGCAGAGGATGCAATGAGCACGTACGCCAGAGCGAGGAGGCTACGTTCTCCTCGTAGATCTCCGACATGGGCTGCGTGAGGACGCCACCTCGACGAAGCCTGTAAGTACGGCAGCTGAAGACGGGCACCTGTCAGACGCACGGGCCCTGCCTGCATTCGCGTAGACTGCATACAGCCATGCAGGTGAAGCCAGCGGTGTTGCTGCTGGGTCTGACGGCAGCATGCCGGTCATCAGCGGCTGGTCAAGATAACGGCGCCTCGCCGTCTGATGGATCCCCAGTGCCGATATCTGTCCCGCTGCACCATTACAAGAAGCCCCGTGTGCCGTCTGGTCGGCGTGTCAACGTGACGAGCCTGCTGTGTGGCCTGATAGAGCTGGTGGATATTGACAATGTGCAATACGTACGTGACGTGTGTATGCGGGAGGGGGAGGGAGGAGGGGAACCGAACCAGTCAGTGCACTCAGTGCACTAACTTGCCTTCTTTTGCTTGCGTGTGTGTGTGTGTGTTGGCTGCAGTACGGCAATGTGGGTATCGGCACACCGCCCCAGGTCATGCGGCTGACATTCGACACAGGTGAGGGAGTGGGAAAAGAAAGGACGGCACGCTGGCTGGCGTGTGTATTGATGGTATGTCCATGATCAGGTTCGGCTGACGTCTGGGTGCCCTCCCCCGCTTGCCGGCCCTGCCAGACACCCAGAGTCTTCGACCCTAGGTCCACACACATACACGAAAGAAAGGCGCACCCACACGTTCCCTGTGTTAACATGTGTTGTGCAGCAAGTCGAGGACGTTTGTGAGCAGCAGCGTGTATGAGGTTTTGCACTACGGCAAGGGCATCGTCATGGGCTCCGTCGCATACGACACCATCAGCCTCGGCGGCTACTACCTGCACGCACAGAACATGCTACTCGTTGAAGAGGAAGACCAATTCGAAGGTAGGGCCGTCCGTCATCACATGCACTGCACCGGTCTGCACAACACACACACACGCGGTCAGTCTGCTCACTGTAAATACTGTGAGCGCGTTGTTGTGTCAGGGGCGACCTTTGACGGCGTGCTGGGTCTGGCGTGGGACGCTATCGCCCACACAGGAGCTACCGTGTTCAGCAGGTCAGAGAGAGCAACCGCCCCAAACGCAGGCACCTTACCTTTCCGACATACATCCGTCTTGCGTACCTGCCGTGCCGTCTGTCAGGATGGTTGCCAAGAGGCTGATCCCCTCGCCGGTGTTTTCGGTGGCCCTCACCGCCGGCGCGGGCTCAGAGCTCATTGTGGGCGGCGTCGACGCCAACAGATTCGATAAAGCCACTCTCGCGTAAGACCTCCACCACCATCACAGCACCCTCCACACACACACACACACACACGAAGACCATGTCATTCGGTGTGTCATTGGTCAGTTGGGCGCCTGTGATAGAGTTCAAGTGGTGGGCGATTGAGGGGTCCTTCGGCGTGGGCAGCAAGGTGCTCTTCAAGGACATCAAGCTGGTGGTCGACACGGGCACATCCTACTTCAACATTCCAGCACCATACTTCAGAGTCAGCCAGCCTGCCAACCCAACCGCACATCTGAAACACTACGACACGACCGACACCCATGACATGTCTATCTCTGTGTCTGTCGTGCTGCAGACGTTTGCTCTCGCCCTTCTGACGCACGACAATATGGAGAGATGCTTCGTACGCAACACACACCCACACACCACACGCCTGATCGAACACACATGGCCGGTCGGCATGTCTGTCTGTCTGCATCTTCCTGCCCGATGTCATCCATTGATCGATCCATCAGGTTGATGCTCAGTTGAGTGTGCTGGTGTGTGAGTGCGGACTCGCACACAAAGCGCCACCACTCACATTCAACGTCGGCGGGCGCGTCTTCTCCATCCCGGCCCTCTACTTCTTCTCTGAGCCACTGCCTGACGGCCTCTGCATCCTTGAGGTAGGTAACTTAGCAGGGACACATATATGTGGTCAGCACATGACTTGATGGCATTCCTGTGTGCATCTGTGACGGTGCAGGTATCAGCCGGCCCCGAGACGCTGCCATGGATATTGGGTGACGTGTTTCTGCGGCGCGTGTACGCCATATTCGACGTCGAGAAGGGCCGAGTCGGCCTGGCGGAAAGGTTCGCCGCGCCCCACACCGCCCATCACACACGTCTGTGCATGCATCCTCCTTCCATCAATCAGGCTTGACGGCTGGCCTTCCAGCAGCAAAGCCATCAACGTGGAGGCGAATCTCGTGTCACTTGACGCCCTCTCCCCCTTCTCCCTCCCCATCACGGCCAACGCATCCTGGGCCACACCATCGCTGGCCGGGGACGGCAGGGGCTGGCAGCGGCAGAAGCCGCAAACAGACCCGCCCTCCTATGTGCCTTCGCCCCTGCAGTGGGTGGCGGGGGGGCTGCTGCTCGCTGTCTTCTTCACATGCTTCTGGTGAGCTCGCTCACTCGCCCACACAAATGAAGGACGGACAGATGGGGTGCTCATGCATGGTGTTGTCGTTGTGTGTTTGCAGCCTCGGTTCGCTCCCCATTTTGAAGCTGTTGTGGCAGCGCATCCGGCAGAGTCTCTTCCTGCTCACCGGCGGCTCGCGGCTGACCATCGACATGCCACACAGAGGTCCCGCAGACGGCCAGCCCGACGACGACATGATGCTCGACGGCGGGTCCTACTGCATGGCCCCCGGCAGCTCCCAACCGGCCGCCGGGTCCACCGACTCACCCAGAGGGCACGTGCGCATGAACATCCGCACAGCCCCGGTGGGAGCCGACCCATCTACCGGCTTCCACACCAGTCTGGTGGCCAGTGACTCGATGGTGTCCATCCCGTCGCTGCCGAGTGTGTCGAATGTGACCCCTCTCCACAAGACCAACCACTCGCATGGTCCTGCGCAGATAGTGGATCTGACGACGGCCGAGGGGACACAGGAGGCACAGAGGGCCAATGGTGGCCGTGCTGGGGCCGTTGCGAGCGGCGTGTCGCGGGCGCGCCAGTGGCTGTCGTTCTGGACGGGGACGGGGGCGCGGAGGGTTGTGGATCCTCAGGCTCTGCTTCGCGACACTGCGGTGACCGAGGAAGGGCAGGATAGTGCCCACCAGTCGACACATGACGTCAACTAGGGAGGGGGATGGTTGGGGGAGGTGGGAGGGCTTCTGTTTTGTAGGGAGGTTGGGTCTGCAGAGATGTATGGCATCATGTGTGGCGGCTAGGGGTCTGTCTCTCTGTCTGGATGACCGTCTGTCTGCCTGTCTGTCTGTCTGGCTGGCTGGCTGGCTATTGTGACATGTGAGCTACATGCATGCATACATACCTTCGTACGTGTGTAGTGGAGGAGTGGCGGGGGTTGAGGGGCCCTTCACGCCGTTCCTTCTCTTTTTCTGGTCGGGCTATCCGATCGACGGCAATTCCCTCACAGATTTTCCGTAGGTGTCTCTCTGTCGTATGTATCTGCACGAGACCATGGGAGAGAGAGGGTGAATGGGTGAGGTGAGTTCCTAAGTCATCTATCTGCCTGCGACATGACATGCATGTGTGTGCATCCGTCCGTCTGTCTGTCTGTCTGCTGCATGTACGTACGTGTGGTCTGTCTACACGACACGTGGTACATGAGTGTGCGTGTCAAGAGTGGAGTGTGGACGATGGCCGGCCTGTTTGTACACGTACGCGTCTGTCTCTGTTTGGGTGGGTGCTTAGTGTCCATATCCAGTACATATTTGTAACCCTGACTGACTCGACTCATGTGTGTCGGTCGTGCCCCCTTCTTGCCATCCACACCACACCACACCCATACGGACTGACTATATGGAGGGACACCTCGCTCATTGCGCTATCTATCTATCTATCTGCCGCATACGCTGGCTGCATACAGACACGTGTGTGAGAGTGCACATGATGGGATGGATGGCGGGTGCGTCGTGTCTGAGACAGACAGACCTGTGTGCGCTTTATGTGTAGTGGAGGGCGTCTGCAAGCTTACACACACGCACATGTGAGTGACCGTGCGTATGTATGGTGAGGGCTATGTGTGCCTGAGTGCAGACTGACTCGAACGAACCGGAATCAAGGTTCATCCACCTGAGTGCACGTCCGATAGCACACTCGACCCTCATCACATCCACGATGGACAGTCAAATATCATGCATAATATCAAATGCAGCCAGCGATAGATAGATGCGGAATGCTCGTTCTCAACGACAGACGAGGCCTGAACCCCTCGGCCCGGAAATTGGTTGTTCGGTGTCTGCCTTTTCTCGACTGCCTGCCGTCCATGACAGTGTCTGGTGATGGGTGGCGTGACTCGTGTGTATGTTGATGGCTTGCAGCCTTTTATTTGACGCTTACATGTGCGACTGCTGATGAAAAAGGCGATAGAAGCGGTCGATTCTCGGCACCTGCCGTATCCACCAAGAGAAACTCATCCAAAGTGATTGGGGTTCACTGCGGCTGGGTGATTGACTCCTGGCGAGTCCTGTGAGCCCATCAGAAGGGCTCCTTCTCCCTCCTCTGTCGGCCTGCAGCCGATCGATGCGAGCCAAAGAAAGTGGGCGAGAAAAACGAAACGATTCGTCCTTCAGGCCCGCAGTGCAGTGAGGACCTGTTGAGCGGACGAGTCCGCTTGTCCACCGCTCAGCCGCCTCTCGCGAGATCCATTAGCGGCCTTATCCATCGCGCCACGTAGCGGCTTCTCGTCCGACGGTGAGTGGGAAGATGCGGCGATTGGCTCACTCACAAGCCCGGTGTGTGTTGGTGGTCTTCAGGTCTGCCTTGGTGGTCTTCAGGTCTGCCTTGTCGGCGGGCGAGTCGGATTGATGAATGGTCACCTCATACGTTGATAGGCAAGCCCTGATGCACGCAACACACAGGCACACACAGGCACACACCAGGCCCATCTCTGTGTGTGTGTTCCATGGTGCAGCTGTCTGTGTGTTTGAGTGAGTGAGAGCGATGTCGTCGGGCCGTCAGAACACCGACATGGCCCCTGCTGGCCGGGCAGACGGTGGCAATGGCGATGAAGGTACACTCAGCTCAGACAAATGCAGCACATCACACACAAGGCAACATCGTGTGTGTGGATGTGTGTGTTCCTTTGCAGACGATGTAGCCGGGGAGGAGACCAACGGCTTTTATTTGACGAGGGTGAGCGACGAGCTGTGAGATATAGCAAGGCAGCACGGTCACGACTGCTCGTGTATGTGTATTTGTGTGTGTGTGTGCGTGTGTGCGTGTGCAGGTGTTGTCCGTGTTGAAGGGGGCCGCGGTGTCGGCGGGCAGAGCCGGGGACGACAGAACACAGGTACACGCCGGCCGATCCACCGACACACAAATCAGAATCGCCCTTCAGAGCTCATCGTTAGTAATCTTGTATGTGTTTGCCCGTTGTGCCAACCACAGGTGCGCCGTTACCACACAACTGGTTCCCTCCCGGCACCAGTGGCGCTAGCAGACGGCTATCCGAGCGCATCCTCCGCCGCACAGTCACCGGCGAACAGCATGTGACGGACGTGATCCAGCAGCATAAGGCCGACCCCAATGTGGAGCTGTGGCTACATACGGATGATGAGAATGGCCATTCTAGCTATGCAGATTATCCGCTGCTGGCGCTGTGCCCTGACAACCTCTCGGACAACCGCGTGCGATCCATCTGGGCAGCCGACAGGGACGTGGACGACGACATGGAGGCTTGTGGGTGTCCCGTCGTCTTGCCCATGTGGCAGACCCCCAGCCTCCAGCTCGCCATCATGCGAGTCCTGATCGAGAGAGGGGCGGACATCAATGCGGGTGATCTGTGTGCGCCCATCGTTGTGGCCATCAGAGCCTGCAATCGGGCCGCATTCGACCTCCTGATCGGCCAGCCAGGTACGCACCCATTCACAGCACTCACGACACGGAACACACAGCATGGTGGCTGTCTGTCTGTCTGTCTGTTTCAGGCATCCAGCTGCAGGGGCGATGCGTGCTGATGGTGCCGCCTTCTCGTCGGACGGATCAGCCGACTGAGGCTGACGAGGCCACCCTGCTGTCCTTCTACCGGGAGCTCATCCAGCGGGACAGCACACTCGCAACAGAGCGGGACCCGGATGGCACCAATCCGGTGCATTGGGCGGCCGCGGGCCCTCCCGTCTGGTCCCAGCGGTTCATCGAGATCTATCTCGACCTGCTGGTGAACAACGGGGCCGACCTCAGGGCCGTGGACAATGATGGATGGACTCCATTGCACTTCGCGGCGGACTGGGGCTCCCACTGTGTCGCTGCGTCTCTGTGTCGCCGCCTCGCCGCTGCTGACGTCAACAGAGGGCTGCCGAATGACCCCACCTACACACCCCTCACCCGTGCTGCCCAACAGCTCGACGAGGACACCCAACGGCTGCAGGACGACAACACGGAGCAGACCGAGAGGGACCGGGCCACCATCCGGATTCCCCACGTCAAGACCACCATCCGTGTGCTGCTCCAAGCGGGCGGTGACATCGCCCGCATGCCCACCGCCACACAAAAGGACCACCGCAGTCGCCAGCTGGTGTCGACCGTGGCCAACGAGCTGCCCATTCCCGAGCCGCGCCCCGCCACCATCGAGGCGCAGGAGCGGCTGCAGAAGAGGAAGGAGGACCGCGACAAGCGCAAGGGCCGACAGGCCACACGAGAGCTCAGGGAGGCCCCCACAGCGGCCGAATTGGCGCGACAGCAGAAAGAGGCCGACGCCCATGCGGAGGCCCTCATCAGAGAGGAGGCGGCCAAGAAGAAGACGGCGGCCAACAAGAAGGAGGCGAGCAAGAAGAAGGACAAGAATCAGGGCAAGAGGGCGGGCAAGAGGCAGCCCAGCACAGCCACCTCCACCTCCACCAGCAGCCCGCCGGGCGGCGAAGACGATCAGGCGGACAGCAGTGGGGCAGCCGATGATCAAGATGAAGACATCGACACCCTCCTGCTGAGGTCAGCTTTCGCCAGCCGCGCCGTCGAAAGCCAGAAGCAGACAACCAAGCTCGAACAGCAGAAGGCGACACCCACCAGACGCGAGCCACCTGCCCACACCAAAGAGTCGACTCGTTCCCCCTTCTCGCCCTTCCAGCCTCCCACACGCAAGCCCAAAAAGACTGAGCAGCCGTCAGCTGACCGTCTGCTGCTCTCTCGCCCCAGCGGTGTGTCGACGGCCGATCAGACGCCGCGCGAGGAGCGCCTTCCGGGCCCATTGGCAGGCAGCAAATTGGGCAGAGGCAGGGGGCTGGGCCTCCCGGCTGCTGCACCAGCCCTGTTGTCTCGGCCTGCCCCTCCCACTCCCCGTCTGCCATCGGCTGAGGAGCTGCGCGAGTCGGCCAGGCGGCGATCGTTTGTGTCGTCGAGCACATCCCACCCGCCCCCACCCCCCCGGCCCCTCTCACCTGCACACCAATCGCCGAGCGGTGCCGATGATGGATTCCCGCCTCTAGCACATGCGTCACAGCAGCTGTAGGCAGACAGACAGAGAGAAGGGGATGAATGGATGTGCACAATGAATGGTGTTGTTGTGTGTCGTCGTCTCTCTTTGTGTCAGCAACGGCTCGTTTCCCGCGTCCTCGAGTGGACATCGTCCGTCATGTCACCGGGGCCCCCCGCCACTCGTCAAGTATCCCAAGTAAGGCACTGACAGGCCGACATGAGGCCACCTCACTCACACACCAATGGGTGATTATCGTGCACCCATCTTCTCATGTCGTTAGGGGCTCTTGTAGGCGTGTTGAGTGGGTGGCTGAGGAGGGTCTTGAGCGTGACGCTGGTAGCGACGCAGAAGACAGTGGCGCTGACGGCGAAGACACAGACCCAGTGCAGAGGTCGGCACAGCCAGGCCCACCACACACTTGCTCACTTATTGCGGCTGTCATGCAGGCTGCTGTCGGCTGCGGCAGCTGCTGATGACGCCGACAACAAGGGCACTCGTCGGCCGAACAGACACAGGTGATCTCCGTTGGCCAGTGCTGAGCCTCTCCCAACTGCATCCCTTGTGTGGTTTGCAGGCCCTCGTCTCACTCGTCAGGTGCCGCCGCGGCATGTGCATCTGCGTCTGCCTCACCGCCGTCATTCCGAGCGGCAAACGACGCTCGCTACCCAGAGCACCGACACCAAGACGACAGGTCCGTTATTTGCTACAGACGTGCAGTGCACAAGCACGGCAGAGGTATCATATATTCTGTGTGTGCAGTGAGGATGACGAGCAAAGCCAGATGGCCATCCGTGCGTCACTCCACGAGGCCACGACCGCCGCCATGATGATGCCCCCGCCATCCCCGCCCTCCTTGTCGCTGTCGTCTGGTGGCCATGCCAGTGGCGCATCCGCAGCAGCAGCGGCGCCGCTGGGCCCTCAAGAAGATACCGTGTCCAGGGCTATGTTTCCCCCGTCCTCGAGTGTGGATCGTCCCTCGTCTCACCGGGGCCCTCCGCCACTCGTCAAGTCTCCCAAGTCAGATGCAGACAGAACGATGAATCGCCACACGTGGCCACACACCTGGTTGGCTCTGTTCATCTTCTGCTTAGGTCATTGGAGCTGTCATTGGGACAGGACAGTTCTGACGAGTTGGATGATGCCTCTTGCCCGCCGCCATTGTCTGAGCACAGGTATACACACAGCCGCCTCCAATTCGCTGTCTCTTTTCATCTGTGTCGTGTGGTGTCACCTCTTCTTCGTATGGTGCCTTCCTGCCGTCCAGTAGCTACGGCTTTGCCCCTACCGAGCCATCGCCAGCAGCAGCAGCAGCAGCAGCCACCTCCTCGTCTAATGGCTACAACTACCCCAGTGAGCCACCATTATCACCAGCAGCAGCAGCAGCCGCGGCCAGTGCGTCTTCGTCTCAGCGATTTGACCAATCGTACGCCACACACTCATTCACTCAAGCAGGGAGAGGGCAGGCTGGTGACGGCCATCCCTTCAGCGGCTCATACGACGACTCATCGCAATACCACCACACGGCTCCAGAGTACGCTCGTGCATACCAATGAGCTGCTTGCAGGTGCCCTCATACTTGTGTTCTCTGTCTGTCTGTCAGGCCTTATGAGTGGCCGTCATGGTCCAACGGGTCGTGGGCTAATGAGGATATCCCTGACAGTGAGGTGCCGCTTCCGGGTCCGATATTCGAAAATGAGGAGGACGACCAAACACTGCCACACTCGGCATCACCATACGCCGCTGCTGCTGCTGCTGGTGGTGGTGGAGATGAGAGGTACGCACACACGATGACCGATCAATTGTTCTTGAACGGATTGATCGGATGTGTTCAGTATCGCCGGGACGTCTCGTGAGAATGAGGTGCTCAAGCGTGAGAATGAGGAGCTCAAGCGAAGGTACGCACCACATAATGCAACCAGGGGAGGAACACTCATCATGCACTCACTGTGCGGTCGATCAGGCTGGCCGAGTTGACCGTCCAGCAGCCGCCCCATTCATCCCAGCCACCCTCGTCCAGCAGCTCAAGCGCCCCTCCCCCACTCCAGCCACACTCACGGCCACAGCCACAGCAGCCACATGGCAGCGCTGACGACACGGCTGGCGAGTGTGTGATACGTTTCGGCGAGCACGGCGCTGCGTCGATCATGTATGTGCCGTGCAAGCACCTGTGTGTGTGCGGCCACTGCTATGCCGATCGCCGGCGGCGCCACGAGGCTCGGGTGCGGCGCATTCGGCGGCTCAACGCCCGAGCTGAGAGCGAGGCCGACAAGCGGCCCATCCCCACGTTCGAGTGTGACATCTGCCGCAAAGAGGTCGGCTTCGCCGGCACTCAGGCAGAGGTGCGCCAGTGGATCGAACGACCATTCACTTAGACAGACAGCAGGCTGACGAGTGATCAGATTTAGATGGGGGAGGGGGGTGCATGGCTGTGGGTGCGCGTAGGAGAGAGCTTGTGTGGCCCACTGGATGCGGCCATTCATGTCGCGCTCTGACTGACTGACATACTGACTGACATACTGCAGGGCAGGCGGGAAGTAGAGGGAGTAGGCGGGAAGTAGAGCTGCCCGACTGAGATGGGCGAGCCCGGTATGAAACAGCTTGGGACCCTGAAGCGCATCGCATCATGGCGGGTGTGTGTGCCATGGTTCCGTGCGAGTGGATGAGTGGAAGAGGCGCTGACCTCCATTGCGATAGCAGCGGGGAATTGCATCAGCGTCGAGAAAAACCGCCATGTCGCTCCACACAAGGATGGCTGCGACGCACAAGCCTTGAGGCCGTGTGGCGAGTGTGTCACAGGAGTTTAGGCGCTGCTGTGAATCCTTTTTTGCTGAGAGAGTTTACAAAAGTTCTTCGCCAAAGTTCTGCTCCTTTCGTATCCATCTGCTCCCGCCATGGAGCGTGGGAGGGAGGATGACCTGGATTACGACACGATGTGTGATGAGCTGCTGGAACTGGCCACAGAGCTCACAGAGAGCAACAGGGCCATGGCCTTCACGCAGGGCGGCCAGTCCCAATCGCAGTCATCCAGCCTCTCCCTCGTGGTGCTGTCCAACCTCCCGCACGACAAACTCAAGCCGCTCATCAGCCACCTCGACGCGCACAGCCTCACCCGCAAGCAGATCTGCAAATTGCTGCGCCACGCTTTCCGGCCGTCGGTGCCGGGCAAGCCCACCGGCATATCGCTGAGAGACCAGAAGGCCATCATCGCCGTCCTGCTGGCCGGCTCACCCGCCGATGGCGACGCGGCGCCCGAGCGCCTTTGCAACGTCGCTTTGGCGCTGCTGCAGGTGTTCATGACGGAGCCGACGGTTGAGGCCAAGGTGGTGTCGTGGGCCCTGCAGCAGATCATGACGTGCATCCCACAGATGAGCCCCGAGGCGCTCGACCTCCTGGTGCAGAGGGTCTTCAAAGTGGCGTTGGAGAAGGGGAGCGGGTCGCCACGGCAGTCGGCCAAGTCCGACAAGAGCGGCAAGTGGAAGGGCGGCAAGGGGAAGGGCGGCCACGGGGTGGAGTGCCTGGAGCTGCTGTCGTCCCTGCTGGAGTCCTGCGGGCGGTGTGAGGGCATAACGATGGCGGAGAGGGGCGGGGAGGGAGAGGAGATGACGGGCAAGGGGTACGTCGACGAATGGCTGACGCGTTTGTGGGGTGCGGAGGAATGGTCAGCTACACATACACAGACACATACACATACACATACACATACACATACACACACATGGCTGCTCTTTGACTTTTTTCCTTGTCAGGTCCCCTCGCGCCATCCCGGTGTTGCTGCGGCAGCTGGGCGACCTCCCGCTGACAACCGATGACCTACGACAGCTCATCCACAGCACCTGCAAGCAGCTCAAGATCGCCACACGGCTGGACAAGGACAAGGACAACATGCAAGATGACGATGGCCGCGAGAGGGATAGTGAGAGTGCGATAGCGGAAGCGTATGACCATCTGCCCCAGGTGGTGGTGGAGCTGTTCTCGGTGGTGCAGCGGGGGACGGCCGAGGTCAAGGGCGAGTGTTTGCGCAAGGTCGCATCGTACTTCGCAGAGCTGGACCAGCGGATGTGAGCATGCAGGAATGGACGGACAGGGGCGGGAAGGGCGCAGACACACCCAAGTATACGGATAATGGATGTGTTGTGTGTGGCATTCATTGCTGGCAGGGCTAAGTGGCGATTGGAATCATCGCGGCCATTGGCGCAGGCGTCGTATGATGGAGCACTGCAGGCTCACGTGGTGCTGCTGCTGCAGGCACAGACATTCTATGGATTCAACTTCATCAAACTGCTCAAGTGAGGGAGAACCAAGCGTCATCCCATCCATCCATCCATGGCAAGGAGCAAAGGCATTAGGTGTGTGTCTGTATATGTATCTGCAGATCGCAGAACGTTTCGATGTCTCCATTTCTGCTGTCCATGTCGCTGGCCACCAGCAGGTCTCCCAGCAGTCTCCTCGACATAGAGATGGACGAAGACGACAAGAAACAAACCGCCAAAAGTGAGGATCCTCACAGCGTGGCCAGCACACCAGACGTCACACAACTTCACACGCACTCCCTCCCTCTCATGTGTGTGCAGATGGCCATGAGGACGCCACCATCAGCACTCTGCGCTGCCTCTTCATGGCCTCATTCACCCCACCCCCGGCCGCAGACCTCATCGCGGGCATCACCTCACCCACCCTCCCCGGCCTCCAGAAGCGCCCCTCCATCAGGTGGACGACCGCCATTCTGCGTAGAGTGGCGGAGATGATGCCCGACCCCCTCACGGCCTTCGAGATCAGCTGGGCGGTCAAGGGCGGCCTCGGCCAAACCTGCGATAGCGAGAATTCCGACATGGCCGCCCGCTACCTCGAGCTGGCGTACGCGCTGCTGGGGGGCAAGGCCGTGGGCAGGGGGGGCGAGGGCATGATGGCGCTGGGGTGTGAGATGGTGATCAAGGTGTTTAAGAGGTTCGTCGAGCGTAGGGGTGCGATCCTGAGCACGTTGCTGCCCCGAGTGCTGTCGTCGGACGTGCGCATCAAGGAGGCACGTGTCGTGGCATTCATCCTTTGGCGAATCGCAAAGGAACACGGGTGAGTGAGTGACCCCTGACCTGACCCGACAAGAGACACATGCATGGGTATTGACATGACATGTACATCTCTGTCGTGCTCTCTGACTTTCAGTAGCAAACTGCTATCGTCGCATCTGGCGCACCTCCGTGACGCCCTGTACGAGGCCCCCCGGCTCACCCCCTCCCATGCAGACCTGCTCTTCGGAGCCCTCGCGCCACTCTTCTCTCTTCACCCAGACCTACAGGTAGGTGCATTCGCACGCACAGGGGTTAGACACATATATATGAGCGAGATTCCCCTTCTCCTTTTTCTCCAGGAGTCGCTCATCATTGCGCTGCGCAAGTCCATCATGGTCACACCCCTCGCGCCACGACTGGTCGCCACACGGGGCTTCATCCATCTGCTGGCGTTCGCCATGGGCGGCACAGCCACCGATTTCGGTGCCCTGGTGGCCGAGGGCTTCCCTCGCCACAAGGGCTGGGCCAAGGACAATGACATGCAGCCGACATCGAGCGGTCGAGACGACCCAGAGGTGGTCCACGAGGTGCGCATGGGTGGAGGGGCAAAGCAGCGCGGCCATCGGCGGGACGAGGGGCGAGGGTCCGAGTCGCTATTCGACGAGTGCGCCGGCATCCTCGTGAGAGCGGTCCGGGACGACCCCACGGTGCAGCACGACATCTACGTCGGTCTGTGTGCGCTGTTCGAGTCGCTCTGGACGTCGTTGGCATCCACCAGTGCCATCGATAGCCACGAAGACGCCCCCGCACAGCCAGCACCAGCACCGGCGGCCGCAACGGCCGCAGCAGCAGCTGCGGCCGCCCCATTCCCCAGCCCAGCGAGGAGCAGTGACGTGTCAAGCAGCTTCGGTAGTCGCATTCTGCAGCTGTTGGTAGATGAGTTCGAAAGGTCCTTGAGAGTAGCTCTGAAGAACATCGATCGCATCGTTGCAGCGGAGAGGGGCGAGGGGGATAGAGGGGCCGGGGGCAGACGCGTGGACGAGTCGAGAAGTGGGCTGACCCTAAATGACCTGCTGATACCCAAGGAGGGCCCGCCTCAGCCTGTCGGCGGCAAGAAGGTGGGCTGCTGCTGCTGCTACTGCTGCTGGCAGAGGTGAAAATGCATTCATTGTGTGTGTTGTTTGCTGTCTTGGATGTGTGCAGGGCGGTGTTGGTACGCAAGGGGGCGAGCAGGGGAGGAAGGTGACGCCCCTCCAGGTGATGGGGCAGCCCCTCCAGCTGCTGCTCGCCTTACTTGTCAGGTGTGTGCACATACACCCATGAGCAGAGACACGACAGCAGCAAGGACATCATCCATCCGGCTCACCTCCCGCTTCTCTGCATTGTGTTTCAGACTCGACCATACCATCGCCGTCTGCCACACGTCCACGCATCAGCACGAGCATGAGCAGCAGGAGGGTAAGGGTGAGGGCATGGACGACGACGCCAAGGTCCGCGAGCCTCAGGGAGAGCCGCACACCAGTGGCCGTGACGCGCAGCTGACGAGCGGCCTGACGACGCTGCACCACATGCTGGTCGGGGTGGCACGAACACTCCGCCACTGCCGCGTCGAGACGTTCAACTTCTTCGATGGTGACAAACACGACATTGACCTCTCCGCACTGTCCACGTAGGCATCCACCCACCAAACCCAGCACGGAAAGACCGCCTGCTCGTTGTCCGTCTTTGGCCAGGGCTGGTTCTCGCAACATGTCGATCCTGTTTCTGCTTTTCTCGATGCTGGAGGGGCTGGCATCCTACGTCTGCCTGTGCTCGACCCCCAGCAAGGACGACGACGGCGAGATAGAGGGCGGCAGGCACCCCCACGACCTGCGGCTGAGTGACCAGGACAAGGCGCAGCTGCTCAGCAAATGCCTTGACCTCCATGGCCAGCTCGTCAAGGTGACCGTCGAGGAAGCCAGGAACCAGAAACACTCGAAACAGGTCAGCAAGGGAGGGGAGTGACGGAGACACACACACGCCGTCTTAGTATCCACACACATCTCTCCTTGTGTCCGTGTAAACAGGCGTTGAGTCGATTGAGTGCGGTGCCGCCCAACGTGACGTGGCCCGCCCTGAGCCAGTTGATGTCGTGGGTGTCAGACTCACCCAAGCCGCCGGACGGAGGCGACGCTGCTGCTCAACTTGGCACTGCCGAGCAGCCGATGGACCTGGACGACGGCGACGGCCCCGCGCAGCAGCAGGCGGACCACGATGACACGCTGCAGCGGCACCTGGCCAAGTCACATCACACCATACTCGCTCTGTGCCAGGTAGGTGGGAGGGGCAGAGCAAACCTCCACACAACACGCACCCACTACAGTATTGTCTGTCTGTCTGTCTGTTGCTGTCATTCGCGTCAGCGGGCTCTTGATGGTCTCGGCGCCACGCTGAGCGGCAGCACGTCCGTCGATGCGGTGCCCCATCTGTACCGGTCCACCATGTCCATCCGCCACATCACCGTCTGGTCCATACGCATCCTCTCACCCAAACTCGCCAAGGACACAACCAGCACCAAGGCAGCCGCCGCCACCAAGGGCGGCGAGCAACCCAACGGCAGCGACCATGAGGGTCAGGCGGTGGATGCAGACAACGATCAGCATGACGTCGATGACACCAACGGGTGGGAGGAGGACGCTGCCGTGACGCGCAACGTCACTCAGGCCTTCACGGTCACGGGCGGGCAGTGGGCGCCCTCTGCCCTCAGACACTTCCCTGCCATCGCACAGTCGCTGGTGGCTCTGGCCAACACGTCCATGGCGGCCGACATCAAGCGCACCAAGAGGACGAAGATCCCCCCCAAGAAAGAGAAGCCCAAGGCCGCCAAAGACAAGAAGGGAGACAAGGGCGACAACAACAAGAAGAGCAAGAAGAAATCCGACGACAGCGATGAGGACATGCGCGACTCAGACGACGACGATGATGATGACGACATGGATGACGACAGGCCCGCCGCCCCAACACCAGCAGCGAAGGGCAAGGCCAAGGCCAAGGGCAAAGCGAAGGCGAAGGCCAAGGGCAAGGCTGCGGCAGGCAGGCCCAAGAAGGAGCCGCAGAAGGCCGTGTTCCGGCCGCCGTCTTCATGGAGCATGGCGTTTGGGCTGCTACACGAGATGGCCGAGATGCTCTTCAACCAGATACTCAAGCACACCAGGGAGCAGCGGCAGCAGCAGCAGGACAAAGAGGATGGTGATCGTGATGCGGCGATGGACGTGGGTGGCGCTGGCGGGGAGGGGGAGGGGGAGGGCGGCAAGGCGGCCACCACCACCTGTGGTGGGGTCAGTCTGGGTGCCGAGACGCTGTATCGCGGCTATGCAATGACGATGGCGGCATTCGTCACGAGCGGCGCCGAGGAGAGGAGAAAGGAGCAGCTCAACGAGATCCTGACACGTCTCGACATGGAGCACTTCCCCGGGTCTCCGCCCCCGAATTGGGATGAGCTCGACGCCCACCTGCCCATCAAGGACGCCACAGCCATTCTCGACGTCGTCTGCCGATCCATCGAACGTACAGACACACACAGACACACACATACATACACATACAAATAAACATATGTACGTGTCCGTGTACATGTGTGTGGTGGATGCACATCTATGTATGCAGAGACCATCGAGGACCTCCTCACCCGCGGCCTGCCCTTCTTCGAGCTCATCCAGGCTCGCTGCGAACCCGCCGTGGCGGCCCGCCTGCCGTCCTTCGCCGAGGTCTCCAAGGCCGTCGAGCACCTGCTTGCCACCCTCGACACCACCAGTCGGCTCATGGCTGCCGCATGCACCCAGCTGGAGTGCGACCCCAGCAAGGCCAGCAAGAAGAAGAAGAACAAGAAGGGGGGCAACGGCAGTGGTGGCGGTGAGGTGGACGAGTTGTCCGTGTACGTGAGCCGCCGCGAGCGCTGGGTGCTGTCAGTGCTGAACCGTGGGAGGAAGTACGCCATGGACGAGCTGGTAGAGATGTCAAAGAGCGAGGATTTCGACAAGCACGTGGCGGCGCTCAAGGGCGGGGTGCTCAAGGCCATGATGGAGCACCTCATGGCCGTGCAGGCGTGGAGGAGGGGCAACAAAGCCATCGAGACACTCCAACTCATGGCTGGGGTACCCATCCCATCCACACATCCCCACAAACGCCCCTGCATCCATCCATCCATGTGTGTCTGTGTGTCTGTCTGTCTGCAGGAGATCCGCGATAGGGTGCTCGAGGCCGACGCGGCCAAGCGCAAGGCCAAGAAGGCCAAGAAGAAGAAAAAGAAGAAAAAGGACGACGACGCCGATGAGGACGATGAGGATGAGCAAGATCAAGACGAGGAGGGAGAGGAGGACAACGATGACGACGACGAGGACATGGTCAAGCCCGAGCCGGTCGTCAAGCGAGAGGCCACCATGGAGGAGAGCGGCGTTGGAGACGAGGACACCGTTGGTCAGGTGCGCTCAGCTCATGTCGCACGTGTACGTCAGATCCATGCCGACGTGTCTCCTCTCTCCCTCTCTTTCAGGTGCGGCGCGTTAGTCGTGACCGCGCCTCTGAGTACGGCCCCTTCGGCTTCACCGCAGACAACGCCAACCAGGGCATCAAAATCATATGCACCATGCTCGCACAAGCCGTCAAGGAGTGAGTGAGGCAGAGGACAGACACACACACAAGGAGAGAGGGAGGGAGGGAGGGATGGAGGGAGGGAGAAGTGGGGATGTATGTGTCTCATCCATCCTCATTGACAGGTTTGAGTACGTGTGGGATCGCATGTGGAAGATCCGCGCTGCAGCGGTGAAGGAGAAGAAGGCAGGCGCCGAAAAGCGTCGGCGCGAGATCGAGTCGCTGTGGGAGGCCGGGTTCGGGCAGATGGAGCTCGTGTGCCTGTGCCTGCAGCACTGCATGGAGGTGCCGCGCCCGCAGCACCTCAAGGACGTCATGCAGTGCCTGCTCAAGCTGTTCAAGGTGAATTCCTTGAACCGTGTCTCCCACACACACACACACACATGGATGGATGGATGGATGTGTGTATGCAGCTGTTTAGCGAGAAGGTGTTGAAGCATCTGGTGTCGGTCAAGTACAAGGCGGCTGAGAGCAAGCTGGTGGACCTCGTCAAGAGGTTCTACGAGCTGCGCCAGCGGCAGCTGAACCTGCCGGGCGTCAAGACCAACAAGGAGCAGGCCAAGGCCACCAAGGGCAACACCAAAGCACAGATGGACTACATCCCCAAGTGAGTAGACGAGGGAGGGAGGCAAACAACAAGGGAGACACTGTGTGGATGTTTATGCGCGTGTATGGTGTGGCCATGTCTGTCTGTCTGTCAGGGTGGATTACTACTTCGAGCGTGCCGAGTCGTATCTGTCGAAGCTGCCCGACGCCGCCCACGTGCTGCGCGAGGCCAAGGCCACAATGAAGAGGTGGCGGAGCTTCGATATCAATTTTGACGCATTTCAGGTCGGCTGCCCCACCCAGACGTAGCGAGACATCCCATCCACTGGACGTATGTGTGTCGTATCGTTCCCCTCCCCCCCGCTGCATCAGGCGCCGAAGCCCGAGCCAGAGGAGGACATCATGATGGAAGACCAAGACCAAGACCAAGAGCAACAGCAGCCCGATGAAGACGAGGAGGAGGAGGATGCAGAGCCCCAGCCCAAGAAGAGCAAGAAGAAGAAGGACGCCGTTAGGGAGAAGAACGAGAAGGACAAGAACAAGAAGAAGCGCAAGCGGCAGAGCAGCGAACAGGAGGACGAGGGCGAAGAGGACCAGCCAGACAACGGAGCCGACGAGGAGGAAGGGGAGGACGACTGAGGGATGGATGGATGGATAGAGGCGAGACGGGCGGTGGGCCCACACAGCCGATCGCTGTAAGTGTGTGTGTATCTTTGTGTGTGTGCGTGTGCATTTCGGTGTGAGACTTCCTCTCTGTGCTCCTTTCCTTCTTGTGTCAATACGTGTCCCTCTCGCTCTCGCATCGTTAGTGAAACTGTGCACCCCACACCATGTCTTGGCATTCAGCAAACGTCCTTACGCATGGCATACACGCATCGCATCGCATCATCCAACCCATGGACGTACGTCACATGTCTACCTTATCCCATTGTTCGCCGCTGCACTGCATGCGCCAGACAAAAAACTGCCTGGGCACACGGCCTACCTCCGCCCACTCACTGCCGCAGCTCTTTCCTGCCACGATGTTCCAGCTCAGACAGGCCACCCTCACGAGAAGCGGCCCACCTTGTGGCAAGTGGGCCGCTTGACCTAAGGGCCACCCGAGAGAGCGGTAGTCATCTTGACCGAAACGCCCCTCGGCAAGGCAAATGAAAACAGTGGATCAAGAAAACCACCCAGTCTCACAGCAGAGAAACACCCATCGACCCATCCACCCACAGGCCGCTGCTGAGGTACTATCAAGGCCTTTCTGCTCCTCTCACCCTCCTCTCCTCTCCTCCAAATGCATGTATGCCCTCTCCCTCGGACAGTCGTGTGCGGATGGGAAGAAGTCATGTCATGTGGTGAAAAAACTTGGAACCAGGAATCAGCCAGGCAGGCCAGCAGCGTAGTGTGTGTCGTGTGTGCGATCAGGTGCGATGCGATGCGATAGACATGCAGGGAGGCAGGGAGGAAGGGAGGGAGAGAGGCTCACAGGCATGATGTGATGTACAGTACAACACGTACGTGTCCGTATTCTTCTGTCTGTCTGTCTGTCCAGCTAGCGAGAGAAACCAGCTGTCTGTTCATCGCCCCGCCCGCCCCGCCGCCAGGTCGATGTACGTATGTGTCAGAAGGTCCCCTTGTTCTCGGGGGCCTTGCCTCGGAGGGCGTGCACCTCCTCCCTAACACAACACACACAGCCAGACAGCCAAATGGGTGCATTCATGCGGGTTTGGGGCATTCGTTGCGTGTCTGCCTTAGTCACCTGAGTCTGTCAATCTCCTTAACGCTCGACTCTGCACACACACACACACGCACACACACACATGAGGGACAGGACGCAGCCAGTGCACCGATAGATCTATGTGGATCTGCCCCTCCCCCAGGCCTCACCTTTGAATGCGTAGTATTTCTTGTAGAGGAGTGAGACCTCCTTGTAGGCCATCTTGGCGATTTCCTTGGCGTCGAGCTTCTCCAGCTCCGCGTCGGTGAGGGGGGGCGTGTGCACAGTGTCGGTCATGCTTCGTCCCGGGGGAGGTTGCTGCTGGTGTGACGAAACGGGCGTCACTTCCGAGGCCTCAGATGGCGTGCGTAACAGGCGCTCAGAGGGATCTTGGTGCGCAATGGCTGCGGAGCTTCAGCTTGCATTTGGATGAACGCTGCCCAATGAGAATCTTCCGCACACCCGTTTTCGGAGTGAGCCCTAACCGCTCACCGTCCTCACCAGCTGTCCTGGCCATGTCTGAAACGATGGATCCATCAGCCCTGATGGCTGAGATAGAAAGCCTCAAGACCAAGATGGCAGAGCAGGAGGAGCTCAACGCCGCCACCTTCGACACGCTGTAAGGAAGCCATCCCATGTCCACAATGAGTCAACAATGCACCAGATCTGTGCTCGTGCGTGTGTGTGTGTGCTGCATGTGTGTCAGGTTCATCATTCTGTCGGCCATCATTATCTCCTTCATGCAGGGCGGCCTGGCGCTCCTCGAAGGTGTGCAGTGCACTCACACTAGGCGTTCACTGTGGACGTGTGTGCGTGTATGTGTGTGTGTGTTTGTTGGTCCTTGCTGTGCCCAGCTGGCATGGTCGCGTCCAAAAACGTGCAGCACATACTCATGAAGAGTCAGCAGCACACACTCGCACACACAAACACACACACACACACGCACAGTGCATTTGCTGTCTGTCTGTCTGTCTGCGTATCTGCCCAGATCTGTTTGACGTGTGTTTCGGCACCATTGCCTTCTGGCTGGTTGGCTACGCCTTCGCCTTCGGTGACGACACGGGCATCGGATTCATTGGCATGAGCGAATTCGCTGGTCAGTCAGGCAGTAGCACTGACCACATATCTACCATAGGCTGTGTAGCGATGCGGTCCCCTGCTGCATATTTCTGTCTGCTATGCTTGTGTGTGTGGTTTGGTCTCCACCAGGCATCTGGCCGGACATCGTCAATCGGGACTGGTTCTTCCTGTGGACCTTCTGCACCGTCACGGCGTCCATCATTTCTGGCGCCTTAGCGGAGCGGACAGACTTCCGGGCGTATGCGTGGTTCGTGCTGGTGGAGTGCGCCATCGTGTTTCCCGTGCTGCTGCACTGGGGGTGGCATCCCGACGGCTGGCTGCTGCACCTCGACCCCATCTCGTACAAGGACTTCGCTGGCGCGGGGCTCGTCCACTTCCACTCAGGTACCTGAGCCTGCCTGCCTGCCTGCCTGTGCATCATGACAGACACATGTTGTTGACTGGGAGGATGGGTGTCTTTTCTGTCATTGATTTGATTGGTCTGGTGCCTTGCCTCAGGGACCATGGCTTTCATGGGCGCGTGGCTGGTCGGCCCCCGTCTCGGCCGCTTTGACCCTGCTGTCGATCAGTCCCGCTTCAAGCCGCACAACGTGCCGCTCTACATCTTGGGTGTGTTTGCCCTGTGGATGGGGTGGTACAGCTTCAACACCGGCAGCAACTTCGGCATCTCGCGCGGCGGCTACGAGGTTGTGTCAGTCATCGCCGCAAACACCACACTCAGCGGCACTCTCGGAGGTCCTCAGACCACCACCATTCACTCCACCCCATCACACACACGTCTCTCTCTCTCTCTGTGTGATGTTTGTCAGCTGTGACATGTTTTGTGATCGAGTCTTACCTGAACCGGAAGGAACTGACGTACGACCTCGAGGCGCTGGCCAACGGCGTGCTGTCGGGGCTGGTGGCCATCTGCGGCGGGTGCAACAGCATGTACCCTTGGGGCGCCGTGCTGACGGGCATTGGGGCGGGCATCTCTTTCATCCTCTTCAAGTACCTCTGCTTCTGGATCAAGGCAAGCCCGACACGGACGGATTAACCGCTGCAGCATGGCATACGTGACCTACATATAAATTTGCAAATGGATGGTGTGTGTGGTTTATTTGCTAGGTGGATGACCCCCTCGGTGCGTCGGCGGTGCATGGCGCAGCGGGGTTCTGGGGCGTCTTCATGGCGGGACTGCTCAACAAGGAGACGGGCGGCATGCCCATGCAGGTGGCCGCGCAGTTCATCGGGCTGGCCTCCGTGCTGGCATGGTCCGTCTGCTGGTCGCTGGCAATCTGGCTGCCTTGCAAGTGGATGGGTACGCACAAACAAACGAGACACTAGGAGGCATCGAAGAAAGAATGGAATGGAACCGCCGTCTGTCTGTCTCTGTGTGTGTGTGTGTGTCAGGCATCATGCGGTGTCCGCCTGAGGAGGAGGAGATCGGCCAGGACGTGCACCTGCATGGCGGCAGCGGCTACCGCTACCACATGGACGCGCTGCCCGGCGAGGTCATTGAGACCTGCAGCCCGAGAAATCTGGGCGTGGAGAACAAACTCACCGCCCCCAGCAGCGAGAACGGACACGAGGCAAAAGTCTGAGAGGACAGGAGAGGAGAGGAGGGAGAGACTGTCTGTCGTGCGGGCACACATGGATGGGATGCGCGGAGGATGGCTGTTCTGTTCTGTTCAGTTCTGTGTGCATAAGTGGCGTGGCTTGGTGGGGCGTTGGGGGCCGCGGAGGTCTTTTTGCCTTCCGCCCTCCCCCACCTCTCCTCTCCTCTCGTCTCTCGTCTCCTCTTGTCTCGTATCTCTTTATCGCTTTCAAGTACTGATCTTGATGCCTGGTTGCTCGTTCGTGCGTGTCTGTCTGTTTGTCTGTCTGTCTCGCTACTAATTGCCTGCCTGTCTGTCTGATTGATGGGCTCCCAATGAGGAGACCCACTCCCGCCTCTCTCTCTCTCTCTCTCTCTCCCCCACCCCCACCCCCTCGTCTGAGTGAGTGCGATGTCGCGTACATGTGTGTGTGTGTCGATTGCATGGCTGTCCAGCCCTCCCTCCCAGGGCTCCCTGGTTTTGCTATTTTGTGTGTGTCTGTACATGTATGTCATGTGCCGTCCGTGCCGTCAAGGTGTGTGTGGGTTGGGTCATGTAGAATAGGAAGGAATGGGGGCCTGTCGGTCGGTCGGTCGTGTGTGTGTTCGTTGGCTGTTTTGTTTTATCCATTAATCGTATGCTATGCTATGCAATGCTATGCTATGCGTGTGTCTTGTCGATCGGTCGGCTTGTCGTGCCTGCCTGCCTGCCTGGATGGATGGACACAGGCAGAGAGAGAGAGAAAGAGGGAGATGCGTACTCGCACAGATTAGGTAGGGGTGTCTGTCTGTCGGCTGTTTTAAGCCGTCGACGAGTGTAGAGGTGTCGGTCGCTTCATTCATGTGTGTACCTCGTCTGCAGTGTATAGAGGCTCTCCAGTGGTCCGTTCACACGGAGGGCGCGTGCAGCCGGCCCTGTCTGTCTGTCTGTCTCGTTGTCGCACTGCAGTGCACCGATGGCATCTCGCGCCACTCACTGAGTGAGCTGACTTCATGCCGTCTTGGGGTACGCTCGTGGATGGATGTGTACGTGTGACTTCATGCTGCTTCACACGCACGTATGGCTGTGTGTGGTATGCCGGGACACATTTCGTGAGCCGTTGCGGACGGACACGTTATAAATACAGCTAAGAGGTAGTTGCGATTAATTAGTTGGAAGGAAGCATGAGAAGTCCATAAATTACTGCCTGCCTGCTTGCCTGGCTGGCTGCCTTGCGCGCTGTCCCGTCCGTCACCCACCCTAATGTGGTGTCTGTCTTTGTGGGCGAGGCCAGTCGCGGCTAGGAGGGCACACAGACGCAGACGCACCCATAGATATGATATGAACACACACCACACACACACTCCGAGCGAACGCTGACTGGTCGGTCGTCTCGTCTACAACTATGAACACACATGTCTGTAAGCCGCCCTGATGGATGGATGGATGGATCATTCGGTCTTCTTGGCCAGCCCCTCGGCTCGCCTTGCCCTGACCGTCTTGCTGTGCGATAAGACCTGGTTGCCCACAACCACCGCCACAAACGCTGCACTCACACACACATACACATTCACAAACACACCACAGAGAAAGTGTGTTGTGTGTGGCGTGTATGTTGGTTGGATTGGGTGTGTGGCTGTCTGTCTGTCTGTCTGTCTCACTGACTGAGGGGCACAAGTATCTTGACAAACGTGACGATCGATTTCGTCAGCCAAAACCAAAACAGCAGACCCGCCTCAGACACCAACAACACCTGATGTGATGTGCATGGCATGGGATGCATGGGGCGCATCAATCACATCGATGAACACACAGAGCGAGAGGCATACCATGCGCACCCCCACTGGCCCACTGACAAGAAATACCCACCCCCCCCCCCACCTGGAAGAGCACTGCGTAGATGAAGTGTGTCGACTCGGTGGTCGGTTTTGGGAAGCAGGCCATGTTGGCGGGCACCCTGCCCCACGCCCACACCAGACCACCGACGGGCACCAACGTGCACAAAACCAACGCCACCAACGGGATCTGAACACACACACACACACACAGACACAGACGCAGATATGTACGTCGGCAGGTGTGTGTGTGTATGTGTGTGTGTGGTCTGTGTGTACCAGGGGGTTGGGTGAGGGTGGTGGTGGGTTGAATTGATGGTGGATGAGGGGACGGGCACGCCATGGCAGCTCGCTCTTCAACACAATCTCCTACACACACACACACACACACACAGAGAGAGAGAGAGAGAGACACACAGAGAGATGCAGTGTGTGGGGTAGCCAACTAACCTCTGTGCCGTCAGGTTTGGGCACTGTGGCGGTCTTGAGCGGCGCAGAGAACTTAAAACGAACGCCCCCAAGACGCCTGACATTCACGGAATGATCCCACACATACTGGCCCGTCCGTCCATTTGGTGTGCACCCGCACCCCACCCCTAACTGACACACCAGTTGATGGACTCGTAGAGATTGGCATCGCCTGCACGGCCGAGACGGAGGGATTAGATAGGGGGGGAGAGGAGAGGAGAGGGGAGGACAACAAAGAGAGAGAGAGAGAGGCCCCCATGCCATGAGTGTGGCCGTCTCTCTGTGTGTGTGCCTCACTCACTGACCGATGAGCATCTTGACATAGTAGACGCCATCCACAGCAGGCACCGGCCTCTGATGTTGGTTGACACACCATGCCATCCGCCCCCCTGTGTGCGTCGCATCGTGTGACCATACCTTATCGCCGTTGAGGTCGACAGTGAGTGTGAACCGCCCCGCCGCCCCCTTGTCCATCATCTGCTGACGGGGGCGGTATATCGGCAACGGAGTGTCTGCAGGGAGGGAAGGGACCAATGGCGGCCGAGGACACATGCCACATGCCACACGCACAACTCGGTCTGTGTGTGCCTCTCTCTCTCTGGCTCTGGCTCTTGCTCTGTATTCTCTCACCCTTTTGGTCTGGCTTGTTCAGCTCGAAGAGCAGCGCCACCTGATGGGGCGTCAGGGGCTCGCCTGTCAATGCGTCCTCCAGCTGCGCACACCGCACGCACACGCCGACAGACAGCTGAGTGAATGGTTAGTGTGTTTGTGTCGTGTCTGTCTGTCTGGGTTGGGTGTGGTGTGCTGACTCACTCACCGCAGCGGTGAAGGTGAGTGTCTGTGTGTCGTCGATGGCCACGATGGGCGTCAGGCTGTCCAGAGGGCTTGCAGGCAGCTCGCTCGTGCCCTTGCCGCCTTTGGCCTTGCTGGGAGCCTTGTACTCATACCTAATCCATCCATCCATCCATCCCATTCACAGCACAACACCGTCCACGAGGCTGCCTGCCATCTATATGCTGTCTGTCGTGTGTGTGGGCGTACAGCGCTGCTTTGGAAGCTGAGGAGGTGACGGTGAGCTTGCTGACGCGGACATTGGCGCGGGCAGACAGACTCCGCACCAAAGTGTACTCGGTCGACCCCTGCACACCACACCAAGCACACACACACACCGACATTCAGCCACAGACACAGCCACAGACACAGACACGTTTCGCTTCTCTCGCGTGTGTCGATCTATCTGTGTCTGTCTGACGGTGTCTGTCTGACCTTGTCGAGTGTGGGTACGGTGATGCCGAACTTGACGGCGGGGTTTTTGCCGATGATCTCTGACGCCTTCTTGCCCTCGGCCGTCGGCACAGCCCCCTCATACACACAGCTGCCCGTGCGCTCAAGCGACTGCAACCGTCACGTGACTGACGATGTTTCGGTTGGTTCGGTTTGTTTGTTGCCGTCTGTCTGTCTGTCTGTCTGTGTGTCTGTCTTACAATGGGCTGTTGCTGTGTGATGGGGGCGGGCAGCATGCGCACCGAGATGCCGCCCACCTCGGCCCCCAGCAATCCACACACTGACAGCTGCACACCACACACCGATACGATATGGACATTCCTAATTTGATTCACACACGCCTTGCCTTGCTCCACCCTCCCAGCTCCCTCCCTGTTAGTATGTCACTGGCTGACCTTGATGTGTATGGTGTCGTCCTTGATGTCTTGGGCATGTGGCGGTGCGAACGACACCCCAGTGACCGTCTGCGTGTTGGCCGCCGCCTTCAGTGCCATGTAGGCGTGCCCGATGTCCGCTGACACGCGTGTGCCCCGGAGGAAGGCCACCAGGTAGTCCTGAAGATGAGATGCGCACGGCCCTCAACTCTCCCGGCTACGGGGGATGTGTGGATGCATGTGTGTGTGCGTGTGAGAGGTGGTTGTGTGTCACGCCTCTCCGCCCACCAGGTCTTCGATGATGGCGGGAGGTATGGGGCCAGAGATGTGCATCTCAGGCGCCAGCCTGACCACACACACACACGAAAAAGGAGGACCAATGGGGCGTTGCTGGTGCCTGGGGGCCCGGCCTCACTTGAAGAACGCCTCGACGAGGAGAGCGGCCACCTTGATGTCGCTCATCCGCTTGTCAGCAGAGAAGGGCGAGGGGGCCGGCTGACACACACACAACACATATACACACACACATACACACACATACCGGCTCAGACAGACACAGGTGCAACAACGAACTGTGTGCACTGCACTGCTGTGTGTGGCTGGCTCACGGCGGCGCTGGGGTCTTCCGCCTGTAGTGCCTTGGAGAGCACACTGGGGAGGTTCTTCAGCGACACACCGATGGACTCCCTGAATGGAATGGGGCAGCAGCAGAGGGAGGAAGATGGGCATACATACATAGACACCCACAGCAGTTGAAGCATATATGATATGTGTTGTGTTGTGTTGTGTTGTGTCGTGCTGCGCCGCACCTGTCAACGACGGGGAAGATGTTGGCGAGGATGGAGAAGCCCACAGCAGCCGACTCCTTGCCCGTCTGCGTCAGTCAGTCAGGGGAGACAAGGAAGGACAGGCTCGTTCATTCGTTCGTATGAACAACAACGAAGCGTGTCGTGTCGTGGCATGCCAGCATACACACTTACATGCTCGTACAGCAGGTCCACCGTCAGGTCCCACACCGTCTTCCACTCTATCTCGCCCTTCCTCTACACACACACACACATCCACACCATCACCACACCATCACCACACCACACCACACCACACCACACCACCACATCACATCACATCACATCACCACCCCGTCGGTGGCTGGCACCCCTCCCTAAACCAACACCCTCACTCACTCACCCCCGCGATGGCCAGTGGCGTGGCAGCGTAGAACAGCTCCGCTAGTGCCGACACGGGCAGCGGCCCCTCCTTCTGCTGGCCCACCACCTTGAGCACGGCGTTCTCGAGCACCTTGATGACGGTCTTCTTGGGCTTCTTGCTGCACCCCGACAGGTGAGCCGCTCCGATAGACAGATACAGGGCCTCGGACGAGGGGTCCGCGCCCTGCTGCGCTTGCAGGTAATCACAGATCTGCTCGACAGACAGACAGACAGACAGAAGGAGAGACAGAAGGAGAGAGGCCGATGATGGATCGCTGGCTGGCTAAACACGCTCATGCGTAGACGCGGTGTGTGTGTGTGTGTGTTGTGCTGTGCACCTCTGTGCTGTCCTTCACGACCGCTGCGTACGAGTAGGCGTGACTGATGTTATCTGAATGAAGCGGGGACCGACCAGACAGTCACACAGGCAGACGAGATGCGTGCTGCCTGTGTGTCTGCGTCACGGCCTGCCTGGCCGCCTTGCTCACCGAATGCATTGTCGCTTCTCTTTGTCTCCTTGAGTGCCGCCGTGAGACGCTCCACATCGCCCTTGGTCAAGTATGAAGCAACTTGGCCCGACGCGCAGCAGGTCCAGCAAAGCCAGATTGTCAACACGCAGATCACCACGAGCGGCCTCCAGTCAGAGCATCGCCTCCGGCTGCTGCTGCTAGTGCTGCTGCTGCTGGTGCTGCAGGTGGTCACAGCTGCTGCCGCAGCCGTCATCTTGACTGATCTCTGCAGGCGGGTCACAGATCAGATCTGTTTCCGGCTGCAGGCAGTGTAGCTGAGCAGCTATGAGCGTCCTTGCATCGGGGAGAAAGGGGAGAAGGGGAGTGGCCGGCCTCCCATGCAAGCTCGCAATTGAAGAGGGAGCGCGCGGCTTGGCAGCCTGATGTGATGTGTGTGGCCGCCCAAGTGCAGTGCATTGCAAGGGGCGTCGTTTTGCACTGCTCCAATGCATTGATGGAGATTCACAGATCGGTTCACAGTCTGACACCGTAGTCAGTCAGTCAGTCGGTCAGGTGTACGGTACGAGCCACACACACGCATCGGCCACTGCCGAGATCAATAAACGTATAGCACATAGCATATCGTGCTTGAACACTGACAGCATGACAGCATGATGTGACCCATTCATCTTCTCATACGCACCCATATATTTGTATAACGGAGCCTTCCTTCACAATTAATGCCCACCAAAGGCCCAGCCAGCCTAGTTAGTCCCAATCAAAACAAACACAACCCAATCACCCCGGGCCCCCGCAAACCCACCCCGGCCGACACATCCATGCCACGCCAGGCATCAATCACATCCGTTGGCCGTGCTACTTACTGTCCCCCAGCCGCCCCTCACACCGAGTGTGCGAGACTCGGCGAGTACGCTGATTGTGCGGGGGACGGCAAAGCATGTGGAGGGGGTGGCGGGGGCCGTGACGGCGGCGGGGGTATGTTGGCTGCCGGCTCCGGGCTCATGGGCACCACATACTCATACTCTTGCTCCTGCTGCTGATTCTGCTGCTGCTGCTGATAGGGGACATTCCAGTCGGCTGGTTCGTTCATCTGAGGTATCGCTGGCAAAGGTGGCGGGGGTGGTGGGGGAGGGTGAAGGGGTGGGGAGTTGAGGATGGGCGAGCAGGGGTCATAGCTCGACTGGAGAGGGGGTCGTGGCGGCGCTCTCGACGGACATCGAGGACCCATCATGCTGTTCAAGAAGGAGGGGCCCCGCGATTGGCAGCCCGACAGAAATGGCTCCTGGTTCGGGGCACCTGTTAGTTAACAATCACAGTTAGTCACACATGCACACAAATGGCCGGCCGGCCATTCACTAAACCCATGTAGTGTCGTGTGTACACGTGACAGATGCTCACGTGGCTCCTTTGGCTACCTCTATTGGCCACTTGATGCATCGTCAACGGCTCTCCAAGCCCAGCGTCGGCCCCCACATCCTGACCCCCATAGTACCCCATGCCGCCAGATGCACGATCGGCCTCCTGCTGCTGGTGGTGGTGCTGCTGCTGGTGCGGGAAGCCACCACCGAACCTAGCGCCGCCACTCGCCGCGATTGCGTTCACAAGTGGCTGTAGTCCCTCCTCCAGCATGTGCTCATCGCGACTCAGCGACGGCATCGACGGACGGTGGGGAGGGGGCTGCTGCTGCTGATGCTGCTGCAGTGAAGGGCCAGTGGGTGAATGCGGCGCGAGAAAGGGGGGCCAATCGTTGCTAAAGAACGGTCCTGGGCGCATCATGCCCTGCTGCTGAGGAGGGATGTGGTCGGGCTGCCTGTCCACGGCCATCATGTTGTTCATCCCCTCTCCGCCCTCCATCATCCCGCCAACGCCATCGGCTCCTGCAGCCCGGGCCTCGCTGCCGACCCCTGTCCACCGTGGCAAGGCCGAACCCAACAGATGGTCCCACTGCTGCCGTGGGACCATCCTGTCGCCGAAGCCGTTGGGGCTCAACACGTCACCGACCCACTCCTGTGGCACTTGCTGGTTCACCGGCTCATAGGCGCCGCCCGAGGCGGCTGGCGTCCTCCCATCCGGATCCACCCAGCCCGCCTGCATGAAAGCATCCTCGGGCTGCTCTAGATCTGCCTGCTGCCTGCTGCCGGGGGAGGCGCCCTGCGACAAGGCGAGAGAGGAGACCAGCTGTGGTGCCGGTGGTCTGGGTGCCGGGGCCGGGTCTGCGTCGGGATACGAGACGTTTTGGCGCCGCCTAGGGAAGAGCCTGGCGAGTTGGTGTTGGTGTGGTCGCAGAGTATTGGGTATGTGGCTGCCAGTGGTTGGTGCGGGGCGGGGCACCACATGGGGGCCGGGTGAGGGCGTGTTGCCCATGAGTGCAGGCAGGTCGCCCCATCCCGGGATGGGGCGCCTTGCGGTCCTTCCGGTGCGTGGGAGTGGGGGTGAGTGGCGGGCTGCTCGAGGGCCGGGGTGCTGATGGTTGGTGCTGGTGACGCTGTCGAGCATCTTCATCTGCTGCGCCTGGCCGCACCAGACAGACACAGAGAAGAACACAAACCGGATGATTGCTGATCGATCGTGACGACTGTGGGTGTGTGTTGTGTTGCGTCACGTCATTGCATACATAGATACATACCGCCGATTGTCGGAGGTCCAGCCGACACATGGGACAGTTGTGGGCCTTCTCGAGCCACACATCGAGACACCACTGCAGGCAAACACATCCATCACACTCATGATCTCCACATGTATATACACGTGTGAGTGGCACGTGCCCTCTTTCCGTTCCTCACCACGTGGTATTTGTGCCCGCATTTGTCTACCCTTCGGATGAGGGTGAGGGTCTCGAATTCCTCATGGCAGATGGCACACACACCCTCCGCCCCCTCTTCAACCCCAGTACTCCTGCTCTTCGATGATGGGCGCTGCTGGTTGGGGTCGTCGGCCTGGCGCGGCGACGACACGGCGGCCGAGAATGGGACGGACGGCTCGGCTGCCGCGGGCGAGAGGGGGACGGTGGGGGAGTTGGGTGCGTGGTAGCCCTTGAGAAGGGCTCTCACAGCGGAATCCATGTGCACTACCAAGGAGGTAGAATACCGGAGCTCCCTGCAGTCAATGAACAAACAGACACATACATACATACATCGAGTGGAATGGCTACCTCCCTCCCTCCCTCTCCTCTCCTCTCCCTCTGCTGCGATCTCTCTCTCACTGACTTGAGGGACAGCCCGAACCCCATGCGCATGTGCGGCGCGTATATCTCCTCATCATCGTCCCCCAGGCCCCCCTCGTCCAGCTCCCCCTCATCCGGCGCATCATCGAAAAGGAACCCCTCACGGTCGTCGTCCAGGTCGACGGGATTAGAGAGCTCCCGAAGATGTGGCGGGCTGCGCTCTCGCTGCCCGTCCTGCTGCTCGTTTAGCTCTCTCCACCCGCGGAGACTCGGACCGGGTCCCATCGGCCACCAAACCATCGAATCTGTCTCCCGGTTTGCCCGCATCAGCGGCGCGTGTGGGTCCTCCCTATCGTCTGCTGCTGCTGCTGCTGCTGCTGGTGCTGGTTCTGCCGCCGACCGCGCCCTGACCTCGGTCGCCGGTGGTGCTGGTGCTGGTGTTGGTGTTGGTGAGAACCATCGCTGCTGGCCGCCGCCCCTCTCCGCGAAGAACGCCTGTGCAAGCAGCACAGAGGGATCCACCCGAAGGCCCGGGGACCTCTGCACATCAGCCGACGATGCTTGAGCCGGTGGTGCACCACCGCTCATCTCGTGTCGACGCCGATGCACCACCGGCGAGTCGAATGTTTCGAATCCGCCAGCATTCTGTTGACCATTGAATGACACACGCCCGTTGCCATGTTGGCCGCAAGCGAATGGCGGAGGTCCCTGTTGTCCTTGCTGTTGGCTGTGGTTGTGTGCCGGCGAACCGTCGGGTGTGTCGGGTCCGATGAGCAGCGGCAGCGGGGGAAGGGGAGGGGGAGGGAGGTAAGGACCCACCGCGGCCGCATCGGCGGGAGGCGGCGGAGGGCGGTACCCATAGACAGCAGCGTCGTCGTCAGGGTCTGGCGGCGCGTATGGGATAGGGGGGCCGCTGCTCGTAGCGAGTGTTCTCGGGTTGCTGGTGTTGCTGTTGCGGGGTTCCTCTTCTTGGTGCACGGTCAGCGTTCGTCCGCTGAGCTGCTGGTGCAAGATGATCTCGTGCTGCAGCACCTGCTGCAACACCTCATGCACCGCGCCATCCCGTGGATGCATGGACATCACAGGGGGAGAACCGTACAGGCGTAAAGTGCCGTCAGGTTGTCTCGACGCTTTGACGATGGAGCACCGGCGAATAAGGCTGACAGAATAGACAGCTGGGAGAGAGCCTTTGGAGCAGAATTGGCGAGAGAGTTGCGCGCTTTGCCCTTGAAGTTGCGATCCGAGACGGAGGTGTCACGCGCGGCGGACAAGGCATTGGAACAGTGTGTCATGCATTCCCTGTCTGACTCCGTTGGATGAATCGATTCACATGGTGCATCAATCAATCAGTTCATGAGCGCTAGGGAGGACAAGTTGGGGACAAGTCTGTCTGCCAAACGTACCGTACCCCACTCAGTCAGTCATGAGAAGCACTGACATGACATGACATGACCGATAAAGGTTGGACACACAAACAAGAAACAACAAACAACCAACACGCACGTCCTCTGCACAGGCAGCTCTCTTATCTTCATTCATCGGACTGTGACCCCCTCACTGCCATGCACTCATTCACCCCACCCATTCCACCCATTAGCTGCTGCACACTCTCTCTGCACACTCACAGAAAAACTCTCGCTGCTCGGTGCGTCCCTTTCTACCTATCCTATCTACTGGCTGCAATGCCTTGCCCCTCCCTCACTTAGCCCCCGTGAGTTCCTCCTGGTTCTCCTCCCTGTCGCTCTCTGCCCAGGGGGCCATCCCCGCAGCTGCAGCAGCTGCGTTGGGGGACATGACCATGGCCTGTGTGTCACACAGTGAACAGTGGACCATTTGCTTGGCGCGTGTGTGCATTGCATTGTGTGCGTGAGTGTGTGCGGACCGCTTCGAGCCGCTGGCAGGCACTCATGGTCTTGACGTGCTCTAGCTCATCGTCGCGAATAGTCGTAAAGACATCATAGAGATTGCTGACGGATGCACAGCACATAACACACACAGTCAGCTCATATCAGGCGGCATGGCACCAAGTGTGTGAGCTGTTTGTTGGGTTGGTTACTTGATCTGCGGTCGTCTGGACTGGGCAGGTCGTGACGTCTGGAACTCATCAAACATGTACAGGTCGCCCGACTTGTAGTACTCCATCGCTACAGCCGGGGCCGGCAACTGGGAGGGGACACAACGCACACACGCACACACAGCATATACAACACACGACGCAAATGGATGCAGGCAGCATCATTGCCCCTCTGTCGTCATTTGCTCTGTCTGTCTGTGCAGCAGGTACCCTACCTACCCGCTTCAGTATCTGCTTGTTCTGCGAGACGAATTGGCCGTATGTGTCGACGGCGTGCCACTCGATGAGCTCTGAAAAATTGTAGGCCCACGTCGGTGAGATCAAGAAGAGAAGAATCAGAACCTGCGCACATGACATGCACACAACGAAAGCAACCACCGCACCGCATGGCATGGCATGGACATCGCATAGATGTGTTCTCCCATCCCCTGGCTGGCTGGCTGGCTGACCCAAGCCCCAAACGCACCCAGTAGTATACGATGGCGGCGTGTCTGGCGAGAAAGCGGTCGAGCCATGCCTGGTCGCCTCCCAGGCTCTCCATTATGAACAGGTGGTGCATCTCGTTCCACTCCTCGGCGAAGTGCACCTTCCGCACCTCAGTACCCACACGCCACCAACCTACACAACACACGACACGCACCAACACACCACAGACAGACGCATGACGAGCCCCGGGCCATGTATGTCAGTCATGTATACCCCTCCCTCCCTCCCTCCCTCCCTCCCTCCCCATCAAACCAGTCTCTGACTGACCGAGTGTCTCATAGAGGTGCAGCATCGAGATGTATGCGAAATAGGGCATCCGCGCCACGGTCTCGAGGAACCAGAACCGCTGAATGGGCCGCTCGTTGTACAGCACATCCAGCAGCCAACACAGGAACAGGTAGGGGATCTGACACAAACAAGACACAATCGGCAAGGCGCATGAGCGTCCTGTCTTCCCTGGTGGACCTGTGTGTGTGTGTGTGTGTATGAGAGAGAGAGAATGTGCCCACCTTGAGCAGCAGGGGTGAGTTGAAGTAGGTCTTGATGGTGTCGTAGTCGACCGCTAGGTCCGTGTCTGGTGGGGCCGACTGTTTGTCCTTGTGCTTCTCCAGCAGGAACTTCATCTTCTCTACTCTCTCCTCCTCCCGCCGCCACACGGCATCGTTGTCCAGACGCAATCGACTCAACTCCTGACACAACACACACACAGACACCCCACCGTCGAAACAAAGGCCTTTCATGCCTGCATGCCTGCCTCTCTGTACGTGTGAGAGAGCAACGCTCCTTACCTGCCGCAGCCGGATGGTGTTCTCATCTGTCGGGTTCTGCACTTTAGATGGCGTCAGCCTCTGCACATTGAATGTGGCCAAAACGTCGTCGAGGTTGAGATCCCACCGGCGGAGAATGCGCACTATGCCAGCGAATGGCCCGTCCCCCGCCTCTGCATTGGCCCACCCACTGGCTGGCGCCATGTCGCCAAATCTTATGGCGCGACGGATGGCCAGCCACTCGCGCTTGAAGTTCCACACGCCCATGCTCCACCCATTCGCCGGCACAGCCATGTCGAGAGGGCCTAGATCCTTGTCGTCGCGATACCTGCACAGGTCACGTATGCATCCCCACGGCGATCCATACATACATCAGCAAATAAAGCATCCATCCCCGATCTGCCCTCCCACCCACCCATAAGCGGCGGCCTCCCTCCACTCTTCCAGACGCTGCAGGTCTTTGTCTGCGTCCCACGCGTCGTGCGCCTCAATCTCGAGTGCACCCCCACGCGCCGCAGGAGGCACCGCCCGCGCCTTCTGGATCAGCTCAGCCGTCCACAAGTTGGTCAGAGCAGCCTTCAACGCCGGACGGCCCGCCAGGAACTCATTGAGCCGGTCCACCTCCCAGCTGATGTATGTGACGGGCTGCTGGGCGAAGACTCGGGCGGCAGGCTTACTGCTGCCGCTATTGCTGCTGCTGTCCGCTGGGCCCTTGTCTTCCCCTTGTGCGGACAGCAGCTGGTTGGCGAGAAAGGTCATCTCGCCGATGAAGGACGGCGCGGGCAGTGTGGTCATGACAGAGTCATCAGCGGCATCGCGGATGTCCAGGCTCCCGTCGACCAGGAGCAGCAGCTTGCCACGCGGGTTGCTGCCGACGGCTCGACTGATGAGTCCGGTGCCGCGCCGCCACTCGCCCATCCGCAGCAGGGCAATGGCGTCGTCCTTCTTGACAGCATACTTGCGCAAGAGAGCAGATCCATAGACCCGCTGCAGGTCCTCATCCGACACCTTCAGTGGGCCCTCTCCCTGCTGTGTGGTGGTCGGTGGGGCACTCACAGCGCTGCTGCTGGACAGCCGTGCTTTGGAAGTGGGTCGGCCAGGTGCCTGTCCACGGTGATTGTGCAAGATGCGATGAGAGAGGAGCGATGGCGGGCTGACGAAAGATGATACACGAGATGCAGACACCGCCAAGAGCAGCAACATCGGCACTATCAGCGGCTCCATTGTCCCGATGAAAATCAGCTGATTGCAGGCGGCCACTGGAAGATCAGCGGGGGGGAAGCAACAACTCACAGGACTTCATTCGACAAATGACCGCACTCGGGGATCTTGATCCACTCGGGAGAGCTGCGAGCTTGAGGTGCAGCGACCAGATCTTTCGGTCAAAAGTGGAAGAGGGTGTGCCATGCGACATAAGATTGACAAAGGTTCAAGTGAAGCAACGATTTGCACTGAGCTAAACATGGCCTGTCCGAGAGACTGTGCAGAGCAGGGCCACGCCCGACTACCAACAGACACTAGCGACTCACTCCCTCATGTTGCCCCTCAGCATCCCCAGCAGCCTCATCTCTCCTCTGACCGCGGGACAGAAAAGTGAAGGCCTGTTGTAGCGACAGGCCTCCAGGCAGCGAGGGTCCTATAGGTGAGCTCCGGCGTGAGGGCGGATCGAGCGGCGATGCGGGGTCGCCGTGAGGCTGGGGCGGGGAGATGATGGACGGAAGCACGCTCACGCCGCGACGGTATGATTGGTAGCGGATCTTGGCGAGCAGCCGCTGGAAGCCTCGCTGCTCAGTGCCCCAGTAACACAGCGCCACTAAGAGGAAGAGGAGCACTGCAGTCAGAAGAAAGGAACAGGAGCAAGCATCGCATCGGGGTGGGTGGAGGTGTTTGCCTATCCCCCCCTCCCCAATCGATCGACCCCCAACTGACCGACAGCGATGACGGTGGCCACGACATAGAGCTCTGAGCCGAAAGGCAGAGGCCCTCCCGTCAGCCGCTGCAGCCGCTGACACTCAGAGTCGCACCTGCACACCCCATCATAGCAGTACTCGAAGCGCCCACAGGCCTCCGGACACTCCTCTCCCACCAGCGCCACATCCGCGCACACGTAGAAAGCCGATCGATCGCTCCTTCGGCTGCCCCCAACGTCACCGTTCCCACTCTCACCATCACCGGCAGCACCTGGCTGCTTCGTAACGGATGACGATCCCGGAATCAGTGGCGGGAGCGGTGGGGGCGGGTAGCGATATCTCGCAGAGGCCATGTATGTCTGGTTGCGACTCACGAGAGGGCGCTGGGTGGCCGACAGGGGAGGGGGCTGCGGGTGAAGAAACAAAGGGAAAGACTGGAGTCTGGTCGGAGAGGAAACTTTAGGTCCCCTGCTGACCTGCCATTTGAGTTGGAATGTGCACGAAGGGCAGTCGACACTGGGAAGCGCTACAGCCACTGTATGCGAACCTGACGCGGACACCACACCACACCACACCCACACCCACACCCACACACACAGACGCATGCACAGACAGACAGGCAGGTGTGTGACGGATGTTGTCTGTCACCCATGCGTGCGAGCAGAACACGCAGACCACCTCACCTGTAGTGTTGGCACATCTGAATGTGTACTGCTCGTCGATATCCAATGGTGCGCGTGTGGCGGCATCGAGCGGTACCAGCCAGTGCTCCTTCATGTCGAACACCGGAGCAGTCGACAGACCTGCACAACACACAGCAGCACAGACAGCATCCAATCCATCTGTCGCCTGCAGGTACGCCACCCCCTGACTGTCAGCGTATCGGCAGTGCAGTGCCCTGCAGTGCCTACCTGGTGTCAGGGCTATGCGGCAGCGACCTCGGAGTGGCTTCTGCACACAAAAAGGGGAGGAAGGGCAGCCGATGCACTGCACCCATGGGGTGCGGAATGGATTCATCACACACGTTTCTCACCGCGATATGGTACCGAACCAGCAGGTGGTTGCCGGCTGCATAGCTGCCGTGCGATGGACCCGCGTCGTAGCCGCCACACGGAGGCTGATGGCTCCTCTCAGAGACAGCGGCGAAAGATCTCGGCAGCGGCTCATCAAGGCGACCATATTGTATGCGGTTGTTGGCCATCTATGATAGGCACAGCGGAGCTCCGCAGATGCCTTCAGGACAGCGAATGACGATGTGTGCGATGAGAAAGCAGCTGCATTCGGCATACCTCAGCCGGGATCTCCGATGCAGATCTGACAGGTAAGCTGAGGGCTGTGAAGAAGAGAGAGAACCCGTTCCACTTGCTGGGGTAGAGCCTTATGCGCGTGAAAGTGAGATGCGATCCGCATCTTCCAACTGGGCCGCCCCGCAACGGACGCCAGCAACGTCCTCTACAATGTTATCGTACACTGGACTCTCCTCTCCACCTTCCCAAGAAAGGGAGAACCGAAAACAGAACCTCCTCCTCGCACCAAGACGACGAAGATGCTGCGCCTTCTCGCCTCGCTTCTTGCCATCGCTGCCATCGCTGCCACGGCTGACGCCGAGGTGAGTGGGGAATGGCTCACTGCCCACGGTTGACGCACCCAACTTTTTTCCCAGAGGTCAGTGGGCAAATACACCCTGGAAGTGGAGCACAGCGGCCAGTGCCTGCAAATCAGCTCGTACGATGCACACAGAGTGGGGAGAAAGGGGTGCAGTGCATTGTGGCTGTGGATGTATCCTCCCTCGTGTGTGTGCATTTTGTTATGCAGTGATGGAGACGAGAAGCCGGTGCGCCAGAACCCCCAAGCATGTAGTGGGGACGACAAAGGGGCGGTCTGGGAGTTGGTCCAGAAGAGGAGTGGGAGAGGGTTTAGCTACAAGGTATAGCGCATAATCCTCATGTGTCCCACACTGAATGCGTCTCTCTCTCTTTCTCTCCATGCTTGTGTGTGGACAGCTGAAGGTCACACCTGGTCAGGTGACGACCTGCCTGGCCGTGCTCAAGGGCAGCACTCGCGACAAGGCGGCTGTCGTCCACGAGAAGGCATGCAACGGTGCCAACTCTGACTGGAAACTCGAGAGGAAGGGCGACGGCTTTATTCTCCGCGCCGTCCACAGCGGTGCGTGCACTGCGTTATGTTGCCATTTGATGATTCTACTTGTTGTCCGCTGTAGGCCAATGCCTGCACGTCAAGGATGCCAGTCAGAAGAACAACTTCGTGGTGCTCCAAGGGTCGGAGTGCGACGGCGACCACTTCATCTGGAAGCTCAAAAGACAGAGACGTTGAGGGGAGGTGGGAGCCCCCTTGCCATGGCGGAGTAGTACAGCCGCCGTGCTGACGCTTTGGTGCAGCTGTCTGTGTGGGGTCGTGCTGTGTATGTATGATTGTCCTGACGTCTTGAGGGTGTGGGCACACCAACCAATCATGTTAGCTGACACATAGGTGCTTTTCCCGTGCAGGGTCCGCAATTGACGTGTTGTCTATGTGTTCTGCGCGCCAACTGCGTGCGCTGGTGTATTTGTGCATGGACACCGACACATTACATGGGTATACGGGACAAATGAGATGAAAGAAATCCTTCGCCTCCAGTCTTCTCGCCCCCAGCCTCCTCACAAGCGCGCCTTCCTTTTTCTCCAGTGCTTTTTGCAGTGATGGCAGACCCCGAGGTGCCGCCAACGCCTCAGCCACGATCTGAGGCAGGGCGGTCATCAAGGCGGTCATCGTCACGGCAGTCCCCCCCGAGCAGAGAGAGCAAAGAGTCGGACAACCCCATCTACGTTGGCGTCTTCGCTGACAAGAAGGAAATCGATAAAGCCCGACAACGACGAAAGTCACAAAAGCCCCCAATTGAGGATGAGCGAGAGGCAGAGGGAGAACAGCCGCCCGAGACCGCTGCTGCCCCAAAGGCAGCCGCTGCGGCAAAGAGGCGCCTGCCTTCTCGTGCGAAAGAAGATGAGGAAGAGGCCCCCCCGCTCCTGAGTGCGGCAATCATCTTTGAGGACAAGCCACTCGATGAATTGACTGGCGTACCACCGCCGGAAGCGCCCCCACTTCGCCCCTCACTATTGCGCCCTGAATTGCCCAGCGAGTGGCAGCGGTCGTCCGCCGATCTGTCCGAGAGGCCATCACGGCTGCCTGAGCCGCTGCCTCGCGGCATTGCTGGACGGCCATCGCCCGCCAGCCAGGAGAGGGACGTCTCTGTGCAGCCGCTCGAGGTGACGGTGAAGGCCAGACGAGCGTCAAAATCCTATTGTGCGTCGCGGATCCAGCGTGCGTGGCGTTCGATGAGTGACAGGAGGATATTTGAGGCTCTGAAGCAGCTGATAAGTTTCCACCAGCGGGGCGACCCCATGTTGATGCTGAGGGCATTCAATCCCCAGGAGGCCCAGCTGCTGGACCCCGCCATGCAGGCACATGTGCGCTTCAGGCTGGGAGGGGCATGGCCGACCTTCCCCCCACTCCTCTACTACAAGATTTTCGTCCACGGGTAAGTGAGAGCGATGACTCATTGATTGACACGATAGACAGACAGAAGTGTTCGTTCGTTCTGTGCACCTTGTTTACCTCTGTCTCTCTGTGGCGCGGTCCGGTGTGTGTGCGTCGATCCACCGATGGATCATGCAGTCCGGTTGTCGATGTGAATGCTTTTGCCCCCCGGCCCTACCAGCTGACAGAGGAGCAGAAGAGCTCATCAATCCGAAAGCGTGCGGCGCTTCTGCACCGTCTGTCGTTGGAGATGTGGGACGGCCCTCTGGTGGACGGCAAGTCGCGGCTGATGCTGGAGGAGCTCGAGGGCGAACACTCGGAGGAGAGGCTGCGGGACTGCTGGTACATACGGGAGGAGAACAACGGATGGCGAACGGTCAGTGAGCCGATAGATAACGAGGGTAGCGAGCGGATAAAGGTGGGTCGATGGATGGACATTGGTGGATGCGTCATGTGCAGGTCGCTGTGCGTGTGGACAGGGTGGGCCCTCCTGATGAGATTGAAAGGCTCACCGCACTCAAGTCCAAGAGACCGTAAGATCTTTGTCAATGCCACTCTGCCTAGATGGTGCATCTGTGGTCAGGAATTATCACTATTCGCGGCTTAAGCGTCGCCAGGATGTCGAGGCAGCCAAGAGACAGGTATGTATGCACACAGAAAGCCATCGCCCTCCTGACCTATCCGATTTCCCTGTGCTATCATCTCCACTCAGCGTCGCCTGGATTGGCTGCGAAGCCTCTATCGTGTGGCGTCTGAGGCGCCGGCAGAGGAGGAGGGCCTCGAGGAGTTGGCGGACATGACAATGGAGGACGACGCGCTCATCGAGTGGGCCGCCACCCTGCCGACCGACCTCAACTTCGACCACTACATGGTCGAGTGGACCACCATCGCCACATCCGGCCTCTCTGAAGCTGGCAAGCCCCTTCTGCACAGGTCGATAACGCCCTTGCCATCATCCAGGAGGGCCCACGAGGCACGGGAGAGACGCAAGAGACGCTCACAGGTGTCCCTCTCCCCGGAAGGTTCGCCGCGTGCGGCTCGGTGGAGGTCTGTGTCTCCCAAGCGGAGTGGGTCTCTGTTGAGAAGTCGGTCTGCGTCGATGACTGATCTGGCCGCGGCGGTGGGTGGGCAGGCGGGAGAGGTGGGTGGCTATCAGATGGTTGTGGAGGACACATCTGGACTGCTCGGCGTTGCGGGCACGAGATTTCTGCCGAGGCCAGAAGCAGCGTAAGTGTCTGTGTGGGTAAGTGTATGGGTGGTGGGTGGCTGCACACAGGGCTGCGCTGCTGTCTGTTACATATTCGTTGCTACAAGGGTCAGCCAGACCTTTGCTCGGTGAGGGGCAGGCCTGATTGTGTGTGAGTGCGCGTGTGTGTGTATGCGATGCCTTCACGGACAGACAGCCCTCTTTGTGTGGTTTGTTTCTCGAGAGACATCCACATATTCACTCGCCCATTGTACAGACACGACCGCTGTCACCAAGTCAACTCTACAGGCACTCTCTCATATACCATTCATCCCGCTGCGTATCTTCCCTCGGCCACCACAAGTCCACTTCACAGACATAACGAGCTTGGACGGACCGGCTGCGCCCGTCCCGGGCTCGTTTAGTCGATGAAGCTGACGTGTGGACAGCCAAGGGAGAAAAGCGGCAATCGCACCCTGACACACTGTGCGACGATAGCAGGCAGAGAGAAACCTTCTCAAAACCCAACCCACATTCTGCCGGCCTTCATCGTTATGCGTCCCTTCATGTGCTCGCTGTTGACGAACGCCGGACCACATGGCTTGCATGCGGCGCGCGGCGGACGTCGTCAGAAACCACACGAGGGGAGCGTAGGAGCGAAGGACCAGCATCAGACAGCTCGAATCAAGCCAACAACACTGCACTGGCTGCACAAGATGCGCATGTCACTCACATGATTGGCTCTGCACACAGCACAGACGCTCTGTTCTGTCACCTCACTCACAGACACACACGAAGGAACGCCCACGTGTGCGTCTCTCTCCCAGAGCTCTCTCTCTCAAGGCAGGCAGGGAGCGAAACCACATCTTAAGAGAGCAAGTCGTTGTAGCAACACACCACCCACCCACCGAGTAGCAAGTCTGTCTACCAATCCTCTCTTCAATCCATTCATCCATCATTCATGTACCCTCCCTCCCTACACCATACATACACACAGCCATCCCATCTCATCCCAGCAAAAGGGATGTGTGGTGTGTGGTGTTGTGAAAAATCGACCTGCAAGTTCCCCCCCGCCCAGCTACGCCCCCCTCCCTAACCGTGACGCCCGTCCAGCAGCCGCCGATGGCCCACTGCCTCCACCTCCGTTGGCCGCCTCACTGCCGTCGTCGTACGGTGAGCGTGGAGGTGGCATGGGTGCACCAGGCCGGACGGGAGGTGGCGTGCCGAGCCAGGGTACGTCTGGGTGTGTGGGGGGGCCGGTGGCAGGGGGTGGGCGGGAGGGGTAGGGGGAGGGGTAGGGCATGCCCATGTCCTGGTAGAGGCCCTCCCTCTCATGGGGCATCGGAACTGCACAAACAGACAGACCAGAGGAAGCAAACAAATGCGCACACTTCCATCCATCCCCGACACAAAGTGTTTGTGGGGCAGCTTACACTTGGACTGTGGGTGTCCGGCTAGCGATACGCCCATCCCCGTTGGAGGAGCCGTCAGCTCGGGCTCGTCCCACTGGTCGCCCCCTCCACCCATCCCACCCATGCCGAGGCCCGCTCCCATGGCCGCCCCGTATCCGCCAGATGGTGGGTGTGCCGCGGCTGCCGCAGCCTCCTCCTGCTCGGCGTAGCTCTCGCTCACGCTCTCCATGCCGGGGATGCCTTTGCGGGGTCGACTGAAGGGACAGTGGGATGGATAGATCAATGATTGCAATGGACAGTGGGTGGGAACACACGTTGGAAAAGGTGTGAGTGTGTGCTTGTCCGTCTGGGGGTGTGTGGGTGGGGGTTTGGCCTCTCACCGTGGCACTCTTCCGACTGATCTGCGGCTTCGCCGGCGGTCGGCACGCGCGGCTCGGGTGCCCTCCTGATCGCACACACACATCCACACACACATCCACATGTAGGGCTGGCTTCTCAAAAGGGCCATTCATTGTCTGGGTGTTTGTGTGTCTTACAATGTCTATGATAAGTCGTGTGCTCTCAGACACGAATGCCAAACCGTTGCCAGTCTTGCGACCTGCACCGCAACCACACACCAGCGGAAACACTTGTGTTGGATTGTGTTGGGCTGGCGTGCGTCTTGTCACTCACTGACCGAATGGCAGCAGCCAGAAGATGGGATCTGGCCCGACCACATCCAGAAAGTTGTTCAGACAGCCGCGGTCGTAGCTAGACTGAACACACACATTCAATTGATAGAGGTAGAGAGAGGAGCTCTTCGCTTGCAGAAATGTGTGACCGCGTGTGCTGTGTTTGGTCGCTTACAGCTCTTCCCCCATAAGCCCCTCGCTTAGTGCTCTTCTCGCAGAACTCAATGGTCGTCATGCCGCGGGACACCAACCTGATGGATGGATAGATGGCAGACAACACCATGCGTCCATGAGTGGGCGAGGGAAATGATATGAGGAGCGGCGCGGCGCGCACCAGATGTGGAATCCGAAGAATGCGGTGAGCAGGACGCCCATGAAGGCGGCAAGGGTCTCGCCGAACAGCAGGAAAAACATCTTATGAAACACCGCCTGTGAGTGAGCGCAACAGACACGACACACGCCATGTGATGGATGTGGTCATGGATGGCGTCTGGCGTCTGGCATCCAATCCAATCCAAAAGTGTCTGTCTGTTGTCACAGTAGCTACTGTCACGGACCTCCTCGTCAATGACGTATTTCTTGACCGACTCGAACATGGCCCACGAGATGAAGTGGCACGCCAGTGTCGAATACAGCAACAGCAAGAAGAAGTACCTGGTTGCGACACACAACACCACACACACACACACACCCAGAGCCCACCAGTGTCTCCCCGCGTGCCTCCGACCCGACCACCCCATCCCTCCCTCCCTCTCCCTGACTGACTGACTGACTGACTTGTGGTTTCCGAATCCGACACAGTTGTAGATCCAGGGGCAGTGGTGGTCCATCTTGAGGACACACGTGCGGCACACTCGGCAGTGGTGGCACCGGTCGGGCTTGAACTTGCCGCACCACTTGCAGTGACGACGCTCACCGCTCCGCTTCGTCTCCTGAGGCGGAGGTGCGTACAAACACATCACATCAGAAAGAGGGAGAGATTGTGGACGGTTGGCTGGCTGAATTGATGATGGATGTGCTGTTGGTGTTCTCACAGTGGTCTCGAGCGACGCGCCCAGCTGGTCAGCGTAGCGTGAGTCGGCGGCCGGGTACTGCCACTCCTTATCGTCAGGGATCTTACCTGAAGGAACGAACCAACAAACCGAACGAACACGCAGACAGACAGACAGACAGACAGCCAGACAGACACACCCACCCCACCGACCCATGCCATCAGAGGCTCCTCTTCTGTTCGTTCATGAGTGTGTGTATATGTGCTGCGAGGTGAGCGTAGGGTACCGGGGCTTGAGATGATAGCCCGGGCGTAGCAGATGAACAGGAGGACCGTTAACACGTGGAACACAAACAGCTGGCTTACTCCCCTGCGCCAACAGCACAGCACAGCACATGCCACACCCACACCGTAACAGACAGACACACAGCCATGTGCTGTGCTGTGTTGCAATGCATCCTCCCTAATCTACCTATTGCTGCGTCCCTCACCCACCTGTAGAAATCGTTATCGTTTCGCTTCCTCGTGTCGAGGTCCAGCTGCAGCAGCGGGACGCAGTGAAGCTGCAACAAACACAGTTAGAACAGCCAGCCGACAAACAAGACGTCCGCAGAGACGCGTGCATGTAGTGCAGTGCAGCGCATCACGTGCAGTGCACGCCACCATATATCCCCCTCCCCTCCCTTGTCTGCCCCTCCCTCCCCTCGTTGACATACCAGGACAAAGATGGAATAGAGTGTGAGGATGATGAGAAGCACAAAGACAACCGGCATCAGCTTGGCTAGCTCCATCTCCCCCCGCCGAGGCCTCGTGCGGCCCTCAGGCACGCCGTACGCCTCCATACCAACACAAACGACACCCCACCGCCGTGCGGAGGGCCGCAGCTACTCACAAATGTCCAAAGGGCACGATGGCAGCTCGGGGGAGATCCCTCCCTCTCCTTGCGACGCCCTGTGTGTTGAATGCTGTGCTCCGGGGGCTGTCTTCGGCGTCGAAGTGCCCGCGGAGCCGCTTGAGGGAGAAAAACGCGAATCCCTCTCGCAGCAGCGCTCAGCAATACCGAATGAGGCTCGACCGCTGACGAGCACTGCACTGTTTCTGTTTGACGTCTTCTCGTCCGCCCTAAGCCAGCCGGCGAGCGAGAAAGAAAAAGGGATAAGAGATCACAAGACGAGCGCCCTTGTCAGCGCGGCACGCTGCCGATGGATCATACAAGCCATCTCATTCCGCCCCCACTCATGCGAATCCCCGTCGGCCCGTCCCACCGCCTGTGCGGACCTACCACGGCACTGACCCCTCTTTGGTACCCACACACAACGCCTCGGCCACCCTTCACTACCGAGATGGGCACTACAACGGAAATATCAATGTCAAGAGTCGGCAGCGGTGCGGTGAAGGCTCATATGCATACGAGATGGGCTACTTCAAGTACACTGGGCAGTGGCGCAACGGCATCAAGGAGGGCAGAGGCAGACTGGTGGGTATGGAGAGACGGGAAATACCACGATGGTTTGCACTGCACTGCCAGCACGATGAAACTTTAAGGGACCTCCTCCTCCTGTTGTAGGAGTTTGGTGATGGCGGGTTTTATGAGGGCGAGTTTTCGCAAGGCGAAATCATCGGCCGTGGTGTGCAGCGATGGCCCGACGGCTCCACATACGAGGGAGACTTTCACATGGGCGAGAGGCATGGCCATGGCACGTGGACACAACCACCAGCAGCAGCGGACTCATCAAGAGAAGCCTCTACTACCTACACCGGCCAATGGAAGACAAACAAGTATGGTTGAAGGAACCAATCCACATCCCTCAGGAAGACTCCCCCTCTGTCCGTTCGTCCATGCAGACGTGAAGGATTCGGCGAGCTGCGGTGGGCTGATGGCGTATACCGAGGACAATTCAAGGCCCATCGATTCGACGGCCTGGGGGCTCTCCACCTTCTCAACAGTGGCCTCCAATTCGCTGCTGCCTTCTCGCGAGGCGTAAAGAGCGGCCTCGGTGTGTGTGAGCACGTGTCTCACCACTGGAGATACGAAGGCCAGTTTGAGGACGACAGGCAGGGACCGGTAGGGCTGCTGAGGGACCACAAGACGGGGATCCACTACCTGGGCGTGTGGGATGGGGGAGAGGCTAAAAGGGTGGCGGCTAAGATGCACTTGGAAGGTGAGAGAGACAAGAGCAAGAGAGAGATGGTTGGGCGATCGGGCGTCTGTCGGTCCTGCGTTTGTGCAGTCCCCAAAGTGGAAGAGCCTGCTGAGCCGCTCGACCCAAAGGCGAAGGCCAAGGCCAAGGAAGTGAAGAAGGGGGACAAGGCTGCTGGTAAGCAATGCTCTCTCCGTGAATGCGTCGGTTGCATCAGGACACTGCACGAATGCGTGCAGCTGCAGCAAGTGATACGGAGTCCACAGCGATAAGGGAGGAGGGGAGCGAGGGATGGCCAACCCTCACGGTCAAGAGAGGCCAAGCCATCCCTGCATGCACCATTCAATTGAGGACACACGAGTGGGCGGCAAGGGAGACAGACAGGAACATACGGACAGAAGGAAAGGCCACAAACACTCCTGTCTCTCGGCTTGCTGTCGGTGCCTCTAGTGGTGAAGTTGTGAACGAGGAGACGGGCCGCGTCCTGCGCCTGTCCCTCTACCAGCTCACCCCTCCCCCCATTACGCCCACACCGCCCGGCCCCCTGGCATCGACCGATCCACCAGCCGCCATCGCTCGGGCCCTCGAAATAGCCGACCAAGATATGCAGCACCAGCCTCATCCACTGAAGCTGGTCGGCCACACGGGGGGGCAAGAAGCCAGGCCCGTGCCGCGGCATTTCCCGCTCATGGGCCGGGACAGATATGAAGTCCGCGTCTGTGTTAGGGCTGGGGAAATCCGAATCGAGCCTGAAAGCAACAGAAAAGAGGACAAGGAGGCCGCCAAGGCAGCAGAAGACATCAAGCCGGAAGGCGCCGCTGCAACGGGCGATGGAACACATCAGGCGTCCCAAAATGCCAACACCATCAGGCCGCCGGGCATCGATCGGTCTCCCTCGGCGCCTCTGACTCGACAAAGGGACGAAGCTCTTGAAAAAGGCAGTGGCAGCTGAAGACCGCCCCGACTTGAATCTGATGGCGCAAGACGAGAAAACCCTCATGGGCACGATCGAAGCCGAACTTGGACGCATCGATCGGCTGGTGGGTGTCCTCAACAAGCAACAGGATGAGGAAGCGGCTGCACTGGAGGCACCGTTGGGATCAAAAGAGGAAAAGCATCAGGGAGGAGAGGAGACAAGCGCCGAAAATGTACCTGAGATGGGCGTAGACGAGAATGTTGAGGATGCTGCCTTTTTAGATGATTTGGCGTTGGTCAAGGCTCTCAAGACGCCGGCACCGATCTCTCTGACCCTCCCCCCTCATCTGCCGAGCGGCACATACACATTATGCATTGAGGACATGTCTGGCGGCCTCATCTCGAAACTCCACTCTCTCAACCAACAGCAGCAGCACCAGCAGCAGCACCAGCAGCACCAGCAGCAGCAACCACGGACCGACCACATCTCATCATCACCACGCCCATCTGTGTCATGCGACAGGCTGCTGACCGACCGGCTGACCCACAAAGACGCAATGAGACAGCAAGCCCCGGCCTCACCCAGCATTGGGGGTGACATCACGGTGAAGAGAGAGCGGGTGCCCATCCCACCGCCCCCTACGGAAGAGACACTAGTAGACGACAAGCAGAAGGACACAGCCGCGGCTCCTGCTGGAGTGGCTGAGCCTCCTGGGCCCCAGTATGAGGAGATAGAGAGCCTGACGTGGGCGGAGGGGACATTCCAGTGCTTGAAGCCGCTGAAGGTGACGGTAAAGGTGGTGGAGGCTGATGGTGGTTGATGCGGTGAGCAGAGAGGTGATCATTGGCCCGTGTGCCTGACTGGTGTCCCTGCCTGCAAATGAAGTGGTTGCTGTTGGTGCGTGGATTTTCCAGCTTTCATTTGTCTGTTTGCTTGCTTGTTTCCTGAGTCCTTCCTCCCTCGTGTCCACTGCACACACAGTCAGCTGGGATGGACCATTCAATCATTCTTCAATCTGTTCAATCCGTCTTTGTTCGCATCGATGATTCGATGGGTGCACAAAACGTACATAAATACCTTCACTCACAAACAAGACGGGACCCGAGTGTCGTGTCAACAGCCACAGATCAACACAGCAGCGTCTCGACTGACCCACATCTCATCGACCTATCCACACCCCCACACATCTACAGGCAGACAGACAGACAGACAGCCCGTCCCTCGCTCAGCTGCTGCTGTCCAGTTGCAGCTGCTCCTCCTCCTTCCGGTCCATCTTGGCCTCTCGAATGAGCCGCCTCGCATAGGGCGTGAAGTTCCTGACCAACGAGTCGATGTCGGCGTCCATCCTTGTGCCGATGCCGCCCCACACCAGCCGATCGGGAATGTCCTTCAGATCCTCACCAACCTGCACACACACTCACACGCATACATACCCAGAGAGAAGAGAGGCAGATGAGCGAGCGGTCTAGAAGGATGCCGAATGCCTGCCTATTATCTGCCTGCCGGGCTGTCGTGTGTGCACACCAAACGCTCACCTCCCTGACGACGTGGTAGCCAAGCCGGCCATACAGGCGGACGAGGACGTCGTGCATGTGTGGGTCGTCGTAAATGGCCAACAGCTCTGCCTTCTTGATGCCACGCTGATGCGCCTGCAGCACCACATAGCCGCCCAGCAGAAACCCCAGACCATACAGCGAGCCGACGGTCCAACGCCCTGACACCAACACACCAGATAGATAAGCACACCCCTCAGCTCAGCTTCGCTCCCCTCCCATGAGTGACGTAAGTGAAATCACCTGCATTTGGCGATAGCGTCTGTTGCGCCGGGTGGCGGATCTCCACCTTATCGAGGTGCACCACGTCCAGCAGCACCTTATCGAGGAACCCATCCACATACCCGATAAGGTTTTCGTCATCCACCAGGCCTCTGGGCGTCCCCCGGACCCGCCGCCGCGCCATCATCGGCGGGGCTTTGAAGCCACCAACAGTCTTCTTGTTACCGCCTGACTTATCCGGCACCCGCACCTCTACTCGGAAAAAGGGGCCGGTCATTTCCCACTTGAACTGTAGGCCCCACAGCGACGCCAGCTCCTCAAATTCAGAGAGACTGACCGTTGACGGCTCACGCTGGGGCTCAGACGAAGCCATCCTCAGAAGGGCAGACGGACCTTCTCTCCGTCTAGGTGATGGCGTGTGGTAACGACACCGGCTGACGGGGTGCGGCTGCCACTGAGCAAACGCCGACAGTCTTGCATCCACCGAATGGAAGAGACTCAACCAGACAGCCACTGCCGTCAAGATGAGAGGGCTCTTGCAGGTAAGGCGGATGCGAGCCGCACAGCATGAAGTACTCTTCTGTGAGGGGCTGGAAAGAGCAGCGTCTCCACCGCCGCCTGCTGAACAGGGCGGAGGCTTCAGATGGTCCATCTCACGAAACAAACCAGCAACTGTCACCGAGGACCTCTCCTGAGCAAGGACACAGAAAAATGTCAGGGCACGCGCTGGTTGCAGTGCCAACAAGGCTCTCTCAAACCAACCTCACCTGCTCACTCTGTTCGCTTGTATGATGACCTTCTTCTCCGCTCTCTTCCGTAGATCTTAATCTGAGGCGTCGCTGCCATCCACTGGATGCTGCGCATCTCTCCAAATCCGCGCGGCGGACAGTGGACTTTTGCAAGCTCGCAAAATATTACTGGTCGATCGCTCGGCCAACCTTCCCCCACTCCCCTATCCTCTTCCCCAGCAGCTGCTCTCTCCTCGCGGCCACTCTCCCTCCGATCTGCATCAGAGATCTGCCTCGACTGACACCCTCTCTCGTCAACAGCAGCAGGAGCGATGAACGGCGTGAATCTTGCCCCAGCAGGCGCCAGCAGTGCCGGCGAGAGCCACAAGAAGTACCAGGTGGTGTTTGTGTCGAGTGAGGTGGGCCCGTGGAGCAAGACTGGCGGTCTGGGTGAGGTGCTGGATGGCCTGCCCATCGCCCTGGCAGAGCTGGGCCACCGTGTCATGACCATCGCGCCCCGGTACGACCAGTACAAAGACGCCTGGGACACGTCATTCCGACAGGAGGTGGAGTTCGGCGAGACGACCACGACCGTCGGGTACTTCCACTGCTACAAGCAGAAGGTCGATCGGGTGTTTGTGGACCACCCCATCTTCCTCGAGCGTGTCTGGGGACTGACGAACCAGAAGTTCTACGGGCCCAAGTGGGGCGTCGACTGGGACGACAACCAGCTGCGCTTCTCGCTCTTCGCCAAGGCTGTCATCGCTGCCATCAAGGGACTGTCACTCGGCGGATTCCCATACGGTCGGTGACCGATGGAGAGAGAGGGGATGCATGCGTCAGAGAGGGAGGGAGGGAGGGAGGCAGGGAGGCGGGGGAGACACAGGGTGCAGGTGTGCATGCTTGCATCGTCGTATCGCCATGTCTCCCTCCCTCCCTTGCATGCATGTGTTGTGTCTGTGCAGGTGAGAATGTGATCATCATTGTCAACGACTGGCACTGCGCCCTGGTGCCCATCTACCTCGACTACTACAAGAAGCACGACAAGACCGTCGTCTGGACGAACACCAAGGTCAGTCACCACACACACACACACTCTCTCTCCCACGCTCATTGTATGCCTCTGTGTATGTATGTGCAACTGTGTGTGTGTGTGTGTGTGTGTGTGTTGGTGGCGTGCGTCCACGCATCAGATCGCGTTGTTGGAGCACAACATGGTGTACCAGGGTCGGTTCCCGTACCAGCCCAACATCGGCCAGATGCTCAACCTACCCGACAGCTACATCCAGGAGATGAGGGCCTACCAGCCACTCAAGGTGAGTAAATGACCCTTCCGTGGGGGGATCCACCTACCTCACCACACACACTCACACGAGTCGGCTGCTCTCTCTCTCTCTCTCTCTGTGTGTGTGTGTATCGTGTGGTCAGGTGGGCCGCCAACACCCCCGCCGCGACGTCATCAACTGGCTCATGGGCGGCATCAAATACTGCGACAAGTGAGTGGAGTTGCCTGCGCGCACACGAGGCACAACCCCCCTCACTGGTTGTGCCCGTGTGGTGTGTGTCGTGTGCAGGTTGCTCACAGTGTCGCCGACTTACGCCAAGGAGATGATGGAGGGTCCCATCAAGGGCGTGGAGCTCGACCAGCTTGTCAACGCCAAGGGCGGGTACGCTGGCATTTTGAACGGTATCAAGGATGCGGTGTCGCCGGACTCCGAGACCCTCGTCAAGACGGCCAAACTCCCGGGCACATTCAACGCCGGCACACTCGAGAAGAAGGTACTCACAGCCACAGACGTACATGTGACACCACACACCAAGACACAACAAGCATGTGTTGTGTGGTGTCATGTGTGATCAGGCTGAGCACAAAGCCGCCCTGCAGAAGAAGTGCAAGCTGCCCATCAACCCCGCCGTGCCCCTCTTCATGTTCATCGGACGACTCGACTTCCAGAAGGGGGTATGTCAGTCATGTCCCACACAACTCGCACACGGAGCACACCCCCACCCCCACCCGCCCGCCTCCTGACGTGACGTGTATGCGGTTGTGTTGGTGTTGGTGTTGGTGTTGGTGTCTGTGGTCAGGTTGACATCATGTTGGACGCGTTGGAGGACGTTCTGCCGACGGAGGACTGCCAGGTGCTCGTCGTGGGTCAGGGCCGCGAGGACCTCGTCGAGCAGGTCCTCAAGATGGCCAAGAAGTACCCAAAGAAATTCGACGCCGAGATGAACTTCAAGGGTATGCATGACGCCCCAGCCACATAGGACGAGAGCAGCTGGCCATCGGTGTTGTGATGTGGTGTGTGATGCAGGCACCGACAAGTACCTGGTGTACTCGGGTTCTGACTTCGCGTTGATGCCGTCGCGCTACGAGCCGTGCGGCCTGGTGCAGATGGAAGGCATGCGGTTCGGCGTGCTGCCCCTCGTCACGCCCACTGGCGGCCTCAAGGACACCGTCGAGGACGCAGTCACAGGTAGGCACCTTACACACACTACACAGACACGGAGACGGGGAGAGGGAGAGGAGCCGAATGAGCGTGTGATATCTGTGTGTCTGTCTGTTTATGGTGGTGTGTGTGGTGTTGTGCAGGTTTTGTGATGGAGGACGAGGTCGAGCAGGAGACGGTGGTGACTCCCGAGTCGTGCAAGATCGTGGCCGACAGCATCCGCCGGGCCATCCAGAGCTACAAGAACACCTCCCAGATCGACTCGATGAGGAAGAACGCCATGGCCCTCGCAAAGAAATTCTCGTGGAAGCGGGCAGCGAAGGAGTACATCTCGGTGAGTCAGTCAGTCAGCACATATACCCGCACACTGCATGCAACCAAGCAAGCACACGACTGACTGTGTTGTGCGTGTGTGTGCTGTGTCTGCAGACTTTTGAGAGCATGGGAGTGGTCGACGTCATGTCGACGACGGGCAAGGGCGACGGCTCGGTGGGACCTGACCTCATCAACTAGACTCACCCACTCTGACTGACTCACTCCCTTCCACTTCACTCACTCTGTCTCACTGGCTCGCTCACTCACTCATGTATGTATGTCTCCTTGCCTTGCCTGCATTGCTGCATTTGCCACTGTCTGCCTGTCACTGTCTGTCTGTCTGTCTGTCTGTGCGTCTCTCCATCTCTCTCGCTGCCTGGCTGTCCATCTCGCTGTCTGGCTGGCTGGCTGTCATGTGCCACAGTTTTGTGCTTACGTCGTTGAGCGATGACCGTGCGTGCAGTGTGCTTACGTGAGTGCGTCCATGCCATGGGTGTCTGTGGTCTCTGGCCTCTGATGTGTGCAATACATCGCATAGCATGGCATGTGGATGGACTCGATGAGGGAAGAACCAAGTCGTTTTTTCCACACCTACTCACACACGTGCGCACACACTCATACGGACATGTACACACACCCACGTACAGAGACACACACGTGTGTTCACACGATCGCATGTATACATGCGTACAGTCGCTGCACGAGAACATTCCTTCATGGATGTGTCTCCCTCTGTCTTGTCCCGCTCTCGCCTTGGCTGAGCAAGATGAAACGTGGTAGGGAGGGAAAGACGTATTCGTGGAGGAGTGAGGCTGGTCGACAGTATGCTACGCACCTTGCAGGTATGCACTGATCGCATGTGATTCGCTCCAGTTTTGTGAAAGAAAGACAAACGGCAGAGGGTCTGCGCTGATGCTATTCTCTTCTGTGTGGAGGCTGCTGGCTGGCTGGTTGGGGGCGAGAGAGAGAGAGAGAGAGAGAGTCTCCTCTGTCTGTCTATCTACTTGTGTTCATTTATTACATGCCTCCATACATACTACTCCTACCTACCTACTGGCTTGTAATGCCCGACTCCCTGCCTGCCTCTCTGTCTGTCTCCCGAAGGGACTGATATGTGTCATACCAATCGGTTCATCACTCACTCACTGGCTTTATCCAACCAGATGCATAGGCAGACAGATCTCGCGAGGCAGGCCAGGCCGTGTTTCCCCTTTTCCATTCCATTCGACAGCCCATGCAGCAGGCCAGGCAGCAGATTTTCTTTCCGTGGCCTCCTCGCCATGCCATGTATTATCCTCCTTACCCTCGTGACCAATCTACGTCTACCTGCCTTGTGCCCTGCAGGAATTGACCACACATTGATGACACGGGCATTTTTCACTTTTTGCTTAGGGAGGCTCTGCCAGGCCTGCCTATGGATTTTCCTCCTGTTGCTTTCCCTGATGAATGCTCATGTGGAGAATGAGAACGAATTCGGTGGCTGGCCATGTTTCCGCCGTCCCGCCCCTTCTCTTGATCTACCTACCCATCTGTGTATCTCTTTCGCTCCCATCTACACTCCACTAGCATTTTTCTCTTTACGGCTGGTGCGTGGCGTGCGTCGATGTGATGGTTATGATGTGTGCTCGTGGATGCGGGTGGTGGTGGTCTGCATAACGAAGCGAAGAGCGTGCTATGCTGTGTGGTATGCACGATGCACAGGCTGCTGGTTACTTTTCCTTCCTTCTTCACCCTGCTGACTGACTGACTGACTGACTGACGGTTGCTTTGAATCAATGCCTTTCATTTCTCCCTCCCGAGACCTTCCTCACTCTGAGCTATTTTTCTGCTCTCCTCTCCCATGCGTATACTTCATGGATGACTGCATGCACTCGTTCCCTCCATGTCTGTCTGTCTGTCTGTCTGTCTGGGTCTGTCTGTGTCTGGCTGACTGGCTGCTGTGTGTGTGTGTGTACGTATATATGTATTTGTGTGGATGGGTGGGTGTCCATATGTCTGCCGAGTGGATGTGTGAGTGTGTGTCTCTCCGACGACGGGTTGCATGGCTTTCGGTCTGAGAGTGCCTGCCTATCTGCCTGCCTGCCTGCCTGCCTGCCTGTCTGGGTGGAGATTGATTGATATGTGTCACGACAATTCATGAACTACGGTCTGTCTGTCTGTCTGGCTGTCTGCTTGTCCTGGACGAAACACTCACTACACTCCTATCTCCCTCCCTCCCTCCCTGCCTACCTACCTGCCTACCCGTGTGCCGCTAGACGTACCTTCCGGTCTGTCTCCTCCCTCGGCCGGCCCCCTGTCTGGATGGATGGATGGATGTCTGATTGATCAATGTCTGACTGATCCATGAATGGAATGAATGCTGCGCTGTACATAGGTCCTTTCATTCAATTTTGCTGCTGCAGACAGACAGACTTAGCCATGCACTTACTTGCACGCATCTGCCCACCTATCTACCTGCCTTGGTACCCATCCATCCATTCATACGCGTGCATTGCATTGTGTACCAGTCAGTCACGTCAAGTCAGCCACTTGGTGCCAGGAGGCCACCATGCATCAGACAGACAGACAGGCAGGCAGACCACACCTATCGCGTCTGCGCCTCGCCTGTGGTTGCGTGTCCACTGTCCACCTTTTTTGTCGGTTGGTTGCTTGTGTATCTACCACACGCGGCGCGGCACCCAAACGCGACGTGCGATGATCCATAGATACAAACCTAGTCAGACGAGGGATGGGTTGACTGGTTTGAGAGTGAGGAATGGACGGAGCAGCCGAGAATGGCATGCATAGCAGACTCGCACACAGACAGACACGGGAGGAGTTGAGGGACGCAGGCAGGCAGGAAGGCATCAAGAGAGCAGCGACGAGAGCTTAGCTTCGTGAGCTCATTTTCCCCAGCTGTTCGTGTCGTGCACTCAGTCATCGTTGGGTGTCATGGATGGATGGATGGATGGATGGCCGGAAGCATGGATGGGATGGATGGATCGTTGGAAGGAAGTGAACCATAGTTGTGTGTGCCGCAGAGGGGCGGGAGGCGGGTGACTCAGTCAGGGGACTTATGATGTGACGATCTATTCATGTCATGTTCTCAAATCCTCAAGACATCTTGCCGCGCACCGACGTCTTGCACTGGGCCATCGCATCCCTGTCTGGATGAAAGGCGATCCATGCGGATCTCCCTCTCACAGGAGCTCGCAGAGGCTTTGCAGAAGATCTCTGCAGCGGCTGATATGGATGCGTCGTGTGGCGGCACAGTCCAAAGACGCCTTCCGGTTCATTCATCGCCAGGTGCCGCACGTGATAGCTGCCCTCAAGCCGCGAGAGATCGGCCACCTGCAGAAAGCCCTGCAGGCCTCAGCACATTTCGCGCAGCTGCAGTCATCCCAGGCGGCAGATCATCACGAGAGGTGGCGATTGGAGCAGCGGGAGAGGGCGTCGCGGGGCGACTGGGGAGCAGAGGATGGAGAGAAGAGGCTGATGAACGTGTATCATGACCTCTTTGTGGCATTTCTGGAGCTACCGGGCCTGCACCCATCGCCGCTGCGAGGCTTCTGTGCAGAAAAGGTGACGGCACTACCAGGCGCACCATGCAATCAAAACACAGGTGGCTTTGCTGCTGTGTGCTTGGCTCTGCAGTTCTCCTTCTCGGTTCCGTCATGGGCGGCTCTCAGTCGTCTGAGTGCAAGGTTTCTCTCCATCGTGGAAGTCGGAGCAGGTGGGGAAGGAATGTTATGGAATGGTGCACTGTAAACCACTCAATCATCCACCCATCAGATCCATCCATTGAGTTGGTGTCATTCCATCAATTCATGCCATGCCATGCCATGCCATGCCATGCAGGCACGGGGTACTGGTCGTCTCTCCTGCGCTCCCTCGGCAGCGACGTCATTGCAGTCGACGCGTGCACCGAGGCAGAGCACCGCTGGACCATACAGTACGGACGCTGGCACCCCGTCCGACACAAACAGGGCAGCCAACTCTTCTCGAAACCAGCAGGCCTTCTGCCGGCAACGGCAACAGCAGCACCAGTGGCAGTGAGGGAGAGCGAGCCCAATGAGCTGCATTCCCGTGCGCTTTTGTACTGCTGGCCGCGGGGCAGCCCCCCACCAGGCCTGGACGGCTATCGCGGGCAGCATGTGGTGCTCGTCGGCTGCGACGACGCGGAGGGCGTAGGGGGCATCATGGCGACAGGCGAATGGGAAGTGGAGGAAAGGTGTGTGAGGACGGCAGGAACCATGAATCGATCGTGGTACGGTGTTTGTGTGGGTTTTTTTGGTCAGGATGTCGCTGCCCCAGTGGCCCGACATAGGCGATGGCGTGTGGACCTTCAAGAGGAAAGGGACGGGCTGACAGACTCATGTAGATGGATGGATGGATGGATGGATGGCTGGATTATCGAGAGTGTCTATCTGGTGGCTGTGCTGAGTCATCAGGGACATCACTTAACGGTTTTTTGACTGACTTGATGTGGGGCGAGAAGCAAACGTCATCATTGCCTCACAGCATCAAGACAGACAGACATCAGTCGTGAACGGGTTGCAGGCGAGCGACCCGCACACGCGTCCTCAAGCCTACAAGAAAGCTTCGCCATAGCATGGCGAGACATCTTTGTAGGTGTTGTGGACGCATACGCCAGCCACGCTCCCGACGCAGCACGTCAACTTCTCTCGCACACCAACAAGGAAAAAAACTGCGCAAGCAAGCCAATCTATTCACAGCGCGGCGTTGACCTCCACACACGAATCAATCCGCCCCATCAATTCATTGCTCCCTCATTGCAGCCTGGCTATCTTGGGGTTCCCCGTCGCCCCGCCCATTCTCAGCCCCAACACTTGCTCCCCGCCCCCCACTCTGTCACACTCCCTCCCCTCTCCCTTTGCCCCATCAGCAGTGCCTAGTGCCGGGCACTGCAGCAGCCTGGCGGCCTCCTGGATGTGGTGCGTCAGGATCGCAGTAGCAGGGGCACCCTCGGCATCGTCGCTGCTCTTGGCGTCGTCGGCCGCAGCAGCGGAGGATGGGGCGGCGGAGGCCTTCTTGTCCGTCGTCTGCCGCTGTGCGAGTGTCTTGGCGCCTTTGATGACCTCGGCGATGAACATCTTGGTCGCGCCACTCATCAACAGAACGAACCGGTCCGCACTGAACAGACAGGGAGGTGTGACCAATCCATCCCTTTTCCGCTTGTGCGAGCGTGGGTCTGACCTTTCTCGTTCGAGCGGTCGTTTGTTGAGTTTGGCCGTTACGATTTCCTTGACGATGGAGCTGGGGAAGCTGCTGTTGAGCACGGCATGCTCACATGTGCCGATCTCGTCCCCCTCGCCCTCGGCTGCCTCATCCGCCTCCGACGCGTCTGCATCTCCGTCGCCGGAGCGGTCATCGCCGGAATCCCTATCCTTCGCCGCAATGTCATCCTCTGCAATCGCAATGTACATCGGCGGAGCGCCGGACGTCATGGTGAATGGATGCGGTTGCGGGAGATCTTCGTTGCCACTTGTTCCACAATGAATATGCTCTCCGCTCAAGGAAAAATCAAGTCTCCAAGGCGCCAAACACCGACAGCGATCCACTCTTCTGCGAGCTCAAAGAGGAATGACCTCAAAGAGGTAGGGCGATGCTGCGGTGTTTTTCCTGTCTGCTTATGGTCGGGACGGTCACCGCACTTGCCAGTGCATCCGGCTCCGGTCTTTCTTCGTTCCTGCATGGCCAGCAAGCCTGTGGCAACCTGATGGCGCGGCCGCGGGGTCGTCGCCTTCGCATGATGAGCCAAGCACCTCCAGGTGATCAAGCACGAAGAGGGAGAGAGCAGATGAGATGCATGCCTTTCCTCCCTGTGTGTGGTCTGTGTGTGGGCGTGCGCAGCTGGGGGACGAATCGACTTGAAGCGTGGTGACTTGCTTGACTTGGACAAACTCCATGACAAGACGCGAGCAGGAGTGCCATCCATCTATCCAGCTGCCGGCAGTCCCGAGTACTTTGTTGGCAATGACCACCTCGAGTTCACCGCCACACTCGCCAAGATTACCTACTGGTACGAGAGGGACGGCTTCAACCCGCGTATTCCCCCGATGGCGGTGACGCGCCATGTCCGTGGCGGCAAAACACGCTTCTTGCAAGAAATTGGGATGGCGCTGCACAAGAAGGGAGTGCCGGTTGTGCTGATATCCTTCAACGACCAGACTGCTAAGATCGAAAGGTTGGAGGAGGATGCGTCACTAGAGCAGCAACTGCTTTGGCGGATCAGCTGGGCGGCGGCCACTGATGAGGCGCGGGAGCTGATGGATAACGACTTCAAACTGTGGGTTGAGAGAATGGTCCCCAGCTACGAGGTGGTGCGCGAGCGGCTGGAGAGGCAAAACTGTGTGCTGTTGATCGACGAACTGAACAGTGAGTGGGCGGGCTGGGCGCCACGCATTCACGCGCAACATGCATCCATGCCTGCATTGCGTGTGCGCGTGTGTTTGTGTTTGTGTTTGTGTGTGTGTGTGTGTGTGTGCGTGTCAGAGCTCATTACTGACGACCTTCGAGACAAGCAAGAGGGAAAGGACTTGGCTGATCTTCTCAAGAGGCGGTTCGTCGACCCCCTGGGGCGATATCTTGTGTTCTCGAGCCACATCACTGCCACAGGCAACAAGCTGGTGAAATTCATGCACAGTCCAAGCGATCGTGATGTCATTAGACCTCGCCTGCCTATCATCAAGACACTCGAGGACGCAAGACGGCTCGGCGTGCCTGGCGGTGCTACGAAAGGTTCTCTCTGCTATCTCGGGCTCGCACCTGCGCTGGTGCATGACACCTACAACATCCATAAGCGCAATGTCGAGGGCTGCATCAAGAAGCGTTTTGAGAAGCTGGCACTACCGCCTCTTACTGACGAAACCGTGAAGGCCGTCGTTATGACAAATGTATGTGGGCAAGAGGAGTATGCGGAGAAGCTGGGTGAGTGGTCGCAGGCCTTGGATGCATTCGACGGGAGCGACGCTGCAATGCACGGGAGCGACGCTGTGTCGGTATTGTACACCTGGCCCCCTTGCTACCTTGCGGCCGCCTGTGACAAATTGTGTAGGCCCAAGACCGTCAATCCAGCTTTTCGTCGCGGTTTGGTCTTCATTGGCAAGAGTTTGCGAGAGCTGATTAAGGCACCGGAGGGCTCAGGCCGCGAATGGAAAGGAGTTTGTGCTGCAGTCGTCGTCATGCGGATGATGCAGAGCGATATCGCGCGACAGTTCCCCTCACTCCTTCCCAGCAAACACAATAACCAACCAACCAACCAGCTACAGCCTAAATGCCGACGCGAGAGACCTCTTACCGCCAGAGCTTCTGTCAGGATGCCGCTTTGGGGGCGTCATTGAAGTTACTCCTGAAGAGGGCAGGACATTCAAGAGAACGGATGGTTCGGCAGACATTCCCTATCTCCGCGAACTGCTCGAGGCGGATATGAGCAATGACTCGACGGGGCTCTGCGATGGGACGGTGGCTGTCTTCGTAAAGCCTGCCGTCTCCGCATTCCCTCAGTGCGATTTTTTCATCCTTATGTGTCGATCGGCATGTGGACAAGATCTGGGGCATGCACATCAAGACGGCGAGAAGGAAAACGCGTGGCCTGCTAATGGCTCGCCCCTCACCTGACGTCGACTTCTCAGCGTTGATCGGCGACGAGTCAACATCTAGGCACACGAAAGCGAAATCGAGCTCAGAGTGGACCGTCGCCTCTCAGGCAGCGATTCTCTCTCTCCTTGGCACCTCGGCAAGACGTACATACCCTCCCAATATGCTCTTGGACCCTCGAGAAGGCTACTTAAGGGAGCTGACCCCAGAGACGATAGACAAGATGCGTGTAAAGGAGCTGAGGGAGTGCTGCAAAGAAGCGGGGTTACTAGTGGGGGGCAAAAAGGCCGAGCTGCAGGCGAGGCTGCTCGAGTATATATAGTCGCCGCCGTCAGTCAGAGGGGGGGGAGGGAGGGATTGGGAGAGCCTTGTGATTTCGTGTGTGTATGTGTGTGTGTGTCTGGTATGGGACATTTCACTACTGATGAATTGGACGTACGTATGTGCACATAAGACTCGCCCCATTCTGGGTGACATTCTGTCGAATCTCTGTAAGCGTGATGAAGCGTGTGGTTTCTCACGGCAATGAGTGCGTCATTCACACGCACACACACACTTAGACACGCACATACACGCACACACGCATATAGATTGGTTTCCTTTTCGGTCTTCGATTCCATCGAGTGCATGTCACCTTCTCATCACTCGGGTGACTCACTCAAGTAAGCCACAAATGCGATCTTGAGTGTGTCACCATAGATCACTTGGGGGTGCTGGCCAGAGATTCGAGCCAGCGACCATGACAGTCCATGCAGTAAGGGGCTACCACTCCTTAAAAGACACCCGTCTTGGAGGGGCGGGCATCAGGAGGGTGGATACGGCCTCGTGCTCCCAATCGTCACGCTCGCCCCTGACAGACAGGCAGATGCACCAAAGCAGCAAGGAGATACTCCCTGTCATCGGCTACTGACTTGTACAGCAGTTGTGGCGTCGCATCTGTCGTGTTGAGGGTCGCTACTTCTTCGAGCATCCCTCTTCGAGGTGGCCTGTGGTGGTCTTGTCTGTCTTCGACCAACGTACCCATCTCTGCACACAGACAGACAGACAGGCACCCAGAGAGAGGTGACAGCTCATCCGACGACCTTCTGGCTGCTCCTGGCTGCCTGTGTGGCCGTCCGTTCTGTGAGCCTCTCTGCTGCTGACTTGTGTGCCCTCTGGTTGATACCTAGTTGACTGACCTGGAGGACCTCCACCCGCTGAGGGGTGACGCCACAGGGGCTCACAGGTCACAGAGGCTACGGACGCTTGCTGCTGCTGCTAAAGTCTGCTGGCCGGCGGCTCGGTATTCCTGACCCACTGATGGCAGTTAAGAAGGTCGTCACTCGGGCCGTCCTTGCCAATCCCCAGCCCAGATCTTGTCCACACGTGAATCTGCGTCGATGAAGAGAATCCCGTCGGCATTTTTGATCTGCCTCACGCCACCACTCAGGCTGCCTGCTGTGCCCTCTACGCCTTCTGCTGTGCATCCATCGCCGGAGTCCACATCTACCGCCGGCGCAATGTACATCGGGGGAGCGCCGACGTCGTGGTGAATGGATGCAGTCGCGGGAGATCTCCGTTGCCGCTTGTTCCACGATGAATGTGCTCTCAAGGCAGATCAAGCCTCCAAGGCTTCAAACACTGAAGCGATCCGCTCTTCTGCGAGCTCAGCCAGGCAGCGGGAGGGGGGAAGGGGAAGAGCGGCCGCAGCTATCTTCGCAAGATGACGTCGCTCGAGCGTCCAGTTGATGAGTCGAAAGGTACTCACTGCCGGATCTGCGGATCTGGATGGCCCATACCGGGACAACAGCACGAAGAGCAGCAGGAGCAGCAGCCGCCTGCAACTCCTGCAAGAAGGCATCCGCTGCATCGCGAGAGCACCCTGAGCAGCACACATACTGCGATGGGTGCGCCCAGGACGCCTCCGCATCGGATGACGAGCACTGCCAGCCAGTCGTCGCATGTGCGTCTGATGGATCAGCCGACACTCAAGCCTCATGCGAAGCGCGTCGAGGCGGCCAGTGTGGAGATCTACCTCAATCCAAGGGTGCAGTCGGCCAGATACCTCCTCTACAGGTAGGTAGGTATGCCGGCAGGTGCGTGTCCATCCATATGATAAAGTGATGGATGGATGGCTCAGGCGCTTTGACCCGCCCCAGGACGTAGCGACGGTTGCGTCCCTTTGCGTATTTCACGGTGCGCAAAGCGCCTGCCAGCATGCACATGGCATCCAAACACATTCACACATACACATTGTCTTGTCGTGTGTGTCGTGTGGCTGTTGGCAGGCTTCGCTGAGCATTCGGGTCGATACGTGGACATGGCTGTGTATTTCAGCCAGCGGGGCGTGCAGGTGCACCTGGTGGACTTCAGGGGTTGCGGCATGAGCGGCGGGGTGCGCAACCAGGGCACCATACGGGAATTTGCTAGGGACATCGAAACCTGCCTCCAACAGGTGGGTGGGTGCGTGAGCAGCGGACGGACTGACACGCTGTCATGGATGTGTGTGAGTGTCTGTGTATCTATTATGTGTGTCAGGTGGATCCGGCGCTGCCGTGTTTTATCATGGGCCACAGTATGGGAGGCCTCACTGTCTTGCGATTCTGCATCGATGTAAGTCAGTGGACGCAGCTGCCTACATCAATCCGTCCACGTGTGTCGATGTGTGTCGATGTGTGTCGATGTGTGTCGATGTGTGTCGATGTGTGTCGATGTGTGTGTGTGTGTGTGTGTGTGCGTGTGTGGTCAGCATCCGAATCTCCATTTGGCGGGTGTGATATTCTCGTCTGCGTTGTTCCGGCTGCACCCCCACCGGCAGAAGGGATACTTCAAGAGGATGCTCGTCTGGTTTGGATCATTCGTCCCGGTATACTTACTGATACAGAAATGCAGCCCAGCCCGCTGCCGACCGATGGGGGATGGATGGGTGGATTGGATGCATACCGGTGGTGAATGTGTGTGTGAATGGGTTTCAGGAGTTGTTTGTGATGGCTGATGTGGACCCCTTGGGGCTCACCAGGGACACAGAGGAAGGTAAACACACACACACACACACACACACACATGGAGGGAGAGAGAGAGAGAGACGAGATACTTGTTGCATTCGTGTGCGGCTGGTTGGCTGTTGGCTGTGTATGTCTGTCTACGCACCAGTCATGAAGATCTTGAACGACCGTTTCTGTCTGCCCCTCATGAGCATGAAGCTTGCATGCTCCATGGTCACCGGCCACACCACACACACACCGTGCAGCCAGTCTGTGTTGACCGTGTGTGGTGTGCTGGCTGTGTGTGCAGGTGTGGGAGCCCTACAGTGTCTACCCGAGCGGCTGCCACCGGTTCCACTACCCCTGCTTTGTCTTCCATGGCGAGGAGGACCAGCTCACTGACCCAGGGGCCTCCTGCGGCTTCTACAAGACCTGTGCCAGTGAGGACAAGACGCTGCACCTGTTCAAGGGGGCCATGCACGAGCTACACTCGGACATCAACAGGGACGGTCAGACAGACACATACACCCAAGCCAGCGAACAGCCAGCCAGAAGGGGTGCATGGGAGCGTTGTGTGTCGCGTCGCGTGTCGTGTGTGTGCAGAGATGCACGATATGGTGCTCAAGTGGATGCTGCCGAGAGCGGAGCGGGCAAAACCTCTCGGTAAGTCAGTCAGCACAGACAGAGAGATCGACGAAGGAACCATCCCTCCCTCCCTCCCTCCCTCCCTCCACCACACCATTTGTGTGTGCTGGTGTGTGGCTGGTGGACACGACACAGGTGCGTTTGACGAGTACCTCGAGGCCTACGACAAGCGGCAGCGTCAGCGACACAGGAGGCTGCGGGACATCAGGACACGCATCTTCATGGCACTAGTCTTCGCACTCGTCGCATGGCTGGTGCTCAAGCTCTGGTCGCGGGGGTCATTCGGAAGCTTCATGAACCTCCTGTCGGTGTTCGCACTCAGCAGCGGGATTGAGAGCGAGAGGTCCTGACATGACTATATGAGGGTGCGGTGCATGAGAGAGATTGCGTCCGCCATGTTTTCGCGGCGCGGGAGGGCTGCATGCTTTTTGACACCTCACCCACCTTGTTGAGTTGAGGTCTCACGGGTCGAGTCGAGCTTGGTATTCTTTGTCGTGTTGGTTCACTGATGATGAGATGGTGGCAGACATGACATACACTGTCATTCATTCATTCATTCATTCATTCATTGTGTGTATCTATCTATCTATCTGTCTGTCGTTTTGTCCCGCCCCCTCCCCTGCCTGCACCCACCCATATTATACCCACGCACCCACCCATCGGCTCGAAAAAGTGCTCCGTATGTACAGACGATGCATCCACTGCATGCCATGCCATGCAGCCAGACAGACAGACAGACAGCTCAGTCAGCATCTGACACCTTTCCGTCTGCTTGCTTTGGGTGTGACTTCTCTGGTCTGACAATTTGCCGTCGGTCTGTCTGAGCTGCTTGGCGATACTGCTGGTGTGCGTGTTGTCGGCACACCGCACACACTAGCAACACAACCAAGCAGCCATGACAGGCCGACGGCAAAAGGACATTTGTCGTCGTCTGTCTGTACATTTGTCGTCGTCTGTCTGTCTGTCTGTCTGTGAGTTGGGCGAGACACAGACCATGTGTGACGCATGTTGTGTTCGGTGTCAGCCTGTCTATCGACCTCTCTTGCCGCATCAGTCAGCATATAGTATCTCAACCAACCCAGCAACCTGGGCCACGCACCAAAGACACACACACACGTGTGCACCCACTCACCCACCCACCCATCACACACACGGGCAACATCCCATCCGCACGAAAAACGACCCGGTCCATCCATGGCCACCTGACCCACTGACTGTGCGGGTCGGGTGTGTACATCTGTCTGACTGAATCAATAAATGAATGTATGTAGGAATTGATTGGTCTTCTGTCTGTCTGTCTGTCTGTCTGTCTGTCTGTATGGGTGTGTGCATGATTCTTTATGGTCTGAGCACGGGCCTTCGGCGGCCCCCACCACGGCCCCCACCACGGCCCCCACCACGGCCCCCCGGGCCACCGGCACACCCACCACCACCTCCACCAGCAGCCGCACCTCCGTCGGCAGCTGAGGATGACGCACCGCCACCTGTGGTCACCACGGCAGACGAGAGGAGACAGACACACTCGTGTGGGCTGGCGTGTGGCTCAGTGGCTCCCTGACTGGCTGACCTTCGTTTGTGAGTTTGTCCTTCCACTCCGCTCGTGTCGTCTGTGCGTAGCGCTGCACGTGGTCCACCACCTTGGCCTGACCGAGTCAGCCAAGTGATTCAAACAAAGAGGCAGGTAGAAGCCGCACACACACACGTCGGTCGACTGATGAAAGGGGTCTGTCTGGTCTGTATGTCTTTGTGTGACGGCCGCACCTCATAGTCTCCTTCTCCTTGGAAGAAGGCCAGCGCCAGGGATGAGTCGACCGGGTCAACGTAGTCTGCCGGGCCACGCACACGACACACGGCTCACAACATGATGGATGCGCCACACACCCAACCCAGAAAGAGCGTGTGTCTGGTGGCTGGTTTTGAATTCTTGCCTGGGTTGAGAAGTAGGCCATAGATGTGTTCGAGGATGCTGCGGACCGTGCTGTCGGTCGTGTCTGTATCACACAAACACACACGCGCGCCCGCGTACGATCAAATGAGCCACAGGAGGTGAGGTGCATCGTATCGTCAGTCATCTCGGCGCTGCGCATCCCTCCCTTCCTTACACGATCGGCCGAGCACTGGATGGCAAATCTTGCCGTAGCTGTTGACATTGGCGTGCTTGATGGGCGTCTCAAAACGAATCTCGGGCGGCTTGGCGGGGTATTCATCGGGAAACCTACAAGAAACACAGCACACCACCCAGTGCAGTGCAGCCCAGCGCGTCTATGGCATCATTAATGCTGCTTACAAGATGTAGAGCAGCCAGGTGCCGCCTGAGTAGGGCGTGCTCTCGGGGCCTTCCTGCAGCCACACACACATACACACATCGACACACCGACCGATCTGCAGCTTGTTTCCTTCATCTGCAGCCAGCCTTGCTTCAGTTGCGCACCATGACGACCCGCCAGAACCCCATGTCGTGTTGCGATGGGTACACACCGACAGCAGGGTGGGGGCTCTGCAGCAGACCCCGCATCTCACGCAGCAACCGACGCACACGCCCCTGATTCTCGTCACGCCCTGGCCGCACCGCAGCACCGTTCCCCACACTCACACCCCTGCCCCGCCCCCCACTACCGCCGGCCCCACGGTCACCTCTCGGCGTCAGACGGGCTGCACCCGACCGGCCTTCGTTGGCCGCTGCTGCTGAATCGTCCTCGGCTCTCTTGGTGCTTGCCTCGAGTGCTTGCTCGAGAGTCTTGACGGGCTGGGCGAGCTGGGGGATGGACCGGCGAGCTGGGACGCTGTCTTCGGTGCAGAGGTCGAGAGGGAAATTCTGGTTGCTGCCAAACACCTGCTCGGCGAGACGCATGAGGGCTGAAAGGGGCGGCAGGGAGGTGGCGGGACGCTCAGAGGCTGACGGAGGGAAGGGGCGGTTGGAGACAGACAAAGTGACTGAGTGAGTGATTGGGGGCTGTGTCATGTTGTGGTGTGAGTAAGCTGTGTAAGCTATGCTATGTACCTGTGAGCATGACTTCCAGTTCGCACAGTTTGAGTGCATTCTTGATTGACTCAGGCTTGAAGCAGTAACCGCCAGTACTCTTGGCCAGACAACGCAACTGAACAAACACAACAGCAGAGCAGCATAGCATGGCACAATCCGTGCGGTGCGTAGACTTGTGACTCTCACTCACCTTTTTATTGTCGCTTCCGCCGATGAGCACGGCGTCGAGCAGCACACTCGAGTCACGCAGCTTCTTGGCCTCAACGTGCCTACACCACACCACACCACACAGGGGGGGAAACTGTCATTAACCGTAACACTCGTCTGTGTGTCCGTGATACTCATACAAATACAGTCCCATCAGCACGCAGAGTCAAACAGGCTCAAAGGGAAGAGGGATCAATCCCCGCCCCATCAGCACACCCCAGTCCTGAAAACCCTCCCCTCCCTCCCC